CACCTAGCGCGTCATCATCTAGATTCTAGACCTTCCTTGCCTGTAAGATTGTCAACCGTCGGGGGGATATACACGGCGTCGATTTGATTGGCATCTTCTAAAGCTCCTTCCTCTTCTAATACTTAGAATTTCTTGAGAAGACAGTGCTGGCTACCCAGCCATAATGATTCAGTTTTTTATTTTTTATTCACTGTTTTCTGTAAATTCACTTATCGATTTTTAGGAATTAGGTACTATTCGACCGAAGCGGTTAGCTCGACGTTTTATAATCGATTAACTAGTAAAAAAAAGAGCTTCTACTCTTTAAATAGCGAGAACCCATTGTTTACGATCAATTTCTAACATCAATGGCAAGCTCTGTACTAATAACAACTGACCACGAAACTCCCAACGTTGCGTATACGCAATGTTTCCTGGAGTTCTAAGATAAACAACATGAGTAATTACTTTTGTCCAAAGAAAGTGTTTGTATCATAAATAAGATATTGCTAAAGCTTTACACAGTGTAAAAAGTATAGCTTTATTTCAATTAGGTAATATTTTTTATGATTGGATGAATATATCGATCTTGAGATGACACAATTAGAAGTTTTTGATAGATAAAAATAATATTTATTTGTATTCAAAAACCTATTAAACAAATATCTATCGATCTCTTAGTTCTTCTTTCGAGACTGGTTTACATTTCATAAAGGAGATCATTCTTTTTGGGCCTTTTTTAAAAGTGCCGGCCAACAAAAAAAAATGGTACATATTTGTAGAACTAACCATTTGGAACAATAGTTAATATGGCGCAAAAGCTGTAGGATCCAAGATATAGAAGTTATACAAGTTTCAAGATTCATCATTTTGGTACTTTATTTTTTTCTGAAAGTGCCAAGAAACATAAAACAAGAAACATAAAACAAATGATAGGAAAAAATAGGAAAAAAAATATAAATGTAATAATGTTATATTAAAGAACATTTCAATTTAAGGGTATATTCTACACGATACTAAACATCACACAACGGATCTATACTAATATTATAAAGCTGAAGAGTTTGCTTGTTTGTTTGTTTGAAAGCGATAATCTCCGAAACTACTGGTTCGAATTGAATAATTCTTTTTGTGTTGGATAGTCCAATTATCGAGGAAGGCTGTGGGCTATATAACCTCTCGCTACGACCAATAGGAGCAAAGATATAGTGGTAAATGTGTAAAAAACGGGAGAAATTATTTCATCTTTGAAGCCTTCCGTTGCGTGCGCCGTGAAAACGGTTCAAGATACACAAAAAATATGTTCTAAAGAATAATAGCTCTTTTAATGATCTAAAAAACAGTCCGTGACAGTATATGTATATCTTTTAAGATTAACTCATAAAAACCGTTTTTATGGTACCTAATTTGGTCGAAATAATTTGTTTAAGTTGTATCAACATAATAATATTAAGCTTTATTCAAATAAACAAATAAATATGTTGTTGGTAAGAGTACTTCATTGTGAATAAAAAAAACATAGGTTTTATCCTGAAAATTCTACGGGAACTCGACCATTCCGAAAACCCCGCAAGAACGGGAACTATGTATGTGGGAAGAACCAAAAATCTGCCGGAAGTCACTACTCCACGCAGACGAAGTCGCGGCAAAAGCTAGTGTAACATATATATATGTATAACATAGAAGACCTGGTGAACTTCGTATTGCTCTATAATCAAGAAATATCTGTTTTTTTAATTTATATATTTTGGAGTTTACCTGTAAGCCATAAATCTCCGTGTTTTGAAGTGCGACAGAATGATTGACATATTAGTTAGTTAGCAAATCTAATGTCAAAAAAAACACCGTTTGTATGAGAAATAGAAAAAAGCTGTTTTTAGGGTTTTCCCGGAAATGAATCAATTTTTTCAGCTTTTAAGCCTTCCCCGAACCTCCACGAGCATTTCAAGACTCCTCCTCCTCCTAAGTCGGTACGTTCTTGGCAGAACGGTCGTGGTCATCATGATGTGTGGTGGCAAGCTTCACAACGCGTCGCCACTCGTCTCTGATGGTGGTTTTTCTTGAGCACTCATTGACAGGAGCGTCCACTGCAGTCCTGACTTGGTCTGTCCAGCGCATGGGTGACCTGCCACGCGGTCTTGTACCCTCGACTTTGCGCTGCACTACAAGCCTCTCTATTGAGGCCACTCCACGCCGCGATATATGGCCGAAATACGACAGAGTACGGGCTTGAACTATGGAGGATAGACGCTGCTTTACGCCTATCTCACGTAAGATTGAATAGTTCGTGCGAAACGAAGTCCAGGGAACTCGCAACATTCGTCTCCAGCACCACATTTCTAAAGCGTCAATCTTACGTCGCTCGCACTCTCGCACAGTCCACGTCTCTGCGGCATACAAGAATATGGGGAATATAAGAGTACGCACAAAGCGGCTTTTGGTGGTTCTAGTAATGTTTCGATTCCTCCATATTCTCTTCATCCTATCCATAGCAGACCTAGGATAAGATAAATCCGTTCAGCCGTTCTCGAGTTACACATAAATTAATAATAAAAAGTCAGCTGGTAATATATTCTGAGTAAACATACGACTTTTATTCACTTTTCTCCTGTGTTAAAGACTTTATCTTTTTAATTCTTTGTAAGTACCTACTTTTAACATTTCAAACCTAGACCACTTGGAATTAACAAATTAAACCCATAATAATTAAACATGTAAAATTAATACTACAAAGTTAATTTTATTTAATTTTGGTATATACATACTTATTTATTACAAAATATTTGGGTTTATAATAATTATTGTACCTGTGAAAAAAAAGTTGTAAAAATTGTATACTGTTAACATTGCTCTTAATATAATATAGGAGTTATTACTTTAATTTCTTATATTTTGTGAAATGTATTTAGAATCAGAATGTATTTTAAGTAAGGAATTAATTGCTGTTTTTTCATTTTTTTTTATTTTGGTGAAAAGCAACATAGTAAAAAAAACGAATAAACCTACAAAATGAAGGTAAACTGAAATGACGTAGGTATACCAAATGTCCTATATACTAATATTCCTGAAATACCAAATGTCTTTATGTACCAATTGTCCGTATATACCAAATGTCCTTATATACAAATTTTCTTTATAATATAATAATTTTCCTTATATACCAATTTTCCTCATATACTAATTTTCACCACTCACCACTCACCCCTCACTCCTCCTCCTCCTTATCAAAATAAATTATTTATTATTTAAGAACGTTTCAAAACCTTTATATAACTTTTTGAATTATGTATTAGATTCTGACATTCCACTCAAAAGATATCGCGAGTTAAAAAATTTAACTGCTAACTATGTATATGCGTTGTAGAGTTGTTGGCGTCACTCGAGCACTGAGGCACGGGAGGGGGGTTAAGATCATGAAATAATATCTAAGAATTAAATTTCCTATTTTTTTTATTTGACGCATAAAATTGTGAATATTTATGTAAATGTCATGTTAAGTGCCCGTGCGAAGCCGCTATATATATAACATCCATTATAAAGTTCACCGTCTTTCTGTAATGTATTTAGCATCAGCGTTGCACCCGCGCAAAGCCGGGCCAGATCGCTAGTTGATAATAATATACATAGATTGCTATATTACTTTGACGACTAAAGGCTACTCTCATTGGTTTACTGTTATTATTTGCTTACAATTTGGACGTTGTTCGGATTAATAATTTAAATTAAATATTGATACTTTAAGTACCTAAGTATTTATAAATTTCTAAAGAAAGAAAGCCCCAGAAAAAAAGAAAGCCCCATACAAGGCCGTCTCCAAACCCCTTCACATGAAAGTCGTTGTTATGGAGTAAAACTAATTTATTAATTTAGTCTTATAAATAAGCTTTCTTTTCTATATTTTTTAATTATTTTTTGCAAACAATAATATACAATATTAAAAGGCATCAAAGTTAACTCATGTTCAATGGTGTGATTTTGGCCCAGTACATTACTAAAACTCAAGGCCACATTACTCGAAAGTGTTCTATATAAATGTATAAGTATTATATATTTTTTAAATAATTATAATATCCTTATAACGTTTCTTAAACAATATTTCGCACTAACATTACATAACACTAAATAATTGAATTTACACGTGTTTTCAGGCGATTGAATTTACACGTATTTTCAGGCTATGGCCAAGTCTCTGTATAATATTTATATAAAATATTAAAGAATATTAATATACGTCATTATAAGATGCTGTTAATTATTACGCAACAACTTAATGCTTCGAGTTCCTAGATTCCAGACACAATTGATTTTCAATTGTTATGGACCACTATCGTGGTCTTAGAAACTGGACGTATTAAGACAGAAAGTCGCTTAAGTAGAGACTGAATAAATTAATAACCGACTTGGTATTACATGGATCTCACAACTTTTTACAGCAGAACAACTGAGTTGCGAGACTTTGTTTTTTTTTTACAAGATTTTGTTTTTGATGGGATTTCATGATTCAAAAACATTCTGTAAACCTCAGTTTCATGTGCAACGACTTTCGGGTATTTTAATAAAACGATTCCATACTTATGTCACAATCTTTATTGTGATAATTGATTAACATACAATCACTGGCTTTAATATTAATAGCTTACATATATTTTAATAAAACAATTATATTTCTTTATCACAAGTCGTACATATGGATTAACATTCAAGATCATTCCACTATATAACATTTTACTAATTAACAGTCATTAATTTACTTAATGAAATGCTAATAGCTAGAACATTGTACAAAAGACAAAATATTACTTAGAAGTATAAGCCTTGAAACAGAGAGTCAATTCACTAATTATTATTAACTATTATTAAACACTTTACCACTACAACCCAATAAATCATTACAACATCTAACATTAGTATCAGAGTGACCAACGAGGGTAATCACCTGCCAGGATATGATCTGATTAGGATAAAAAATTATGACATCCATTAAAAATATCGATGGCACTAACATAATACTTGATGAAACCCTAGAGCATGTTTCGTAAATTAGTGGGTAGGTAAGAGCGGAGGTGCGGCAGGTGGTGGGTGCGGTGTGAGGGAGGCGAGGGGCGCGTCACGTCCCTCTCGCTCATGGACGGAGCGCGCGGCTTGCGGTGAGGCACGATGGCGCTGCCTTCCACTGACAGCCCATTACACGGCCTGCGACACACACATACGAACGAGTCAGTCCGGAAACTTATAAATTAATACTATGTACATATGTAGATCACCTTATCGGAGTAGAATCGTCTTCCGGAAGCCAGCAGTGAAGGGAGTATCCCCGCCGCGTCTGGAACAACCGCCTTCTCTATGTAAATAATTTATATTCCGTTCGAAGTCACTAAACTCACGAATGATACTTATGTTATAGTGAGTAGACGTGTTATACGTACATATATGTATTTTAAATCAGTTCGTGTGACATGTTTGATGACGTCTCTCTTACCTTGACAGAGCTGCGCGTCTTGCTGCGGGAGGCGCGGTAGGTCTGCAGGTCGGGGAGCAACTCAGATGACTTCTTAATACTCTTCGATGCTACTATTGAAGAGTCTGAAATTTACGTTGATTAAATTATTTATTTATGTAAAGATATAATTAAAACAAAAGAAAATATTGAAACATGACAATAACATAAAAACTTTGTATGAGAATCGATCGATAAATATACCCTGTAGTTCTTAAAGAAATGTTTCAGTGTCTTCATCAGTCTAATCCATCTCAGATAAAGTAAAATATATAAAATAAAACACCGAATTTTTCCTAAAACTTTTTTTTGTTATGGTCTTTTACTTCACATTAAATAAAATCTATACATAATACATATGTTTAAGAAAAATTGCAGTGTGTTTATAATATTTAAATTACATATGTATATACGGCATCAGAATAATATTTTTTATAATTCTTTTCTGTCTTCTTCTTCCTGTGCAATTTCCCAGATTTAGCCAGGGTCTGCCTTTCTTTCTGTTTCTCTTTTTTTCTGTCTGTTCCGGCTAAACTCTATTATGGCTAAACTGATTTTGAAGGGAATTTTTAGACTTTTAAGTATTTAATTACATGGTAAGTAGGTCAGAAAACTTTAATGAGTTTAACATCTAGAGAAATCGATTAGTTTTTTGTTTACCTTTGTCTACATACATTTATTTAAAAGTTTTTTTCATTATTTCTTTTTTTTCTACTCAAACCTAGTCGCGGGTAACAATAAGTAACAAATAACATCGAACAAAACAACATTAGGCAACAGTATAAAAATAATTATGATTAAAACATAGCATCTTGTAATAGTCATTCTTATTATGAACTAGGTTCCTCGTCATGGATCACAGCGCGAGGAAGGGACGGCAAGGAGATCACATCATGGAGCAAGTACCGTCAACGACTTCACCTGAAGACTCGTCCTACAATATATTTATGTTCATGCTATTCACTATATCGCTTTAAGCAGAGATGGCGGGCTGAATATTAGAAACAAACAAATCTGTTGTGTAAATTAATAAATTCAAACTCTACTCTCTAGATACGTAACCATGGAGATAATAATCTTGAAATCAAGAGTGATGAGATTAAAAGTAGGAAAGTGGAGTCATTACCGTTAGGAGCGAACACTATCACGTTAGGAATAGAAAAAAAAATGATATTTTTAAAAAAGAAATATAAAGTGTTCGAGCTTTAGAGGAACAGTAGAGTTCTATCACCCTATAAGAGTACTCAATCAGGAATCCCGATAGTGTTATAAAAGTGTTCTATTTCATAAGTATGTCCCATGTAACCTGAAGCCTCCTTCTTGAGAGTGAGCCTGACTCGTCCCTCGTCCTCCGCCCGTCCGAGCACGCGCGAGCACGACGTACCGCACGCCACCTGGCGACACACGATCTCTTCAATGTTAGTCCATACTTCCAAAATTAAATATGACACAGGAGAACCGTTGAAACTATCAGTTTAACTTAGTGTTCATAACAATAAAAGATATATGTACCTATCTATAGGTACTTTCCATATTTGCTACTTTGGATATTTGGATATACTTTGATAAGACATCACTTGTTGAAATATGTATACTGATGTTATTTATATTACAAAAAGAAAGCTCAAGAGGCTGCAGTGGTTATGTTGTAATATGGTTTGTGACCAAACAGAATATATGTAGAACGGATATTAGTTATTAAATAGGACTCATTGATACAAATAGTTCTGTTTATATGTGATATGATAGTTATATTTTTTAAATGAAATTACTAACAGCGCGGTGGCAAGGAGGCTGTGTTAGGACCTGCTGTATGGGGTGAGCGAGATGTGGTGACTGTCCAGAAATTGTCGAAGAGGTCAATGACACCTTCCTTCGGTCCGGAAACCTCAGACGCATCTCCACGTCGTTAGGCAAGGTACTGGGACAAGAACCTGCCACTGTGACAGCCCACTCGCCTGAAAAACATAAAAAATATATACTTTAACATACTTCCAAAAATATTAAATTATTTCTAAGGCATTATTAACTAAGATTGATAAATGACATGAACAGTTTAAGGATTTACGAGTCGTAACGTTACGTAGAGTTAAATATGTTTTAGCACCTGAAGGAGCGGCGCGACGTCGTCGACGGCGCGCAGTGAGCCAGGCTGGCGCCAGGGAGCACAGCAGACTGCCACTGGACTCACTCGAGCTCCACTCCTCTTCTAAGTCCTCATCACGTTTCTCCTGGGCATCTTTTCGCCTCCTTCGCTCTTTCTCTGTTTGAGCTCCGGCTTTCACCTCACTCCTTCTTCTTTTCTCAACGCCGAGTATTTCCCTTATCTTCGTGCGCTCTTTGTTCCGTTCTTGTTCTCCTATAGAGGCTATGTCCTCAAATGATCGTCTAGAGTTGCCCACGGACCGGAAGTCGGTTCTTTTCTTTCCATCTACTTTTCTTCCTCGCTTCACACGGAATACTGAAGAAGCCGTGTCGGACTCACTGTGACCTCCTCGTAATCTACGAGCAGGTTCGTGTTGTGTGCTAATCGATTTTCGTCTGGCGTTTGAACCTTCACATAAATAAAACAAACTTCTAGTTTTTATATTCTTTATTCATGCTTTAACAGGATTAAAAATATATATTTCATACAAACAAACTTCAGTGCCAAATAAATACAGTGTTATATAAAAGGTATAAATTAAAATAGTGGGCTTTAAGCACCAATAAGTCTATATTGAAAAAAAAACCTTGCAACGTTATTTTTCTGCTATATTTTGGTTGGTGAATCTTTTATTTTCATTGCTCAAAACTATTCTAAGGAGTTATGTTGATACTGTAACAATTAATAACCCCGATACTTAAAAGTGTAATTGGCTAAAATTACTCTACTGAGATGGTTGAGGCGGTGCGATGAGCGAGCAGCGGTGCAAGAGTGCGCGTGGTACCTTCCTCGAGATGAGATCGTGGAGAGCGAGGAGCGGTCGGGCAGGAAGACTGAAGGGTTCGTGCTGCGCCTGCTGTCTGCAGACTACCTGCGCCAGAGCTTGCTGTACTGGCCATTCTTATAGGGCTAGTACTGGCCGACTTACGATGGGGCGACGTCATGGCAGCTACGTTTATTTGTTTACAGGAATCTAACATTGGTGAGGTTCCAGCACTCCTAGTATCCACAAAGTGCATTTCTTTGCAGAGCGAACTTCGTTCCTTGGATTCCTGTCTTTGCTTTTGTATTTCTTCCTGTTTGTTAGTATCAAACTGAGAGAAACTTGGGGCAGAGGCTCGACGGTTATACGCTGAATCTTCCCCAGTAGATTCAAAACTAAGACTACTTTTCTCTTCTTCAATGATGTCAAAAACATTTTTAAACCTTAAAGAGTTAGAACGCGACCTAGCTTCGCATGGTACAGAAGCACGTCTTGTAAGGGGATGAATTTGTGGTGAACTATTATTCCCCTCACTTGTATCAACCAACGTAGTCAGCAACATGTTGGCCAAAAGATGACTCGACTTACAATTTCTCTCATCGGAGAGAAGAGGAGATGTTATTCTTGTACTCTTGCAACCTTTCTCTGTTCTACTTTTAGATACTTTTTGGACCTTTTCGTGTACTGGTACTGGAATTCTGGACTTTTTACTTTTGACTCCTAAATTATGATTCTCATCAGAATTCGTTGTCTCGGAATTTTGAGAACTATTAACATATTCCAATATCTCTAAGATTTCTATACATTTGCTACCATCGTGTATTTCTGACTTCTGGTATATTCTTGATGGAGGGCTTTCTTCCGGTGACAAAGGTGATTGTAAAGAGAGTCTACCTCGGACATATGTCTCGTTGTTTTGATGGTTATCGTGAACTTCATCTGTATGTGAGCAAGTCTGAATATTAGATTTAACTGATTTGTTACTGTTGTTATTATTTTCGTTGTCTTTTTTCCAATGTTTTTTCAAAAGATTCTCATCTGATTTATTTGAAGATAATTTATTTGTCCTTTTTTTAATGTGCATACACTTGTATTCATCTTGCGCTATCTTGATAATAACTTCATCAATGAGAGAATTAATTAAGATTATACTTTCTTTCTCTATTTCTTTTTTCATTTTTTGGGATTCACTAAAATTACTATCAAGATCTCTTTTTAGTTGTTTTACTTTACTGCGCCGTGCGGATTCCATACGTAATTCTCTCTTTCTATGCCGTCGATATAACCTTTGTTTTATAGTTTCTGGCATATGATCTGCCACAATTATATTTTCTTTTTCGCAGTTACAATCGTCATCTTTGATTCTTACAAAAAATGATTCGGCTTTTTCTTTTGGATGAATATTATCAGTTTGACTCATATTTTCAGGTAATAAATCTAAGACATCTATAGACGACCGTACGAGTTCAGTTCTTTTATTGTTAAATGACTTTCGGAGAAGTATGGAACGTGGTGAATTAGGATCGTCTAAACTATCAACCAGACTCGTGCATTCGGAGCCTAAAATTTCAGTATCTTCCGATGAAGATGTATTCACCTCCATAGATTCTGTGTGTGGAAAGGCCGAAAAACGAGGAACAACAGGAGTATGATTTATTTCTTGATAGTAGTTACAAGTCCCTACACCTCCTAGAGCTTCAAAGCCCTTATGTTGTGCCTCATTACTTTTATCATCAATATATACATCGACATTTGATATTTCAATATGTGAAACACCAGGTAGCGGAACTTCCGTAGAATTAACTTCGGGTTCAAGATGTTGAAGTTCATCTTTAAAAAGTTTTTGTATTTGCTGCAGAACGGCTTTATTTACAGTTTCTGTCGGAACGTTTATAAACTTTTCCGTCACTATCTGTTTCTTATTGGTTGCATTAGTCTGATCTTGTTGTAGACTTTCTGCTGATGTTAAATTATTATTCATTTCCAAACTTACTATTTCTTCTCGAATGTTACTACTGCACGTGTCACGAGCGTTGTTACAGAGATCGCTTGTTTCGTTACTTTCGTAAAGCTCTTCGTTGCCGAATATTATTTGATTGTTGGAAGTGGGACTTAAATGAACTATAGTATTCACACCAGTATTTTGTAGTTTAACTTTTATCTCTTTTTCTACTATATTTAATTTTCTTTCGCTTCCAATCGACGCATTCATGGATTCCAATTGATCATTCAAAGAATTAAGACTTTCAATTAACATATTAGAGACATATTCGTCGAGAGGTATATTACCCAATCTTTTCGAATTCTCCAATTGATTTTTGGCAATTCGTGGAGGGGAAACGGGTGGAGAAACATTTTTTCGTACTGGAACCGGTCGCACTTCCAAAGTTTCAGAGACTACAATTTCTAAAATATCGTAAGGTGATGTCTGCAGTGACAGTGGCTGCGTGTACGGAACAATATTGCTGTCGTTGTTTTCGACGTTTACCGACCCCTCGCTGACTCGTCCATCAATAAAATCGCCCGTGGAGAGCTGCGCGTGATATTCTTTCATAGTTGGCGGGGAACTGGTAAACGGATCTGACAGATCGGAAAAAGAACACTCATCGATTCGGAGCTGCGGACTATCGACGGAGGAAAGGATAACTCGAGAATCAGTCACGTGTCCTTCCTTCCCGGATGAATCAGTCAGTGGGGCCGCATCCAATGTTGTCTTGGTAACAGAGGACGAGCAGTCAACGAGACGCTCATTGGGGGAGTCCGAGCGGAGACGACGGGGGGAGGTGCGGAGCTCCGTGTGGGAGGCGTCCAGAGAACGCGTGCCGACCGGCACCGACGGAGGACCCGGGCCTGGCCCGCAGGCGGCGCACGGACACGCGCGAGCCACGGGAGCCCCGGCGCGACCCCACAGCCGCAGCAGAGCCGATTTCCGCATGTGTTCCCGCTCGCGGCGCGCAGCACTCGCTCGAGAGCCGCACCAGGCGCATGCCCCTCGTCCACTGCTCCCCGCCGCACTCCACCGCCCGACATCTTCGCTGTCCCCTTCAGACCGCTGCTGTGCTAGTCGATACCTGAAACGAGACAGTTTTATTTATATTACTTGAACTTTTTCGTGTAACTCCTTTTTATTAAACCTACTTTCTCATAATCGTCTCGGGCACAGAGTATCGTCTCCGCAGCATCCCGGGCGAGGCACCTCCTCCGCCCGCGACTCCAACACCGCCCAAGGCGCCGGTATTCAACATGTCTGCCTTTACGCACGTTCGCTCAAACGAGTCGCCGGATTCTTCATTAGCCGCTAGTCTGAAAGAGTAAAACACGTCTTTTAAATATAGCTTCACGAATTAATATTTTTATTAAAGTAACATTCACGACCATTCCAAATTCTAATCTGTGCCTCAACCTCCTTTATTGACTTGATGAGAGGAGCAGCAACATTAATAGCTGATTTAATCTTATACGAACTAAATTTCTTATTAAAAACTAGGTACCCGCCCCAGCTTCGCAGGGGTACTTTACAAAAAATATAAAATAGCCTATGTTGCGTATACGTTGAATACTTACTTTTTGTGTGAAAAATTTCATCATCATTCTTCTTTAGACATATTCTAAGTTCGAACTTAGAAAAACGGTATGTTTTTAAGTTAATAATAGTTTTTTTATTACAAAAATTTTGTATACAACATTAATGACGTGATCATGTGAAAAAGTGAGCTATTAAATCCACTTGGGATTTAATTTTGAGAATTATTAATATTATGATAACTTTCAACTGCTAGGTCCGAATCCAATAATTCAAAAAGTAATTTATAGATACTGATGTAGGCTTGAACACTAAGTAATTTATTTTGATAACACCATATGTAAATAGCTTTCCTATAAACGCTTCATGAATGCCAATTTTTAAAAGTAGTAAAATGGGTATAGTAAGTTATCCTTAAGAGATAGACATATTATGCCATCGCGGACTTTTGTGCAGACCTACATAAAACATACAATTCCACCATACATTACTTTGTTATATCTCAAAGGGTTTATTCAGCGTTTTCGTTAAAAGCGGACAGGCGGCTCATTTTTTCCGACATCTTCAACAAATATCGTTAATGGACACAAACCAAAACAAAACCTTAACAGGTTATATATTAAAACCTTTCTCGAGAATCACACTATCGAGTGGTGAGGACCGCGTGATAATCGGTTCAGTAGTTTTTCCGTTTATCTCGAACAGACAGACAGACAGACGTGGTGGGGGACTTTGTTTTATAATATGTATTGATATTCAAATTATGAAATTACTAATATAGGTACAAAAGCACTTTAAATTACAAGCTTGTCGATGGATCTATGTCTCATCGCGGTCAAAGTGTGTAACTTGTGCAAGTCCAAACATGGTAAACTGGAGATTAATAACGTTCAAGTAGTTATTAGTAAAGTATCGCGGCCGGGAATAGAAGCCGACCCTCGCCGCGAACAACACAACATGACACTCATCACACGTGCGGAGCGGGGGGGGGGGGCGTGTACATGACACGTCGTTTGAAATAGAACACACTGTGGTGCAAACGATGAACAATTGTCGGCTTTGTTTATCATAAGAGAAATAGAAGCGTGAAAGCGGCGCTGCACCTCTTCAAGGAGAACTGTCAGTGAGAGGGTTCTATGGAGTATAACAGTTGTATCAATTAAACGCATGCCTGCTCTTAAGACATGCTCTATTTACTGAAGACACACATACTTGTACAAGATAAACTCAGTGAAGTCATGACGCCCGGCGATTCATTAAAATGGTTAAATATTGCGTGTGACTCTGCGGGTATACATTACGTGAAAATTATTAATGAATAAATTAAATATATGATAAAAAAATACATCGAATTTGAATGAATCCCGACTGTTCCTCAGTATCGTTGATATCAGTCCAATAAACAACAAGAGCAGATATATTGAAACCAGTCGCCACGTTCCCCGCGCCTGAATTCAATCACGCCAACTCACCAAACACTAGTTATTATTTATGTAACTCGAGTGTCTGTATCGAGCCGATCCTCCGTGACTCACGACGCCACTCCGCGGGCGGGTGGCGGGTGACGGTCCTGTCATTTATCTCACACACTAGCCCCGTTCATTCTCTCTTCTAAGTCCGCGTATCTCTCGGAAGTTGTTTATGTTTACGAGCTTAGTCATAGTATTGTGCCTTTCTCGGAAAACGTAACCGTGTATTGAAATTATTGATTTAATTATATACAATTCTGTATTTTTTGTATTTGCTTATAAAACAGTGTTGTTTCAAGCCGCGGCTACCGTCCGTACTCTGGACTCAACAGTAGTAGCTCCGTAAACAGTTATATTATGTTTAATGTATTGTTTATGAGAAGCACGTGACCGGCCGCCTTCAACGACGGTTGGGTGCACATTAAAGTGACAAGAACACAAAGCTGGTTGTTATAAGAAGTTTGTGAAGACTCCGGGATCCGATGTCATGTTGAACACAGATCACATTGTTTATACAAAACCTGTCTTGAGATCACTCGGCTCAGTCAAAATATAATAACGCATTGTTTTTCGTAAACATTAATAAAAAAATAAATTTCAGCTATCCCTCAATAAGCGAAACTGTAGATTTTCTAGGAGTGTTATGTAATATTTTTCGTGTTTACGTTTAAATTTTAAAAATTCTTACCTGGAACTAAAAAATTGCAACGAGTTATTTGAATGCTCTGGATGCCTTTCAATAATTAATATTGAACACATCCGTACGCTTCAAGTTAAACGCGTGTTCTGTTCATTACCCTATGTAGTATGTACTCGTACTAATACCCGATACAACACGCACAGACACACACGACAAGTGGCTCTCTTTAATCATGAATTCTTTAGCAAGATCTTAATGTGTATATACTAATAAGTAATAACTCTCTGTTAGTATGAACCTATTATCAACATGATTAATACAAGTGTGAGTTTCACTAACTGCTCATTGTGTCACATTCAATCAATTACATTTCTTGTCACTACTTTATATTGAACAGTAAAGTATCTTCCTATTATTTATATACCTGATGACTGATGTTATATCTCTTTTCTTTTTGTTTCCTTCTGAAGACGACGGCCGGAATGTATGTAAAATATTTTTCTATTTACGGTCGATATTGAGCCGCCTCTATACCCTTTAACTACCTCAGATACTTTGGACGCTCTCCAACATCTATCCAACACAAGCCATTAATTCCAGTGTCCATGTTCAGTCCAAGAGTGAGTCTTTTTAAACACAAACAACTTGTCTATAGACAAACGAGTCTTCCTCTTCCTCTCTCACAAACAAACATCCACAATTCATAAAACACACCTTTACTATTAATGAAATAATATACAACACTGATCGTACCACTTATTGCCCTCTTCTTTCTAAGGGTACAAACGTACTGACGTATCGATTATAATAACAATATTAATCGTATTTTTGTCATCATGTCGTATATAATACATATATAAGTGTAAGGAGACGCCCTCCTCAGATCGCTGTGTGTTCAACTGTGATTACTTGTTCAGTCCTCGTGTCTCACTCCTCTCTGTATGTCATCTTAATAATCCGATCGTTCATTTCGTCTGTTTCCGAGATGATCTCAGTGTAACAAACTGTTCAAGTTGTTTTCTAACACGAGACATGCAACCCCCATCTACCATGACTACACGACTCCGAGCCACACTACGAACGACTGAGCAAATACTTTACAGAATCTGTTGACACTTTGAACATACTATAAATACTGACTTGGAGAGTTACTAAAAATATCCTAAGTATGGATCCAAGATGATGAAGTCCATTACTCCATACTTACAGTACAACGGTATACGTGTCCGCCGCCTATGTTGAAAGTACAACACCACTATAAAGGTATATTTTTTTATATTAACATAAAACTGTCAGCGCCATCAATAGTATTTAGTATTTGTAACTTTATTGAAGCCACACGAGCGGAACGCAGCTATAGTTGGTAGGAAAAACAATAATAACTGCTTAGAATTTAACAAAATTATGATATGAGAAATCGGAGTAGTTGAGATGACTTCACTCTACAAGTAACATACTAAATAGAGATCATATTGTTTTTGTAAGTTACCGATCGCGATGGATCAAACACTAACATTACAAGTCACACTCATCATAAAAGGTCCACTTAATAAATACATCTCATTACAAGCTTCTTCTTTAACTTACATAAAAACCCCTCATAGATTTGTAACCTTGACACAATTCATTTTTACTATTAAAGTTATTGTTAACCAAGTAGATAAAAAATTAAATATATCTTCAATGTTTAATATCATATTACATGTGAAATGATATCATAAGTACCTACGTACGGATTAAAAAATAAACTCGTACATTTTTCATTGAAGCTCATTCAAATAAGCTCTGTTACAGTGGCAGGTTGTTTTACTGTTAATGTATTATCTCTAATGTTCGTGAACATCTCTCCTTTCTTCATTATCTTCGTCCGTCAGCCGTGAACAGTATTCTTAGAACATGTTTCCATCGTCACACTACGAGTGCAGACGGAACGTTTCTCGTTTCTCATTTAATAGCTTGTATTAATACGGTCATTTGATATTCATACCACTCGACTCTGTGCTGTTCCGGATGAACATAAGAAAGTTAAAGTAGATGCAGTAATGGACCGCAACCGGTTATTAAATATATATAACGTTTAAGTTTATTTTTTGTTAACGGCGACTTCACTGGACCGAAGGAAATCTGCATGTGGATCCGATAATTATGTTAAGAAAACGAGTATGACAGAACTAAACACGCACTCCGTTCACTGGGTTATGAGTTATTACTTAGTGTTAAACAAACAGACTGACATGGAAATATCTACAGTGATATTAATATCGAGAGAAGAAAAACAGTTGTGTTAAAGACGAGGCGAGGCCCAACCAGGACCTCTCAAGGAACGTAGCTGATGACTTTCAGGAACTGTTATTAAAGTAGAAACTTATGTATATAATAATGATCATTTATGTCGAATGAGACAACAATTTGAATATATTTGTTATATTATCACTGGAGCTTTAGTTTATGATAAGAAGATTATATGTAAAGTAGAATACAAACTGTTAAATTAATGAAGATCCTTAACGTGCGGAAATCGAAACAAAAGATTAAAGTATAAGTTTGAGCTAGTCCCAGCGGGGCTTCCTCGACACAGACTGACATCTAATATGAGGATTAGAAGAAGACAGACATGAACTACTCGCGAGGAGACTCCTTACACAAGGTACATATACTGATGCTTATAATAATGAGACGCGACTCTCATATCACAAGTACATTACGAACACTCCAAAACAGAAATGAATCTATAATAAACATGTTGCTGTTTAATATCATACGAAAATAAATCTTCAATTGATGAAATATACTTAAAGGAAACTTTCAACGCCGTTTATAAAGTAACAGAGAGACGGTCCGTACGTTAATGACTCATCAGTCAACAATCATTTAAATGTTGACGAAAACATAACACATGTTGTTGTCGACAACAGTGACCGAGCGACGACAAACAACACGTCAACAGACAGGCAGACAGGCAGGGAGGTTCCTCATCTTATTAGTAAACGTATACATATATTTTTTATTTACTTCATTTATCCATTTCATGTTTTTTTTCTAAACCAGTGCCATTAAGTATGTATTGATGGGTGTTTATTCAAAGATCCATAATAACTGTAAATGTAACATAATAATAAATAAATATAGTTATTAAATACATTTTATTTTAATTTCCGTCAGTGAAGTGTCAAACTTGAGTCTCTCACTGTAAGCCGGCGACGATTTGCACACAAAGAGAATGCGAGCTTTTGACTTAATATCATTGTGTCGCCGTGTATACATCATACGTATATGACATATGTACATATAAAATGTAGTTCAAGAAACTATTTTTAATAATAATAAATGTATCAAGTGGAAAACTGCTAACGTAATAAATTGTACTTTGTGTATAATTCACAAACTTCCAAAAATTCATTGAGAAAATTTGAAAAGAACTATTTCAATTTTTCGTGTACGAACCACATTGTACATTTTTTGCTTTATTGTTGTTGTCAATAATAATAATGTGGAATATATATGTATTTTAAAATATTACATAACGTGTTCGGAGTCTTAGCTACAACTGATTACATATTATATAATAACTAAACAAGTAATTCATTTCTCTAGACGCCTCATTCTCATCACACGATACAATCCAGTGAAATCCTTCTTTATTTACAAAACGTTGAAGAAGCTCGGCTCCGGTTCAGTTCAAACGCGGATCATAAAAGGCAACAATTCTCGGTGAATCATTCCCAGTGAATGAACAGAGAAAATATGTATATGTCTTTTGGTTTGCTTCACTCGTTATGTTAAGTTGCTACTTTTTAAGTTAAATACGTTCAAAGTTTTTAAGTGTACTTTTAATGATGTCTTTTTTATTATTAAAAACATATCGAGTAAGTTTCTGTTTCGCTGTAACTATACTGATACTGTTTAAATATGAAATCTTCAGATACGATTACGTTTACCGATATGTAAGTTGGTTTATAAGTAATACTAACTGCTATAAAATATTATAAATATATCATACTTTATATTTAGTACTACAATGAATACTATAATTTAGAAGTAATCTAAGGGACGACATCGCTACTGTTGTATATGTTATATATATGTATGTTAATGATCAGTGTGTGTGTGTGTGTGTGTGTGTGTGTGTGTGTGTGTCTTACCGTCGGTAGCGGTCCCTGAGCGAGGCGGGCTCCGGCCAGGCGTCTCTCAGTAGTCTCAGCGAGTCTCTCAGGGCGGGCGAGGCTCCGCGTCCTCCACAACCTGCACACACACACACACACACACCATGTATTAGAATACACTTAGTAATATAAGGTCAGTGAACAACGAGCCAGTGTGAGCTGGGGAGCTCAGTACAAGGGGTCGAGCTGAGTGTGTCCCGGCGCGGTGTCCGGAGACCTAGATCCAGGTCAGCGACACGTCACTACAACCTACTTGTAAATTATATAAAACGAGGTTTCATTTTTCATATAACGAGAGGCGAGAACCGTGACACACATACTGTGCTTATTAATTTTGCTTGTTATTTACAACATCAGCGAGTGATGTTGTTATCGTTTCAGTATATATTTTCAGTAAGTTTTCTATCAGAATTATTTTGTCAATTTATGGCATCATACTATTTTGAAGAATATGATCTGTTCAAACAATCTAAAGTTAATGAAGTTTTCTGATAAAGTTGATGTTTAATGTACTTTTTCATAGATTTAGTGTCAAATTCAAATCTAGTTATTTAGTAATTATATTATAAGGATTTTGACATATGTTCATCGTCATTATTTCTGCTGCAAGATACCTTACAATTAACCAAACAAACTACTCTTAAATTCCGCAGCAGGTCTTTTTTGTCCTTATTTTTTAAATTTTTGTTTATTATAAGTCATTATGTACATTAAATTTCAGTGAGACAATTAACAATGTAATTGGTTTTTATCAAGCAATTAAAAAAATATTCGATTTTTAAATTTAAATTGAATAAGTTATTTCATAGAGATCATCTGTCTCCTATTTCTGGTAATTTGTATGTGAGGTATTTTTTCTTCGGAAATAGGTTAGACTAAATAAACTGCGTATTATTATATTTGAATAAAAAATTGTGTTCTTAAATCCAGAAAACGTATAATACATGCACGGTCCTTCTGTCTTCATATATTCAATATTGTTATATGTTTGTGTGTTATGTTCAGAAGTTATTGTTCTGTGTCATATAACGACACAGTGTTAACGCCTAACATAATGTTGAAGAGATCGGTCCCATGAACTTTCGTTTTAACTTCTATGGAAACATATTTTGTTACATTAAACACTGAAAACATGTATGTTTACAAATAATACAAAAATAAATGAAAGTAACAATAAGATTAGAACTTACATTTAACAAACTGAGATATTTATATATATAACAAGCTTGTTCCATAATAATATACAGGGTGACTGGTGAATTACTATCAATATTTAAGGAGAATACTCGGTACATGATTCTCATTCGAATTATGTAAAAAAATAGGTACTTAATTTTTGACCAAATTTCCGTATAAATTAATAAAGTGTGGACACGTTCCAAGTGTTCCACGTGTGGACGCGTGTGTGTGTGTGTATACCTAATCTGTAGGGTGTTCACACGATGCGTAATTAATTACTTACCTTTTGGTTAACTTTACTTAGAAGTTTATTAATATTTATGTTATATTAATTTTTATTTTGTCATATATGATCGTCAAATATCACATCCTCAAGTATCGATAGTAATTCACCAGTCACCCTGTATATGATGTTAGATCCGAGTAACATGAAACAACTAAGATAATAATGTAGGTAAACTTCTTACGATGATCTTTGATTTGAAAATGAAGAATCATTTTAATATGTTGTGTTCAGAATACTTAGAGATAGACGAGTTCAATGAAACATCTGTTAAACAGGGTTATTTATTTAATGATCTAAAATTGTTTCTTGTTTTAATAACATTTTCAGATGTTGGAATATAAACAAATGTAACGAAACAAAAAAGAAAGATGAAAGTCCCAAGGAATGACGGTAGGACGTACCAATTGTTTTAATTATTTTATGTGTGTCACTTGGTAACGTGTAGCGTGAGGTGAGCCAGGACGTAAAGCTGTGTTTCGATTGTGACCTGCAGCTGACTCATTCAAGTGAGAGAGATCACGGTAAAGGTCCTCGCTGACGCCCGGCGGCCCACACACTGTACTCATAACAATAAACTACTCACGTTATTACTCGTAAGTCTTTATAGTCGCTCGCTAAAAGCCTTCAATGTGTATGGTAATGATACGAACTCATTACACTGAAATATATAACACTCACACGGGCTCACCACCACTTCTGAGTTCACTCACACTGTAGTCGCAGAGTATACGGTTCAATACTACACTAATTAAAATAATATACTATGTATACATTATTAAATAATGCACCGTGAGTATTGAATGTTTGAATCTATTTTTTTTTTCATATTATTTACATTCAAAAGAACCGTAGTAATAATACACTAGCAAATACGTTGTTTGAAAATACTTAACTGAAATTACTACAACCTACATGTATCGTTGACCAATTTTATTTATAAATACCTATCGAATATATAATTCGATCAAATAATCAAATGTTTCAATGAATATATTTCATTAAGTACCTGCTTTAACAAAATGCTAATCAAGTTTGAAGTTGAATAAGTATCTTGTTATTATACAAAACGAAAGTAAAAGACCAGATAAGGATAAATAATATATGGAAATTAAATATAATTAGGTAACGGTTGCAAGTTAAAAATAATTGTTGTTGTCAAAAAAAAAAAATAATAAATAAAATAAAATAATACAATATACTAAAGTTTTAATCGTTTGTCATAGTGATTAAAGTGGACAATAGTGATTTATTTATTTACAATAAAAAAAAAACCTGTTATTCACTTAAACTGATTAGTATATAAAAATAATAATATAATACTCGAAAGCTTGAAATTCTGCACTACGTTAATATACTTAAGAGGTTTTCTTTTGACCTCCAACATGTCCCTAACACAAGTCCTGGCAATAGAACCATTCGATTGTGAAGGTGATCCAACCTCCTTAGGCTCGCGTTGGGAGAGATGGAAACGTGCATTATAAATTTACTTTGTAGCTACAAACACAAATGATCAAAATAAAAAACGTGCAATTCTATTACATTCCGGAGGCATGTCATTACAAGATATATGTTTTAACATACCTGGTGCCCATGTTACTGACACGACTGAAGGTTATGACATTGCAGAAAAAAAAATTGACGATTACTTTTCCCCAAAGCAAAGTTATTTAGAAACAAGAACCAGACGAAAAATTCTTGATTCTTTTAAGACGACAAAGCTCAAAATGCAACTTTGCTAACGAGGATGAAAATCTTATAGATCAAACAGTAGGAAAGTGTAGCTCCACCCAACTAAGAAAGAATATTTTGATACTTGGTGACACGGCAACAATAGAAAAGACTATTACAGAAGCAAATTCTTTAGAAACTGTAGAAAGAGAATTAAATGCGTTCCACGATAGACAAAACACTACTTCCAGTATTAATAAAATAGATACTAAATCAAACAAATATACATGAAAAAAGACATTGATCTAAGCTGTAGCCGATGTGGTAGTAAAAACCACAAAAGTGATAATAGTTCCTGCCCTGCAATTAATACTAATTGTTTGAAGTGTGGTTTCAAAGGTCACTTTCAGAAACACTGTAGAACAAGGGCCAACAAAATAAAAAATACTAATCTCCGGTCGAATGACAACAATATAGTTAAAAAGTACAAACAAGATACACCCAAAAATAAAGAGTCTACGTCTATAGATTACTACTCTCTAAGATGACATACTTATATTATAAAATAGTTTTACAAAAGAAACTAAAGAGTAATGTTTCCGAATCCGACTAAAACTAATTTTATAAATAACAGATATTACAGGTGTTGGTTCATTATAAAGACACTCAGAACATAATAATAATAATTAAACGGTCCAGTCCACGTTGTTATAGAGTGACTTTCTGAATAAAAAAAAACTAAATTTTACAATATTACAAAACAAAATAAGCGAATTATATAAATAACGTTGACATTATAAAAGATGCTTCAATATATTTTATAATCAGCTTATTGTAAGTACTTATCACCTCCACTGGCTTCACTGGCCGTGTACATTAATTATTTCTTTCATCTCTTTATAAGTAAATTCATACAAACCATATAAATGTGTATTGTATAATCATTAGTTATTATTAATATGATGTCAGCTGTATGTAAGTCCGCGGACTGCGACTTGTTCACTGCAATGCGACGTTGGAAGTTGGAACAAAGGGGGCGGCGAGCTACACACATTATACTCGTATGTACTGAGATCCAGCTCGCTCATGTTATGTTATTTGGATACATACTAATGAACGACTGAGCTCTGGCAGTTTGTTCAGTCGTTCGTTCGTTCTTATAATTTGTTCACTAGATCCATATTATATTTTAAAGGACGCTTCTCGTTAACAGACAAGTTTATTCATCACTGCAACATGAATATTAGCCGCGAATTAAACTATTCAGTTCTGTTTCAAAACTTAAAGACATCAAAGATAATATGAGCCACAGAATGATTGAGTAACAGACGCGGATCAGGATCAGGCTGAGATGAATTAAGAAGAGAGGAGTTACAGGGAAATGAGGGAAGAAACGAGACCACGGAGTGAACAAACAACTATGATGAAATTAAAACAGGAATTTATGATATATGAATATTTAAAGAAGTTTGAAAAACCATAATAATAATAACACAGAACATGTTGTATGTATGAGATAGAAAGTAACATTAACATACAACAATAGATATCCGTATGTAGGTCGAGAGGGGACGGACGGCTCACGAGTGGTGGTTGATGTACCTCGAGCGACCCACGAGAGGTCACAACAATACCTGGAGCAGTGAGGAGACGAGGAGATAACATCTGTATCACCGTGCAGTAGTGGTGTCTGATGAAGCGTCACATTATAATACACACAGAGGGCGCTCTCGACGGCCGGGAGTCGACACGCCTCCGTTATAACATGAGGAGCACTACACGTGACTCATCAGGTTAAACTTGACTTATAATAGTGTGTATCATGTAGCTTTTACGATACGATAGGTTTTTTTATATTTACTATCAATAACTTTGGAGGATTAGTTTTATTTTATAATCTAAGTAGCAGAAAACTCAGTACCAACTATAAATAGAAGACATTTCTTGTATTTTTTTCTGTTTTGTATGATAATTTCTATCGTATTTCAATTTTTTTCTTATCAGACTCATGTTAATATTCGGATCCACTAATCGGATCCAAGAACAACAACATGTCCTCACACCAGGTTGTAAGTCCCCGGACCACTGTATAAGGGATTTATCATTAACACAAACTATAAAAGTTTCTTCGACCGTCCTCGTAGTGAGTATCACCACCATATATCCACCTCTCCCCGCTCCACTCCTCGACACACAACTCTTTGCATATTTGTTGAATGAACCGCGGTTCTATTATTAATACGAGTGAAGCCGCGGGCCGCAGTAACCGATACAACAGATGGACTTCGCTCACCTACATGAACTTGTATGATACATTATTTAATGAATTCAGATCTTACGTTTATTTATGTTTAATCAATACACCAATGAGAGATAAATGTTCAATGGCACATCAGTTTTAGTATAACAACCCTTCGACCAACAATACATATAATATTTATAAAAAATAACAGTATGTACGATGAGTGACTTATATTAGCTATGATATTAGTTGTTTCATCAATATATAAAGTTCTTGTCTCTAGGATCAGTTAACTCAGTAACGACATAAAACATCGTTATACTCGTCAGCTTTAAATATTATTTATTCTTTTCTTGTCCTACTTTATGCTGAGTTTTATGTTTTTATTCTAAGTTATATGGCTCGTTATTTGTTATCTTTATTGAACAAATAATAAATATGTGTATGAGAACGATATGAAGTTATTTCATGTTCATACGTCGACCATACAAATTGTTAAAAATCCAAATATTCAAACGTGCAGTTTTAAGGGAATGTCATATAACGACGGGACCCTTAATACATATGTAAAGAAGACTCAGTCATGGAGGAACACACAGCAATTAAATATGAACACGAACTGAGAAAATTAAGTCGTTTAAAGATACTTCTTGTGAAAAGAATCTAATGAAAACTCTCACGACTCAGGCCATATAAAGTTTGTTTCACATATGTATATTATATGTAAGCATGTATGTGTGTATGTGTGTGTATGTATATACTCTATGGTATTATATTATTCTGAATTAAAATATTTAGAAAATTGAAACATCCAAAATATTGAGGTCATTTGTCACTTTTATTAGATTCATTAAAAAAAGATTTGATTCAAAATTATATGAATATAAATCTCACCAGTCACAACATGTTATAAGTGGAGAAGTTACTCGTCCAGTGTCGCCGATATACAACTACTTATTACTGAAGTACATGTTAGCAACAAGAAGGATGGTTGAGGAGGATGATACAGGGACAGTTGTTACTCTCAAACATTTAAATATGTACATCTTAATGTAATTGAGGAAGCTCGACTATCAACCGTACTTCCGCGATGAAGAATATCTTTAAATTTAGCATCAATAATGTGTTATTCTGCACGACCGAGTGTGTATTAAATGTTAAATGAAGGAAGTCACCGACGGCCGATGGTCGGCCGCGGGCCGGTCACTACTTCCGCATTAATGTAACGACTCCAAGTAATTTGATGCTCAGTTTACGATTACAGAGGATCCTACACTACTAGACTACACACGAATAAGAACACATCTCCTCGAAGACTTTGTTCAATTATACAATTAATTAAAAAATCTTGTTATGAAATGTTTTAAAACTAACTGAATTTATGAACACTACAACATGACTGTAATATGGAAAACGGGAACAAAACCATTTTAAACAAAGTTCAATGTCAGACGAGATCTGTCGCAGAGTATATATATTATATATGTTTGTAATGTATATGTATTAATTTATTGTTATACAAGTAGCTGTGGGAGTGTATTTCGCTCCGCGTCAAGATCGCCGCTGATAACTGTTTCGTTTTTTGTATATATTTCGGGTAATTAAAGGTCCGAGGTCGTCACGACTCCACCTCACCTCGACCTTCGTCGATCCTCTACTCGCTATGCGTCACTCCACTCTACATAAACTAGAACATTTAACATCGTCGCTATACTTTAAGTAGTCTCTTGTCTGTCAGTCTGTATGTATGTATGTGTGTGTGTGTGTATGTGTGTGTCTGTGTGACTCACCTCGTGTTCTGACCGTCATCTTATCGGTCGGTACTTAAGCTGAAGGATTGTCATGACGGACGAGTCCTTTGTTTTGTGACGAACAACTAAACCAGCTGTTAGTTTTATTAAAGTATTTAGAATCAATCCTGTTCATTTTAAATTTAATTCTTAATGTATTCTACAGACCAAGAATAACGAAGTTTCATTTTATTTATAAAATAATCTAAAATAAGTCTGTACACTTGACTTAATATATATTTTTATAACTTCGTACGTAATATGTTTTTATTAATATAATTTTACCCAAACATTTTCAAGTCAAACAAGTATAAGGCTTTTTAATGCGTGCGACCTTAAACTGCACATAAATACAAAAATAATAGTAACATGAAATGAGTTGTTACCCACTGTGTGTTTGAGTAAAAGAGCACGTTTGGGAATAAACTGCAATGAAACAATGTTCATGAATTATAATATTTTGATACACGACACACGACGATGATGGTTTATTTCACTACTTATAATTATATATATTTTACTCTCTCAAATTTCACTTCGGTCTAAATAGAGCAGTTTACGCCAAGTTATTACAATTAGCTTAAAATCCAATTAGAATAATATGTTCAACCGTTTAAACATAAGACCAAGAAAGACGACAATATCTAAATAATATGTATATTGTTTCTGTTTTGTCATCATTAAATGATGGAATACACTTGAATAATAATTTTATTTTAATCACAAGCGGTCACTTCAAATTTATATATACAACAATACAAATAATACAGAGGTGAGTATGAGAAAAATAATATTATGTCAAATGTGAAAAGGGTTCGAAATAATATATGCGTGTTAACGACTTAAATGTGAACTTGAAGGGCCTGGTGTTGCGGAGATTCAAAGTTTTTCTCACAACAGAGGGTCAAGTCAAAGGTCATACGAGCTGGTGACCACCACCGGCTCTGGATCCTTTCCATCACCGACCGAACAGAACAGAAAAATCAATACTAACTTTATACTCCTGCAGTGACCACTCGCCGACCACCACCGTATCCTGGCAACGGACTCGCAATGTTTACAATTATAGCAAACGTTTAACTTCCAACACCCAGGACTATAGCCTTTAGTAACTTTTTGTGATGCAAATTGTTTTAAATATAATAATAATGTTATTGTAAACGCTCGTACAGCTCAACCGGCACGGCTCTAACTGCAGCGCGTTTAACAACGAGACACGAGCGACGCGTCTCACAGCGCGGAACACACTGACGTATGACACGTGAACACTGACACTTGACATATGACACAATGATGACAGGTGACAGGTGACAGGAGACGCGAGGACAGTAGACTGAGCGGCCGATCATTGACCGGGACAACTGGAGACTTATATAGGAAAACTTAGCTTTATAATAACAAGCATATATGCATACCAATCAAATCAAGTTCGAAGTTGGAAACGCAATTATCAATATTGTTCTTTTATGAAACTTTTAACATATTTCGGATAAAAAACATTATTCTCGTATGAAACGAATGATGATAATATTAATTATTATAATAATAAAATAAAATGTTTATTTGAGGTGAGTCGTGTGAGGAGGCCGGCGGGTGGCGCTCGACCGGCCTCGGCCTTACTAGAGGTCGGAAGAAAGGCGCTTTACGCACTTCAATAAACAATTTATAAACCAGTAACAAAACTATACTACAACATACAAATTATTATAATTACAACATTAATTTTTCATATTATTAGGAATTTACGTGATTTTTATTCGACCAACTTTGAAGGGACTTGAGTCTTGACTATAGGTAGAGGCGAGTGATCTTTATTATATTAATTACTAGTTTTTGCCCGCGACTTCGTCCGCGTAATTTGGTCAAGAGTAATATATGTAGGTATAGCTCACCAGGCGAACTCTATTCCGTTTTAGAGGCCATAAATAAACAGGTTTTTCCTGTTTCAATCAAATAGAATGAGTGACATATTAGTTGTCAAATCTAATGTCAAAAAAGAACGTTTGTATGGGAAATAGAAAAGGGCTGTTTTTATGGTTTTCCCGGCAATTATTCCAATTTTTCTCACCTTTTAAACCTTCCCTGGACTTCCAGGAGTATTTCAAGACTAAAATTAGCCAAATCGGTTCAGCCGTTCTCGAGTTTTAGCGAGACTAAGGAACAGCAATCCATTTTTATATATATAGAAGATTGTAACCTTCAAGTAACATCCCTACTAATATTATAAATGCGAAAGTAACACTGTCTGTCTGTCTGTCTGTTACGCTTTCACGCCTAAACCACTGAACTGATTTTAATGAAATCTGGTACAGAGATTGAGTTGACCTTGAGAAAGAACATAGGATAGTTTTTATCCCAGACTTTTGAAAGGTTCCCTTGGAAACGCGATATAATCGAACTCCACGCGGGCGAATCTGCGGGCGGAAAGCTAGTTAAGTTATAATAATATCAGTTATTATGCATTTACATACATGGCTTTAAATGATTTGTTATATTATATGATGGACGTCTAACAATATATTCTCTAAATTTCTACAAGTAAAGTTGAAAATAATATTAATATCAAGGTTTGTCATTTGCTAATTTAATGAATAGAATAGAATAGTTAGAAAGTTAAGAAAATAAAAATCTCTTACGATTAGTAGACAAAGAAACACAGTAACGTACAGATGAAGATAGGAAGAGGGTTTTAACAAAAAGAAATCGTTTGAAATTTTGTACATCACTTTTAGCCATCAAGCGTTTAAACTTGATAGTGACCGTGGCTTGTCATACATCGGACAGACTGGTACAAGGTTTAATTAAGAACATATACCAGTGTAGACACAAACGGGTGTTAAAGTAAGTTATTAGTTATGTAATATTCATGTATTCGAGAGACCAAGCCGTTCCTCTCATTCCGCTAATCTATAACAACTCGATCGTCACACAGACGTATGTCAGGTAACTCTCAATAATTAATTTGTTAGTGAGAACTTAGAGTGTGTTTTGTTTGATACGGACAAAGCTAAGGGTGATTGAATAGACAAATCGATGTGGAGTGTAAACAAATTAAAATAAATAGATCATTCACTTTGACAAAATTTTATTTAACTATTTCACTACATACGATTACGAAAAAAATATTATACAATTGTGGAGTCAGTGAGTCGGAGTACTTTGTGTGTATATTAATACGTTGTTGGTACTTGTTTATATTTTTCTAGGTTTAGTAGGAACGGACACGAGCGCCTCACGAGCCTCTACATTATGTACGACGGTCGCTGGAGACCTTTCAGTGTTCAACGGAATCATAAACATTTCATACGTTAAGAAACACGTGAACAGGTTCATCGGTACCTATCATATTATATATGAATAAGAAAACATTATTTGGTGTTAGTTACTATTTTCAGTATAACTCTCATATCAGAGATTGATAATATTTATAATGTATTTAAACCTTTCAACGATTGAAACCTCTATATTATTTATTACACACATTCTTAAAATCTTTAATTAACTATGTCTGTTCGAACACATCGACTGCGTCACGGTCTGCGTCATTCCGTTTATTTCAAATTAAATAGAAAACAATCGAAGTGATAACGTTAATTACAAAACAAATTTTCCCGTGAAATAGTTTTTTCTAAGATCTTGTTGTCAAAAGTCTTAGAATATAAAACAGTTAAGGAATAAACACACATTATTATCAAATCTCTGTACAGATGAACACACAAACACGTATGTTGGTCGTCGGCTCGTCACCCTGGTGATGGAGGCGGTGAAAAATAAATAAAACTATAGAGATACTAAAATTATAAATGAGTCAATAAAATCCTTTTCATATTATCTCGTTGTAAAAAAATTTACTCCCACACACATTTCTAGTTCTAAGATGACTTTGTTCCTGCCCCTACTACTAAGCTGTGTAGTGGCAGCAGTATTAAGATATATTATGAATTTTCCACACAAACCGTTAACGGTTTAATATCCAATAAGTTACGTTGATTCAGTGATGTGAGAGGATTGATAAATATAAAACTGTTGACGCTTCGTGTCTGCGAGTAGTGTGACGACTGACGGTACAGACTCGGGGTAAGCGTCTGATAGCAGACTAATTAATGATCTGAACGAAACTCATTGTTACTATAAAGATAATGTGTGAGGCGGTCTTTATCAACATTTACAAAACCCTGAGAAAATATAATATAAACGTCATAAAGTTTTGTTTCATAAAAACATTGGCAGTAGGAGGATTCAATTAAAACTTGGAAAAACATGCTAGAGGCTCGGTCTGTAACAAGAAAAATGTTTTCAGGAAGTGAGACTTAGTAGAGATTATAACACGCTCGTTTGGATTTACAGATGAAGACTCGGTCAAGACGAACACGTTTGATGTGAGGATAAGGAGACCTTACAGAGATGAGAGATGTTATAGAGAGAACAAGTTATGATAACAACACGTACGACATGTATGACACAACTTTATTCGAAAACATGGAACATTTGAACGAACATAGTACTTACGAGTTGGTTCATTTCAAATGTGGTTAGGTTGAGAGAGGAGCTTGGACACTGGAGCCTAGAGGTGAGCGTTTAACGCGCGTTATATAGGGTCTCCTTAAACCTACACCTGGGTCACAAGTCCCAGTCAATGTTGATGCTCCTCTCACTACAACGTTGGACTCGGATCCCGCACGGTGAATACATTGAAGGCTAAGAAGTTTCGTCTCATGTGTAAAATCATAAAGTGACGGTGACTGGGGTCGGTAACAATTTAAAGGATTTGAGATTTATTTTAATATACTTAAGTCGAGTATGATTCAAGTATTAATAAAACCTTGAGTTAGTAATTATCTCACAATTTAATTAAACAGACACAGGTTTATGTATCGGGAGATTCAGTTCTTAAACATATTTCTCAAAGTTTCAAGCCGTAGCTCAAACTCATTCTAATAAAAAAAATCGTAAAATTTGGTGACAACGTGTTTACATTAATTGTTTCTCATTAATGCAAAAGCTACTAAACGGAATTTAATCAAACCTTTCAGTTGTGTAGTTAAAAAATCAAAACAACACATTCTCTATAAATACCGAGGAATTCCATGTAGAATACTAGGTCATCCTTGTAACCGCGGGACCCCACTATGACATTAGTATTGTGTATGAAGTTACCTGACGCGGACTCTAGATGTCGCTACCGGTCTTTACCATACGCATTATGTTTTAACATACTTTGTATAGTAATATACAGATATTGAATGTTGTGATACTATTTATAAAAGAAATTGTTATTGTTATAAATAAATTTCCTGTTTTTTAATTATATACATATTTTGTTTAAGTAATGAGAAATATTATTAGTATGTAGAATTTTAGGAAATATCCCTCTCTAATATAAAAAAACGAATTTTTACAACACTGTTATTAATAAAATCTTATTTTATACAAAACATTAGGTAAGTATATATAATCGAGTATAAAGGTAAATATTAATATTAAAATATAATCGAGTGTATTTAAAAAATATACGCAATATATACTTCACCGTTGACGGTGAAGTATTAATTGGATTAAAATTAATACTTGCTGAACCCTTCACCTGGACTGTAATTCCTTGATTTCTTTATTCCGTTCTGTTTCTTCACTATTTAAATATTATTCATGACTTTTATTCAATGAAGATAATGTTTCAATACACTCATGTGTATTCTACTTTACATTTTTTAGTAACAACGCCCTCTAGTGCTCATGGACACAGGCGTTTCGAAGAAGTTACCCTTAACTTGGCTTTTAACTGTCTTTCTGAGTTTTATCTATACTTATGTACATGGATTTGAGATGAAAAATTAAGTAACGTTTACAAATTCAACACCATGTCTAGTTTTAGACAAATTAATATTTTTAGGATGTACTGCGCGATTTTTAATTTTGATTATAAACTACATTAACCTACTCCCGACGTTTCGGCTAGGTTACAGCAACCGTGATCACGGGCAAACGAGATGTGAGTGTAATCAAAAATAAAAATCGTGTAGTACATCTGAAAAATATTTCTTTCATTTAAATGAATACTCGCAAAAATCTTAGATCTCATTAGTTTTAAACATTTTAATGTACTTCTGAACAGCGTCATCTCTAGTCCTTTTGTTAAATTTCTTTTATTGTAGGATTTAAATTATTTAACAAAGATGGAGCTTTTCTCAAATTTTTAAGATGTTACTTTCTTCTCTGTTGGTTATACTTGTTAAATCATCTTTCTATGAATATAAAATATAAGGTTGGGGAAAAAGAAATCCATTATTTTTACGTGAACTTCAAGACTTTATTTAACATGTTTTGCATTGTCCGATTTAGGCATTTTGTTCTATAATTTGTTGCCACTATTAGGTATTATTAGATTTTTGTATTATTTCATAGGAATTAATTTGTTTTAGTCCTTTGCTATGATACAAAAGAGTTAAGGCTCTATAATAAGGTCACTATAAGGTATGAGGGCCGACCTCCGCCCCCCCCCCCCCTCCCCGTCCCTCGTCGGTCGGATCGTGGCGCTCCGCGTTAGTACGTGTCGGGTCGCATGTATCCGCACCGGTTAGCGATCGTGGAGAGACTAGGTTCTAACTATGTACATTATAACAAGAGAACACAACCAATGAGAGATAGAATTAAAACGATAACAGAATGGAATTTAAAAGTAACAAGATATTGGAGGAAGTGCACCCGTTAAACATTATCCGTGAGATCCAGAAGTGGCCGGTGTTGTACTCCCGGGACGGCTCCGAGCGACCGAGGGCCGGGACACGCCGTAGGAGCGAGGTGTGGAGGGAGGTGGCCAGGAACCTGCTGCGGGACTGGGACCAGCTCGACCGACGGACACAGGAACTAAAACGTACATACTACATACTGATAAGACGAGGAAGAGAGTTGTGTATGAGAGTAGTCTCGATTTATAAGGAATATGTATCGATTAAAAGTTATCGGTTGGGTAGTGACTAGTGACCTAAACTAATAGTCTCATTCCAGTCGTCCCCAAACGACTAGAAAACTTTTTAAATCTTCACGACTGCGGCTCATGTTTTTCAACTGAGTTATCTTTTGCTGAGTCTGAAACAACACACAATGAGCGGTGAAACCGATCTCGCGGTGGCTTATGTCACTCTTGTCATGATCTTAGTTGTTCGCTTGATTCAGTCTACCGTTGACTGTATATAGTTCGTCTCCTGTTCCGTACTATAATGCAACTTTTATAAAGTATTATTCAAAATACGAGTATTTCTATTAAATAGTCCTTATTAGAACTTCTTAATCTAAATGCTCCTAGAGTTTGGAGTAAAGTATTAAAGGAATTATAATTATTAGTTTCAGATTTGAACAAAAAATGGCGAAACCTCCGGGATACGTTCAAGAGACAACTCGTTATAGAGAAGAAAATTAGAGAGGGACAGAAAATAAAAAGAAAAACATACGTTTACTTTAAACACATGCTGTTCCTACTGCCTCATATAGAACCGGCCGACCACGACTCGGAGGTGAACCCTCGCCTGGAAGAGTTCTTTAACAAGAGAGACAGGAGGAGAGCTGCCAAAGACGCTCGTGGTTCAAGACACACTACACCCGGGACTCATGAGATGGATGCTACGAGTACCCCTGCTGCTTCTAACTTCGTGGATGTTCTGGATGCAGACCGACACTTCCTTCTGTCTCTCATACCCTCGTTCCAGACGATGTCGGAAGACGACAAGCTCACGGCAAAAGTTGAAATATTAAAAGTTATTAAAAATATTAAAAACAAAACACTGACAGAAGACGGCGCTCCCGAGGCTGACTCGCTGACCCTCGGAGGAGACGAGGAACACCTGGCGCGGGTCAAAACGGAGACGAGACAAGGAGGAGAGACGACCAGTGACGAAGACACAGAGGACACCAAGTACCAGGAGTGACGGGGACTGTGTGTGGTGACTGGTCAACATACTGAGAGACAGGGGAGAGACACGCTTACAGCGAGTTGTTAGTTTATAAATAATAAGTTACATTAAAGTTGGTGACCCTGATAGAAATGGATTTTTAAATAAACTTAAACTAAGTTGAAAGCAAATAGGTTAAAGGATAGGTACATATTATTATATAAATAATACTGTGGTGTTCTTTTATTCTACATTATAGCGAACCGTTCAACTACTTTGCAGTAACCATAATCTATGTACCTATTATAACTCATATTGGTTAATATTATTGTTAATATTATATTGGTTAATATTAAATGTGTCTGATGAAGTTGTCGGTTAAGGTACACAAATTTTACATGATTGAGTTAGTAAGAAAAACTGTTAAAATATAATTGAGTGTATTTAAAAATATATTTTTATGTACAAAGAACTGAGAAAATCTTCGATTAGGGAAGTGTCATTCTAAAATTAGCGACAATCATAGTCGAATACAAAGATACTACGGTTACTACGACCACGATGACGAGCAACAGAGACGCGAACACGATGGAGCCGCTGAGGAAGGCCAGCGAGGAGACCAGCGCCGTGGAGCACAGGAGCAGCGTCCAGAACAACACCATGAACCAGATGTACACCTCGCACAGGGCGTCGCTCTCACTCAGGGCCGCGAGCAGCAGCAGCACGTGCACCGCCGACACCTGCACGCCGAACAGACCGTGCAGGTAGCGGAGAGGCTTGGAGAACTGCTGCGGCAGGCCGCCGGCCACCAGCAGCCCGCTCCCGTACGACGTGAAGCAGAACAGAAACGCGCCGCCGCATACCAGCCCCACCAGCGAGATGAGGACGAGGCTCGGCCGCAGCGGGATGCAGCAGCAGCACGCGTTCAACGTGGGACAGGACTCGATCACGGCACTCATTCAAACACAACACCTTCATTGATAACACTACTGTTGACATTCACATGCTACACCTGACAGACGCTCACACGACTCAACAAATATGTACGTTTGACTGACATGACACATGGCCACTAAAGAGGTCACTGTCAATGAAGTAACGAATAAATTTATATTACTTTTTTTGTTATACAGAATTAGACCAGCGCCGATAGCTTTCAAAACATAATTAAATTATAGTAGAATGAAACTCATTAGAAAAGGAGGGGAATATTCTAAATTTAAAGGAAAAATAATTTACAGGGGATCTGAGGTCGGGAAGGGTATGGGGATGGGTATTTAAGGGTAAAAAATGGGTTTTCTCGATTTCCGCCAAAACTAAAAGTCCTACGGAAAAATGTTATATGGCAAAGTTATAGGTAATAAAAAGATCTAAAACTTTTGTACTAACATTTTTTTCACGTAATCTGAAAATTTATGTGATAAATTCGAAAAACCAAGTTTTTGGTTTTTTATTTTTATCTCTTATAAAAAACAATTTTTTGTCACGAAATTTGGTGAAAATATTTCCTTTTGATGTTACAAATACACTGTAATTTATTTGATTAGAAATATTTATTTTTTCAGCTTATTTTGAATAAATATCAAGTGTCATTTCATTAAAAGAGACATGATTATTTTATCCAAAAATGGTACTGTCACTAAGAAACTTATATTTATTTATGAACAGAAAACACACCAAATTTGTGAAAAACGCTGATATTATGACGGGTGATTTTTCGATTGAAAATGATTCTGATTTTTAGGTATTTATTCAAAATAAGCTGAAAAAATAAATATTTCTAATCAAATAAATTATACTGCATTTGTAACATCAAAAGGAAAGTTTTCACCAAATTTCGTGTCAAAAAATTGTTTTTTATAAGAGATAAAAATAAAAAACCAAAAACTTGGTTTTTCGAATTTATCACATAAATTTTCAGGTTATGTGAAAAAAGTAAATACAAAAGTTTTAGATCTTTTTATTACCTACAGCTTTGCCATATAACATTTTTCATTAGGACTCTTAGTATTTCGGAAATCGAGAAAACCCATTTTTTACCCTTAAATACCCACGCCCGTACCCTTCCTGACCTCAGATCGCCTGTAAATTATTTTTCCCTTAATTTTTATAATATTCCCCTCCTTTTCTAATGGGTTTCATTCTACTATAACTTATTTTCAGTTTTCATAATTTTTAGAGGCATCTGCACTGGCCTAAATAGTTCTTTTTCATTTCATTTTTTTTAACAGTACAACAATTTAATTTAAATATTAACGTACATGTTATTAAAACTTTTTACTTACAATATATCTGACATAACGACGTTTGTGAAAGTAATGGCTTCTTATCTATTGCAGTAAACTAGGAATCGTTATTCGATAATCGATTCAGATAAAAAAAGCATAATTCACTTAATATTTAAACTCCCATCCTTACCCTAACAAGAAAAGTATTTAAGTTCAAGCTATTTCAATAGTCCAGGACGGATACAGCAGGAAGGTAACTTTGTCCTTATTTCCTAACGTGTCAAGAATGTGAACTAACCTGCGACCGTCCTCTTCATGAGGCAGCTGATCATCCTCCTCACGCTCCCCAGCCGCGCTCGTCTCTTGTTCTTCTTCACTCCGAACACTCGCTTGTGTCTCTTCACCGATTCACTCTCACTCACTGACACTTTTTCCCCAAACAAGTCATCTGCACATGTCAATGAACTCGCCGGCATTTCTATCGGGGGCAAAGAAAACTTTCCAGGGTGGAGTCTTCTCGTCGGCCAAACGTCGTCCGAGCTCCCTAAGTCTAATCCTAGATCTCTCGGAGAGGGAAGTGTCAACGGCGGCAGTATCCTGTTGTAAGGTATGACGCGCCTCTCCTCTTGTATCCGTGAGCTCGCACTAGAACTGAACCAAATGTCGCTCGAAAAGAATGAAGAAGAAACGGATTGTCTTCTGTAGTCAAGACCATAGTTCCTCACTACGTTAATGGGATTTCTATGAACGGTGGCGTCTCCCAGGTCGTAGCTGGGTCTGGTGGAGGTGACGGAGGTGTCGTATCCCGGAGAGGAGGAGGCGCTCCAGTAGGGCGGCGCAGGCTGCATGTCGACGAAGGTGCGGGCCACGTGCGGGGGAGCGACTGTTACTGTGGGGGGCTCCGGGGATAAGACGCCGAACGGGTGCGTGAAGTAGAACAAACACAGCGGCCTGTCCTGAGAACAGAATGTATAGTTATTGGTTAGGAATAAGAGCTAAAGGGCAAATATATGAGTCATATTAATCACGACACTTACTTTTACATCTTCAGTGGAAGTTGAAGCGTCAGCCCTTCCACTGTTCATGTTGTCTCCATGTGTGTACGTCTCATCCAACGAGTCAGTCCGTCACACGGGACTAGCGCCTTAAAGGCTGTACGACTCAACGATTGATGTTTGTTTGTGACGCGTGCTCTCGGCGGTGGAGGGCGGCGACTGGCACGCGCGCCTGCCTTCCGCGCCCTTTCAGACTAGTTCATGCTATGGGACGGATTTGTGAACTAAAAGGAATACCGAAAATAATCTGCGTTTCATTAAATAAAGATATATAACGGCAGTGAAATGTTCAATAAAATAATCCAAGAGTTCAAATTAAATGTGACCGTTGACTTTATAATACGGAGCGGTGTTTTATCTGATGCAACTTTCCAAACACTTAAAATAAAACAATATATTTATTTCGTTTCAAATACAATTTATATTCTTACATGTACATCTTTTATAAAAGTAAAGCTTCATACATTACTATAAAAATATATCTCAATCCATCCCTTATATTATTTTTCAGCGATCACTCTAATAAGCGTTCTGTCGGTGGTGCGACCTGACGACGTCTCCGAGTACGCCCCCCCTCTTTTGTAAACCCTCACCCCCCCCCCCTTCACCCTTCACAACTCCTGCCCAGCTGAAAATATTCTTAAACTGATGACTGAAATGATGCTAGCAACACAGGGCAATGTTAAAGATAAGCAGATACAGACGGCCAGAGTGATGAACGAGAGAAACACACAAACACACACACACACACACACACACACACACACACACACACACACACACACACACACACACACACACACACACTGACTTCCAGCCAGACTGAACCGTGCTGTCATCAAAATGAAAAACTATTTCTCTTCTTGATAGGAAAATAAGGTCCATGAATACAAAGAGAGTCGAGAACAAACATTACAGTGACCTGGTATACGAGTAGGTACTGTGGGAAGTCGAGTAGTGTAATGACTATAAGTTATAACTAGTGAAGTATGATGACCTCATAGGAGGCATCCTAGGGACTGAAACCACTAACCAGGTACATACTTCGAATGGATTAAAATTAAGGTTTTATAATATGAGGGTTTTTAAAACATGAACTTCAACATTCATGTTACAATCTCTATGTTACAAAACATGTGTGAATGTCGTGAATCTCCGATCTACATATATGTATTACTTAAAGCCAATTAATGTGAAAACATTCCAACGTTAGGAAAGTTACGAAACATGTTCAATCATTACATCAGTGAGGTGGTGATGTTCAGAGACCCGTGTCGCACTGACCACTATCATAAAAAGCGTTCGTCATGTTGATTTGATTCACTCGGCAGAGAGTTGGAATGATGAAGGGAATCCTTGAAGTAAATACAACAATATTATTATTACACTTTACTGTTATATTATTGAATCTTATATATTAATTAAGTAAATTATACATATAAAAGAAGACGCATTACATCGTGAAGATACTCCTCCAGGCTACATGTAATGTAAACTGATGCTAGTTTTCGTTTAGCCACTTTAAATAATGCTCACATACAAACTAATAAAGCCACTTGATCTACTTAGCGGTGTGGTCTCTCACTAGTCGCGACCATTAACAGTTACGACATTTGTTAATATACCGCAAACAGCATACGTACTAGACGGCATGTGTATGTGTGTATGTGTTGTATACAGGGGGATGTCGCGTTGAAACGTTAAGATGGAGTGCAGCTCATTACTAACGTTCTGTTCTTTGAAAATTATTAATAGGAGACTAACTTAATAAAAATAACAATGTTCGTATATTCGGACGAGTACCAAAACACACACACACACACAGTTGTGTGATTGTAAGAGGGCAGCCCGAGCGGTGAGCAGCGAACATGTCGGTCAATCAGTAATGAATACGTTATAGTTCGTAAACACATCATGACATTTAATAAGGGACCGTCCGCTCCGTGATCTATGATCATATGTACTTAGAAGGGTTCAATGAACTGTACTAGAGGTACATGTAAAAATAGTTTGGATTTCGTTTCCTAGAGGGCTCCAGTGCATCTGATACTATACATTGTTGATTAAGGCACGCGGCCGTTAATATAATGAAATGATGCAATTGAAACGTCACTAACATCGACTGAGTTATGGATCGAAGGTTCCAGGGATCGCTCACGGGCCGCCGAAATATTAGAAGCGAGGTGAATGACCCGGACGAGATAACATCTCCGTAGTCGGGGATGCTGCATGTTATCAGTCCCATAACGATTATAATGACGGTTATCATCCTCACTAAGCTGTGTGTGAATAGTGACGGGACGCAGCTCAGGCCCGGCGTCCACCTGTCAATATACAATATACATGTACAAGTGGCGGTGACTCGTGACAGTTGAATCTGACATTAAATAAGTCGCTTGTGAGGCCGACACTAATGCCATGTGACGGGTGACACTCAAAATATTTGAAGTTTTAACTGATTTCATTCATTACATTTTCATAAACATATGTATACATACACAATATGCTTCTAATATTAACCGCGGCATCTGTATTCTGTACCATGTATAATTCCCAGCGTGTATCACTTATGATCGATGTCTCTGTGTCAGGTCGTCTGATGTACGGAAACCCGAGCCAGGCTCACCACACGTGGCGTCACAACAGATACAATTAATAAATAGAAAAGAAGAGACGAGAAAAACACGCGGTGCTTCATAACAAACAAAATAAAAAGTTCAAGCAACGTTAAAGAACGAACAGTCAAGAAACTTGATAATTTAGAAACTTGACTCACAATTACGATGTAAATATGTCACTTTAAAGTTTAATTTATTTTCCATACATTACAATGTACCTGCTAGTGTGTCATAATCTAACGGTCGACTGAAGTGCTTCCGTTGTAATAAAACTACCTAGTGCTTTATTATGTATTTATGAACATGATAAAATTGTTTTAATATCTGCGGAAGGAGCTGCCGGCTTTGTGAGTGTTGTGATCGTTATCAGAAGCGTATTCGTTATAAATCAGTGACCGCGGTCGTTAAAATAACATCTTAACTTATTTATTGTACCATGCACCATCACCGATACTTTGATCTCAAACAGTTCAGCGCATCCAGACTCTGTATGTTCGCGAGTGTTGGCCTGAGTACTGTGTGCCGCCGGCCGCGTGCTGTTTGTTGTATTCCCGCCTTTTTTTGACAGTCGACAGTATCTCGCCGCGCGCTGCATCGTTAGCTTGTGTCTCTCTGATGCCGAGTCCTCGTGTTCGTTCGTTACGATTTAGTTTAGGTACCTACTCATAATAATTGTCGCGAATATAGTGCAGTGTGACAGTGATAATAGAAATTTACTGGTTCCCGTGCTCTACATAGCGCGACGATTAGATAATATAAAATATTTTATCGATCTATTTGTCAGTTCGCTATCGAGTGTTTTCACTATTAAGTATGCGGTTTATTAATGAACGTTTTGATTTACTTTCAACATTCATATGGATTCTTTAAATGTAATTATTATTGTGAAATATTCATGAGTACACGGAACTACTGAATATTTTAACATATCCACATTATATACATATATAAACGGTATCTGCATGACTTTATCAACATCGCATTACACGAAGATATTGTCTCTGATAAAACATTATTTAATTGCTTAACATTCAGTAAATGGCGTTAGTGATGTCAGAAACTTATTTTAATGCACTTAATTTGGAAAAAAATATATTTTATGAATATTTTATTAAACGTCATGAACACAATATAAAAGAATTTCAAAAATGACAATAACGTGGGCAGTCGACCTCGCGAACCTCGTACATACACACAGCAGTCGAACGTACACATGAAATATGTTAGCCTTTATAAGTTGAAGATATTACAAGTCGTTACTTAAAGTATAAAATTTATAAAGTAAGAGGCGTCCTATGTGATCGTCTGTTACACGCTATAACACGAGAATCATTGATGATAGATAGATAGTCAAACAGTTCTTTACTCTCGGATCATACATTCCTTTAGAGTTTAGACAGACTTTAATATTTGTAATCATATAAGAAGCGTAAGTCCTCTGACTCCGACGTTTTTATTACAATCCAACGTGTTTTACATTCAATTAATATTTATAAGTGAAGCGATATGATTTATCATACACATATCAATATATATTGTATATCATACTTAGGCGGATAATTGTGATAGCAATTAGCGTCATTTGAATAATAATTAATTTTGCTTCGGAAGAAAATACTGTAAGGAAACATGATTTTTATATATAAGTTTTGTAAGAAAGATATTAAGTAATGGTCCGGTAGTAATAAACAACAGAGTAATATCAACAACAGTCCTGTGTGTTGTTTGTTGTTGTCAACTCAGCTGGCTCACATGTCTCACACTCGTTAATATACTCGATACTATTGCTACACTTCAATCTTGTAATACATTTTTCTCGTTTTTTTTCGTATTTTTTTCCAAGTTATGGTAATGATTAAGATTATATACAATTATACTTCCTCTTTTCGTTTTCACCTGTATTACTTGTGTATCACTTCAGCAGTACACTTTAAAACAGTACATGTTATGTTTATAATGAGAGTATGTGTACAGTACAGTACAAGCTCGTGTACAGTCCCTCGTCAGTCCACACTAACAGTCTAGTCCATGAGCCGCTGGTCGTCCAACAGCCGGCTCACAGTCCGCGGTGATGGTAGAAGTCGAGTGAGTCACTGGAGCTGTTACGGTGATCGGCTTTAGATAATGAAGTCTCGAGGTCGGCGTGTTACAGTACTACAGATATATACGAATTAAACAAACAATGAACAGAGAGAGAACTCGGCCGCCTTAGACAGTGTAGTTAGTGAGTTACTCTCCCTCGAGAGGTGGACATGTTAGACGCTCTAATACCAACCTGTCTGGAGTGGAACAATGACAACTTTAACGTCGTTATTATATTTACTAAACAGAGAAGTATTTGAACGTCCGGAGCCTTTATTCGTGTTACACATTATAGTTTACTGATCTGTAACAGTTACACATACTTCCGGTTTTTAATCAGTGTTTTTTTGTAATTCGTGAAAACCTTAGCCTTCAGCTGTGTGCGACCTTCACAATCCCCAAACAATTAAATACATAATTTCAATTTAACCAATTACACTGAACGTATGTTACATAGGTATTAATATGTTTTACTGTAATAGTTGATTAATGTAGGATGTTGTGACAGAGGAACCGACACGAGGTTCATAGAAAATATGAAATACTGCGTTCAATAACATTACACACAAAACTAAAAGTAATTTTTGTAATGGTGTGCATTGTTACACGACCGACGACATTCTGTGAACGTTCCGAGTGAGTACAAATTCAATACAAAACAATCCATAAACATGCGGTGGCGCGTTACTTCATCAAGCTTATGAGCCGTTCATCTTAACGGCGACACGAGACACTCGCTCTGTGTGACACATTAGACACTAGACACTAGAGAGACTCGTGTCCCTAGAGGTAGCGTGATGTAGCTTTCACTTGAAGAAAACACGGAACAGACGACAGACGAGCTGTATTATTGAAATGTATACAGAGGAACTCATTCATAGGTACATTCGTACAGAGACGCTGAACGTGGAGCAAGACCTGGAGTATAGGGTGTATATGAACCGAACGGGAATTACTGGACCCGGGAGGGGGGGGAGGGGATCCCGCGGGCATAGGACCCGGGACGGAGCGCCGATCTTTAAAATATGTTAATATGAAAATATGTTAATGATTAACCGCTTACTGAATAACTATTTGTTATACATATACTTATAAATTATTTCATCCACACACGCACATACACACACTAGAATTTGTTCAAATGCATTAAAAGAAAAAAATATAAACATCCACTTTGTATAAAATTCCATAGAGAAAAAATATATATTTTTATCTACTTCGAGTGCTTAGCGAGACCTGTGTGTGAAGTCATTAAAGTAGTTATACATATAGCCGAGGATCTCTTAGTATATTATATTCCGCGAGAGTCCTGATGACGCTGTGTTTGGGCGTTTATTACAACGGCGCTGAATATTTGTTTAAATTAACATTTTAAACACAAACCGTGGGTTCAACATTACAACTAATCGTTGATTATAATGAGTCGATCTCGTCATATAATATAATCAGTGTACATATCGTAGGTATATACAATATATTATTAGGTATATGTTAAACGTAGTGTAGGGCGCGAGTCCTCCCGAGCCGAGGATACCGTCTCAAGGTGAACCGCGAGCCGCTCTCGAAATAGCACTCCGATAAATAGAAAAATAAAAGCAAAGGACTCATTATACATCGGCGAAAGTGTACGCTCCTCCCGCCCGCACCCGCCGGCCGCCGCCAGGGTGCGTGCGTGATAACTTGGACTAAAATGTTCACGAGGAACTAGTTACGGATAGACGAGGGGACTTTCATACCACTCATTACAGGAATTTACACGAAAAACAAACTGAACTAATAAATTCAACTCTTCTTTATTCCAATATATAGGCATTTTTACAAGTACTATTGTATAACATGTATGACATCAACAAAGTCGGCTGAGAGGAAATTTCTAGCAAATTACAAAATGTATGAGTAGAGGCGGCAATAAGCGAAACATTTGCTCCTTCCACTCTGAATACTTTGTATATAACAATGTGAATATTATAATCTGACAGCTGTTTCATATGTAAGCTTTGTTTTTGTTTTAATCTTTAACAACTCACCTTTAAAATTCGTACTGCGTTATATTTGTGCAAACCTATACTTTATAGTTTATCCAGTCTTTAGGCAATTTAATTAAAAATCTAGTTATATGAAATATTTAGTTACCACCTAATATATTAATAGAAAGGATGGAGTGTCCACGATATATCTAAAACAGCAGTGACATCTAGCGGTAGTGTTGTGTGTGCGGTGCTCGGTCTAGAATATAGAGAGAGGAGTGAGACGAGTGATGTGTAGAGCGGCCGGGAGATGTCGCCTCCGTCCGCGCTGCGCGTGAGGCAGCTCACCTGGGTGGTGGAGGTCGGGGACGTGCCGCCCTACAGGAGCGGGCCCTACGAGAAACATCTCAACCATAGCAAGTGTGAGTTACACCATAGTCCATACTACATAACACAAAAATACATAACGGTTTATGTACTACACGGTACTGTAATACGATATAAGGTGATACTTTGGTGCATCATTGACTGTCATATATCTTATATTACTGGAACTACTGCGCAATTATACCTCCGCTATTGCTTTCTTTAATTTAATGAAAGATTTCAAACAAATTCTTTATATTACTGTGCTTTACGAAGTCTAAATAATAATTTTGGGAATTGTTTTTGAAGTATATTCAAATTTGGCGCCATACAGTACCCAATTCTATAGACTGCAGTGAACTCTCCTCGTGAGTTACTCCGATGTGTTATCTGTGGCGTGTGAGAGTCGTCGCTCGAGCCCGCGGCGCGCCGCTGGCCTGTCATATTGTTTGAAGTTGTTTGTAGTTCGGTTCGCTACTCATTGAGAGAATGGTTTCTTCAGTTTTCGTTTCTTTTCTCGTAACATCTCGTACGGACTACTAAACTGAGTGCCTTATATGCAAGCGGAAGTTTCGTTTTGTGTGTGGTGAAAAGTTTGTGACAAGTTTTGCAGTGGTTTTAAAGTTTGAACAAAGTTTTCTAGTTGGGAGTGGTGTGTGTGTTGTCATGTCTAAGAAAGTTGGAATCATAACACAAACTTAATGTAAATCGACACATCTTGTGGTTATAAAATTTTATAAAAATGGAAACGAACGGTGTCGGTGAGTAGATAATAGATAATATATTAGTGTCTGTTCGATCGTGCGAGGTGTATTGTATCGCTCGTAGTCTTCGTTACTTAAGAGAGACCTTGACTTCGCTGTCTGAGTTAACTTATGATGCAACTGTGTATCGCGTCTTCCGAAATGCAAACCGTTTCTCATATTTCAGTGAAACAATTCGTTGAAGGTGTTATCTTATCTGGCGCTGCGGGCGCTGCACGATATCTACTATGTGTTCTTGTACTCTTACAACCCACGGATTATCCAATAATACGAGATGATACGGCTCTTATAAGATCAAGTATCTGAAATAAATTTTTAAACTATTTAAAATAAAAAAATCTATTATCTACTTAATAAAATATTCATATAATTTTCTTTAATTTCTTAACAAGGTAAAAATATACTGATAATTATTATAATATTTGTCTGATGTTCAGATTGTTTCATAACATATTAATATGTGGCATGCTTAACATTGATGTGAAAATGTGCAGCAATAATATAGTATTAAATAAAATATTCAAAAGAACCACTAAGTATCATTTACTTGTATACTAGAGTATATATGACCCATATATATGTATCATCAAGATCATATAACTTTTGTTATTTCACTCCTGTATATGAAAGACACAAATCTAAGACCAGTCCGCCTGTGTGGCATGACCTCCCCGAGCCGGCCACTCATTACAGTTAACATAAATTCTTCATTGTTACTTAATACATTCAAAATTTTATTTAACTAACTAAATTAATACTTTATAAACTTTATATATTATAGAAATATAAGTATCAATATCACAACATTTAGTGTTACATTATATAAAAAGTTTATACGTAGGAAGGTTAAATATGTTTCTCTAAATAAATCTATCTTCGGTCTTTAAAAGGATATCAGTAAAAATACTCCTTTTTGAAGACTCTTAATATGTTTTTAATTAAGAATATTTGAATTTACTTGCAAAATGACAGAAAAAACTATTAAACTACTTAAAACAATCTGTTTAAATGATTTTGTTAAATTATATAAGTATATCACAATAAATATTCTTAAATATTTTTCAACTATGAAAACAATCAGATCTTTAACCTTTTGGGCAAATCACAAACATATATACCTACATTACATATAAATACAGTAGTTGGTTGGTGACTGAAGAATATGAAAAAGTATTCAGTAGTTAATGTATGAATCCATGTTTAAGTTGTCTCTGAGTGTGTTTTCTTGTTGGTAATGTTTGTAAGTTTCTTTTATAATTAACTCAGAGGTTGTGTAATCCATAAACTATATATCCTTTAAAAAGGTGTACAACACGTAATTACGGAGGCACGATAACAGATACGCGAACTTGTGACACTCTACTGGTGTGTGTGTGTGTGTGCGCGTGTATGTGCGCGTGTGTGTGAGTGTCAATTATCAGGATGATGTCATGAGTTTAATTCTTTCTACCAATTGTCAGTGTTGGCTGCCGAGTTGAGCTACAAATTAAATGTACTCCAAAAAGTGTTAATAACCTAATCTAGGAGAATTAAAAGTATATAAAGATCAATTAGAGTAAGCAGAGCGATATAGGAACAGAAACTTGACCGCAAAATTTTCCTAGTAGCTGGTACATCAGTAGAGTCAGAACAGGCGGTAGTCATTATACTGAAAACATTAAAAACACGAAAACGTGAATGATTCAAAACTATCCCATCGGTTCGTTACATGTAGATTTAATATTTTAAGATCAAAGGAATGTGAGTATGTTTTTGTGTGTGTTTATGTAATATTGTAACGTTTTTTAGTCTGCGAGGGTTGACTTTGATGACCGGAAACACTATGTTTGATCCTGACACGAGACGCCGCGTGTTCACTGTTACTTTAAAAATCGACAGTTGAATTGACGAACGAATCTCGGAAACATAGCTTTATATTGACGTTAAGAAACAATCCGAAATAAACCGTTTACCTGATAAGGTGGTTGTAAAAATTACAGTCAGTAAGAGTCGACCGCGGAATGTATTGACCTCGCTGTAATAAGGGACAACTTTCCAAATCCTCACCATACTTTTACAATATTCTATCTGATACATTTTCAGTCGTACATCGTTGTTTTCTATTCCTTTGATTTGTTTTCCTTTATAGTAAAGATATCCTCATATTATGTTATGACAACATAAACAGACCCCGTCTTTCGGTTGCTCCAGGTCAGTCCGGGCGGAGTCTGTTCGTACAGCGAGGACCCCGGACTCCTCATATGTTTATGTTTAATATAACCGGTCGATTTTAAATACAAACAAACCCAACACGTGCAGCTTCCGTCTTCACACCACGTCTCGTCTGTTCCTCTGTCCGTCTCTCGACCCTCCTTCTCCTACCACCTCCCCCTCTCTTCCAAGTTCGGGAATACATTTATATTTGTAATGAATTCTTTAGACGACCTGACTTAGTATTTATCAGTTTTTTTGAAACTAATACTTTATAATTTAAGTAGTCTGACATGAAAATTGAAATGTATAATATGTAATAAACATAGAAAGAGATGATTCTAGGATATTACTAAGCTGTACCTTTAATTAAAAAAAAAAACTATGATATCCAGACCAGGGAATGGAGCGCCATCTAGTAGGTCGACTAAACAAGTCCTGATGAATTCTTTGTAGCCATACAGTTCAGAGGGAACGTTGTGAAGATGGCACTACTGATGTTCATATTATTTAATCATATTTCTTACTATACTCCAGCCACATTCGATCTGGAGTTTTAGTAAACAAACCATGAGTCATCATAATTAGGGTTGATACACTCGTAATAAAAAATAATAATTATTATAATTACAACTATATTCATTATAACACAATTTCCTGTTTAAACACAAAAATTTTAATTTAATATAGAATCCAAAAAAAAAATTAAAATTTGCCGGTCAATAAATAATTTATATGAAAATTTACTTAAAATAAAAGTATAAAAATCTTTAATTACCACTATAATATTACTACAAAACTAACAACCCTATATTTTAATACTGACGTAAAGAAATCGCAGGTTTGTAACATTTGGAGTGTTTTTTAAGTAATTAATTATGCCACTCAAACATACACAAAATTTAATCTAAATGAGTCCTGTCGCTTGGGAGGCGATAGATAAAGTTAATAAAGCGAATTATATAACTACGAGGTAATTTCTGATATCATTTTAAAATTGGACGTATTATTTTTGAGATCTACATTATTCCATATGATCATAGGTATTATAATTATAACCAAGAATGCGCTTAGTCCTTTGTCTTAAATATTTTATTATTAATCATCAATTTTAATTTTCGTTGACATCAAAAATAATTGTTGTACATATTTCTAAAAATGTTTTGAGCATCTGCCTGACGTTGGTTGCTAAGCAACGCTTTGTTATTAAACATTCCACATCGAATTTGGCTGGAGTATAGTATGATAATGTTCATATACAGGGTGACTGGTGAATTACTATCGATATTTGAGGACGTGATATTTGACGATCATATATGACAAAATAAAAATTAATATAACATAAATATTAATAAACTTCTAAGTAAAGTTAACCAAAAGTTATGTAATTAATTACGCATCGTGTGAACACCCTACAGATTAGGTATACACACACACTCACACAGACGCGGCGGCGGCGTAGTGTTGTATCAGCACGCCGCCGCACGCGTCCACACTTGGAACACTTGGAACGTGTCCGCACTTTATTTATTTATACGGAAATTTGGTCAAAAATTAAGTACCTATTTTTTTTACATAATTCGAATGAGAATCATGTACCGAGTATTCTCCTTAAATATTGATAGTAATTCACCAGTCACCCTGTATACACACACACGCACACAGCCGAACTAAAAGTGAACATATAATGTAGTATGACAAATTCATTGACACGGACAGGGTTGGAGACCGCCGCTTCCGGGATATCAGGCCTCCGTGTGATTTTCATTACAGTTATGTTTGTGTGCCTTTGGATTTATTAATGTTGAATGATTTATATGACGTCACAAGTCCTATCTATTTTAAGACATTGTCCTATATTTATACTCATGATCTACTATACAGTTAATGACATTGTCGTGTTAATGTATGGACCGTGATCAACACAGTACGTAGTTATCAGTTAGATCGGACAGTTAATAATAAAGGTGGATGTTGAACCGTTTAATGTAAGTCGTTAATGTTCTGGGACAGGTTCTCGTGATTTGTTGCATTATTAATGATCCGTCCAGAGCGCTCGACTCGGCCGTAGTGACATAAGTTGATAAGTCTTTAATGGTAACACTCGCTCGCTTCGTAGTTCCGACGTCGAGTGTCGTGACTCGTGCGGCGCCGCGCTCCCTCTGAGATGACTCACGTGATGATAACGAGCGCAGCATCCTTGACGGACGAGATATTATCATATTGAGAAGGTTTCAGATGTAGGAAGTACTGCGGAGGAACTCAAACAACTCGCTTAGAAGCCATGTGATAAGTAAGGAGACTCGGGTCACGTGTTGCATCATTCCCCAGCGCCTGTATGATACACGAGGAGCCGTCAGCCGTGTATATGACACCCTGATGATGCTCACTGTCTGTATATATATACTGGTTGTATATTGACGTCGATCTCTCGACGTGTGAGTGCCGAGTGTTGATACTGAGAAACATTGAACACTATACATATAAGGAAGGTTCCAAACTAGTCGCTCGAGCTCCTCACTCACTCGATACGACTCGCTCCGCTTTCTACTGTTAAGGTTTTTTTCACCCACATGGTTGTGTAACAAACACATTGTGTATGTTTATACTCAAAGTTCAAATTTAAAATATACTATTCAAATTCTAAAACTCAATTAATTTTGTAGATTCACACTTACACGAATCAAAATTATATTAAAGAGGTGTCCAAATATATCCACAATAATTACCTCATAGTTTTTATTTAATGATAGGGTAATGTACCAGTACTACTACTGTAGGTTTTTATCGTCACACTTCACACGGAGAGTTAATAGCTTGTCATTCATAAATACTCACACATTATAGTATTAGCGTAGGTTATTGAATAAGAAACGCGAGACTCTGAGTGTGTAGATGGAAACATGTGTTAAGAAATACCTACTTATATTGAACTTAACAACTGATAAATGATGACATGTTAAAATAATATAACGATATATTGAAATATGTTAACGAATACCTACTTAAGAACAAATATATTTTATTATACTATATGTTATAATGGTAGAAACTGGCGACTGAGTGGTTGTGATAATTATATACGGAGATTTATATTGGCGGTGCACTGGTGATGTTTTATATAAATATATAGGGTGGAACAAACCAGCGGGCCATGAAGGGAAAGCATATTAAATATTGGAAATATATGTAATTAAAATAAACTAAGTTTTTTGGATAAACTAGGCGGTTTTACTATTTTTTATGTACATGTTTCCGACGTTTCGATTACTTTGTAGCAACCGTGATGACGGACAGACGAGGTGTGAACACATGAACGATCCTTAGACCTCGTTATATAATCATATTGTTACATTACGTCCGCTGTTCATACATTAAATGTGTTCATACAATCATGTTCTCAATTAACAATGGAATAAAAAAATATATAGTACCTGATTTTTATATTAAAAAATCCTTTTGTTTTAATTTTCTTATAAGATTAATTTGTTTAAAAAACTATCTTGAAAAAGTTAGTTACCATTATATGACTATAAAATCTTCTTCCTCTAATCATATTTTTGTACTGGTCAAATATAATAAAACTATTATTTGAGAAGCGTTATTTAATTAATAAAATCAACCCAATCATTATCACATTCTGTTCTGTTCTACATCTAGTTTCCGACCGATGAATGTTTTTCTTGCTACATAATACATATGTATTTTTCACTCGAGTTATGATGTCCTTGTATGTGTCAGTTTGCCACCCTCACAGCACCGCACCGCACCGCGACGCGATTATCTTTGAGGGTATAGTCGAACATTTTTCAGTACATCATTATAAATATTAAAATTTTCAATATTAAACATCGTTATAATAAAAACTGTTCAACTCAATAGTTTACGTTTTTATCTTTAAAGTATTAAATGAAAATTGAACTTATAGGACTGGACTTGAATGAACATTTTTCAATGAATTTAACATTGGTATAAATTATTATTTTATTGATTTTGAAACATTTAAAGTGATATTTTGTATAGTATATATTATACATCGTCTCAAGTCATGTGTATATTATTTCAATATGTATCACAAATAATAAAATGCGTTCTATGTAGTGCTGTGCTGCGATACAACCTATGGGGACCGGCTTCATGTTAATTTTCTTAAATAATAATTAAAATGGTAATTACACTGATTTCATAATCGCTGCTTTCTTTCAACAATTTGTAAATGTAAATATATGAATTATACATTGCGTCACACCAGGGAGGGGAGTCTCAAGTAAGAGTCTCATTAAAAATAATCATGACATTGTATTTGTATTCTTTTAATTTTTTTGCTCTAAAAAGTCGACGTACCTAGTCATGTTATTCATGCGATTTTGTAGTAGCGAATCTATTATAAGGGTAATTTTTATTAAAAAAAATTGGTTGTTTGTAAAATAGGTTTACGATCGAGATGTTTACGTGATAACGTCTTATTGGTGATATAAGTTTTTGGGAAGTAAGGAATTAATGAAGATAACAATTTTTTCAAATTTTAAATTACATCTATCGTTTTATTTACACTTTTGATGATAAATTTCAAGTTTACTTATTCGAATATGATATACATTCGTTTGTATCCCGCTAGAGTGACAGATCGGTCCACTCACTCGAATGCTATGCCTTCCTCCGCTCGTGAGGATTCCGCGTGACAAGTTTTACGGAATGACTGGCAGCGCTCGAGATGAGACGGGAGATCGGTCCGTCTCTCTCTCGTTATACCTGCGATCGCGCTCGTGAGGTTTTGGTGTGACACAAGTTTCTGAACATGTCACCCGACTAAAACGATTTTAAAGACGTTATATCACGTCAAAATCTTTCTGATCTTGGAGTGAATAGGGTACTCCTGCATCATTTCTATTTTTTGACACACTAATAAAAATTCAAGTAATTAAAATATATGTAAAGAATAAAAATCCGTTTTATGTAAATTGCAATATACACCACAGTTTACAATATAAAAATTAAAAATACAGTATTAGGCACAGAACTATTCAAGGATAACTACGTTGCGTCTGATACTGTGGCCACGGACGGACTAATTGTATCATCATTTGGCACACATACTTGTATATATATATATATATATTTGTATAGCAAGAAGTAAATTCCTATAGTTGTGTGTTCCTTGGTTATAATAGTCGTACGTGTAAGCCTGGTGCCCAGCCCTGATGCTTGATGGCCCGTGGTCGGCGGAGCGCACACACCTTACATCAATACATATTGGTACACTATTTTTATACTTCCTAAACTGTCGTCCGCACCAACGTTACTCTGTAGCCGGGTTTTATTATATACAATGAAGTGTTTTCAAGTGTTCAGTTCATTATAAGTAGCAGGGAGACAGTCACACGTGTCTATATATATATTAAATCTATATGTTCGTCTCTGAGAGCAGCATCTGTATCGTAACTCTGCTAATGCATGTATGTGATTGAAACATCGGTACTGTTTAACAGTCAGGCGCTAATTTGAAACCATTCGTGGAGTGTTTCCCTCGTCGTTCTAATAAGAACAGTTCCAGTATATTGTTACATATTAAGTCCACGTTTGTTATCATCTCTTCTCGTTAACTTCACTCATGTTAACTCTGCTGAAGACTTGGGAACTCCTGTTTGGACCTCAGACACGCGAGGATAACTGTAATTATTTCAAGTCGTGGTCTCTTTGACGATTGTCATGTTTATGAGTAACCGCTACTACAAACTATCATTAGATTATATGATTCATAAAATATTATTTTTTCTAATAGATATATCATATTTGTTAAACTTAGTCCTTTAAGTAGCTAAAGACAAATCATTGTCATTTCAGATGAGCGGGAAGACGTACAAAAGAAAACGTTCGCAAAATGGATTAATTCGCAGCTGGCAAAGGTTAGTTTACAAAACGAATTTTATTCATATGAACTCGGACATGGTTACTATGTGGCGTATAAATAACATTCAAGAATGTTATCGACATGTGCATAATATGAGAGAGTCGATAAATTTTTGTAAATAAATCAATAAATTAATATTAATTAATTTTGATAAACGGCGATGGGACACTCCCATCGTTGAAAAAGTAGTTATAACGTATGTATTTCGCATAAGCGCTACGAGAAAGTACAGCATCGAGTAGGAATAATAAATAGTAGCTACTGGCCGAGGGGCGGTCACACGTAGTAGAGAGACAGGGACGAGGTTGAGCGGTGGCTCGGTGGGTCAGACAAGTTACTATGTTGTTATAATGATAGTTTCTTAATCCCGCTTCCAGCAAGGCAAGCCGCTCGTCAACGATCTGTTCCAGGATCTGCGCGATGGAGAGGTGCTACTGTCACTGCTGGAGATCCTCACCGCACAGCAGTTCGTGAGTATATTCCTTGATGTTTATTGACCGCCTCCATGTAAATATGGAGCATGTGTATCGACGTCTGTAAGTATGGTCTGGTGTTGTAGAAGCGTGAGCGCGGTCGCATGCGGGTCCATCACCTGAACAACGTGAACGCGGCCCTGCGAGCCCTCGCCTCCGCCGGCGTCCGGCTCGTCAACATTAGCAGCGGAGACATCGTTGATGGCAACCCTAAACTGATACTGGGTACGATGGGACACGGACACACTTCACACACACACACGCACACACAACAGACATATATATATAATCAACACACTCACACCAAACTCTGTTCGGCAGGACTCGTTTGGAGTATTATACTACACTGGCAGGTTCACTACCACCTCAAGGAGCTCATGTCGGAACTACAACAGACGAACCTGGAAAAGACTCTCTTAGCCTGGTGTCGAAATCACACACAGGTAGATGTTTAAAGTTACTTGTCTTGGGAATCCTCCGCCGCGCCTACTCGTTCTCCAAGCACTTTAATAAATATTACAATTGTTATTATCGTAAATTTCCAGGACTACGCGGGTGTGAAGGTTGAGAATTTCACATCGTCGTGGTCGGACGGGCTCGCGTTCAGCGCGCTCCTGCATCGCTTCCGACCGGAGTTGTTCCGATACAACGACGCGTTAGGACTCTCCCCTGCAGAGAGACTGGATCGAGTGTTCACACTGGCGCAGGACCATCTCGGGATCGATCGACTTCTAGATCCTGAAGGTCTCACACAGCACGACACCTCGTGACTCTTGACCCGCAGGTGATGGAGAGTGATTCTGTTTTTCTGTTTCCAGACGTCAACACGACCAACCCTGACAAGAAGTCCATCATGATGTACGTGATGTGTCTGTTCCAATCCCTGCCTCCAGCGCCGGCCACACACGAGCCCTGTCACCTGGACCACAACGACGGAGACGAGATAGGGAGCCCCGGGGACCTCGGAGCGGAGGTGATGACCACCTTATAGAACATTATGTGACACAGTTAATAGTTGCACTAATAACATACACTAACACTTTGATTCACGATTAAATTTATATAAAACTACTAGCTGACCCGGCAAACGTTTTGCCATAAAAAAAATAGGGAATGGTGATAAAAGAAAAAAATTTGGGTTGTATGTATTTTTTAATGCTACATTAAAAAAAATAAAAACAAAAAAATTCGCCGAAAAAAAAAACAAATTAAGAGTGAACCACCCTTATGACTTAGAGGTATAAAAAATAGATTTTGTCCGATTCTCAGAGCTACTCAATATGTTCACAAAGTGTCATCACGATCAGTCCAGCTGTATCGGAGGTGTTCTCTGTCTAACACTGGGACACTAGAATTTTATATATAAGATATGTCGTCATATATAGTCAGTACATATAATTATTGTGTAATATTGAAGTAACTATAATAATATATGATAGTAATGATATATAACAATATACAGTATTGTGTGTATATACATGTATTAATAGTATATAATTAAAGATGACGTTCACATTACATACATGGAAACAATAAAACTGAACAATATTATTAATTATTCATTAATTTTAATATTCAAAAGTTATTTCAGAAATTATCAGAGATTATTTTTAATAACATAACAGTAAATACACTAGTAATTTTTGTGGAAAACTTTTTTTTAGATTCATATTAAACATCTTTGTGCCCTTAAACAATTGGTTTTTTCTGATAATTGTGGAATCACCAATTTATATTTGATTTAGAAAAGTAAAACAGCTTCTTTTTCTGTTTTTGAAACGGCTGAACTGATTTTCATGAGAATTTCACTGGCAGGTTGTTATACATAAGTATTCTGAGCTATTATTTCACAGCTATATTAGATGACAAAAATTTCTATTTGACTTATAAGGGTTACGCATGTACTTCTTCAATTTAAGACCAATTATTGTAATATTTTTTTTATTGTGGCAATTCCATTGTCATTAAATAAGGATCTTCGAGAAATGGAATGAATTTTAATGATGCTGTTTCAGAGAGTTTTAAATGTAGGCAAAGCACGAGATAGGAGCTATTATTACAAAAATATATGAAAAAATACACTATAATATTGTCAATCTGATATGCATTACGGTTGAATACGGAAAAAAAAAATATTACCGATTTCTTTAACGTAGGTTAAACAACACAAAATTAAGTCTGAATTCTGATTTTTCTTCTCTCTATTTAATGACAACTCTCTATAACGCTATAAAATGCACAGTGTCACCTTCAGTGTCGTTATATAGAGTTTATACTTAAAAGAATAATTATGTTATGGCTTTTTTGTTAACATGCATTAATTTCTTTAATTGTGATTTTCATTGTTCTTATGCATTTTATTTGTAAACTTTTTTTATTTTATTTGTAGACTTATTTAAATTTGTGTGCATGTGGAGTTTACCTTTAAGTAGTTGTTACACTGTACCCTAGATTATATTATATACCTATTTTACATTGTATTGGTGTAAACAATTTTTGGTAAACCTATAAAACAAAATAAAAAATAAAATGATGACAGAAGGCTGGTCAGAAGCTAGTCAGTTGAGTGTATCGCCATCTTACGTTGCAGGTGGGCGGTGGTAGCTGCTCCGCGTCACGGCCTGTGTCGGTGGCGACCACGTGTTCCGTGGAGCTAGGAGCCTACGGCGCTGCCCTTGAGGACGCGTTGGCTGCTCTGCTGCTTGGAGAAGAACGGCTCCGGGACGCACCTCCTCCCGACGAGCCTGGTGACCCCGGCTCTGAACAACCGCCCGGACGGTACCTCGTCACTCTCAAGGAGTACTTTCACGAGCACGAGGCGAGTGTCTCTCGACCTTACGGTGTTTCACTTTTTTGAATCCCGTTGATAACAGGAACATATATCCGTAGAAGTTTCTTCTGGAGCTGTCGGAGCAGCAGTGGCGTGTGGGCGGTGTGCTGGAGGAGGGGGCTCGCCTGCTGCGGGAGGCCGCGCTGGCCCGAGACGAGGCGGCCGAGGTGCGGCTTCAGCTGCGGCTGCTGGCGCGGCGGTGGGAGGCGCTTCGTGGAGCCGCTATGACGCGCCAAGCTGATCTGCATCGCGCTCTTATGCGTACGCAACACGACCATCTTCAGCGCTTTCGGCGCTGGCTCACCGCAACCGAGGACCGCATGTCTCGTATGGAGGCCGTGTCCGCCCCGCCCGGCGCCGCTTTAGAAGCAACGCGAGCGCTGCACGCTGACCTGCGACACCAGCAGCCGCTCGTCGACGCTCTGGCGGACTGCGTGCTGGTAGTGGACGACGAGGAAGACCGACACGAACATCAAGACGACGCGGACCATGCGGACCGACCTCTCACCAGCAGCGACAGTGAGTGGAACGATTTGAAGTAAACATACTGATCTCATACTGCTTTCCTAATGTGACCCTTCATTAAGACGTGGCGGCCATGGAGGACGAGTTGCGCGCTCTAGGAGAGCGCTGGTCACACGCGTGTCAGTGGACGCTCTCCCGCCTGCAGCGGTTGCAGCGCCACGTCGACCTGGAGCACCGCGCCGACCTCCTTAGAGACAAAGTTTCAACCCTAGAAAACGATCTTAAACAGGTGACCGGCTTCAAAAGATCTACGATGACTATTGAATTAAACATCCTACAGTCAATCTGGGTAACTTTGACAGATAAGGGTGATATTTTATACTATATTGAAAAAAAATAAACCTATCACTCGAATGTTTTTTATTTTGTCAGTGCTCTCTTGTTACTTTCAGTCTCTAGACAATAACAGAAAGTTTATAAAACATACCAATATAGTATAAAATCTCAAATCTTTGCTCTGTCAAAGTTACCCTCATAAGATGGGTAACTTTGACACACACAGATCCATGCATAAAAAAGTAGTAATAAGTATTATTTTTATCAATCTGGGTAACATTTGTGTATATATTTATTAACTAATGGATGCATGTGATGCAATAAAACGAACATTTTTTTTATGTGAAAGGTATTGCAGTTTTGTCTTATATTAAAAGAAAATATGAAGAATCAGTCTAAAACATTTGGCAATGTTACACACATTTTTTAACACCATCAAAAACGCTTAAAAACTCCTTTAATTTAACATTTTTATTAAAATTAAAAAGAAAACAAGAAAAAATAATAATTTACAAACAAACATTTTGTAAAATCTTGAGCATAACTTGTCTATTCTCCCCACTCCATATAGAGCAAATCGTCGTTAATTGTGTAGAGCCTAGGCTGTCTTATACTGATTTTACTGTTATCTACTGTAGATACAACATCATAATATCTAATTTTAATAATTTCTCTTTTATCTGGTCATTTCCAACCACCTTGTGTTGACATCTACTATGTACCATATACCATCTACTCATGACAACAAGTGAATGTGAAATACGGGAATGTGAAACTTGTCACTTTTTTTGGAAACAGTGTGCCTTCTGTTTTAAATATAACTGTTGTTCCAGGTGAGAACTCAACATATTTTGAAGTTCATGTTGCAAAACTCCATCTTTAACAACATATTCTTCAATCACCTCTTCTACCACCTCTTCCGCCACTATTTCAGTTCCTATGTTCCTACTGTTCAAAATACATATCTTCATATTTATGTATGAAATTTCAAAATAAGACGTAATTATATGTAAATTCTTAATGAAAATGCGGTGGTACAATCACATATGGCTCTGTATAACATCTCACTTACCTTATCAGCATCCAAAATCACAAAATATTCAAAAAGTTATTCACCCTAGAGTAAACTTAAATTCGCGAGCTATATTCAGAAAAAAGTTTTGACGTTTTTTTACTTTCACAACTTACTTTTATTTAAGGTGCGTTTAAGTTTGTTTAAAATCACAAATCTTAAATAAACATATATGAATAGTGTTGCTTTCATGGGAAAAAAAATCGAAACTAGTTCATGGTCCCACTGTCAAAGTTACCCGATGAAACAAAGTTACCCAGATTGACTGTACTGTACATCAATATACTAATTTCATAATTGTCGCCCACACAGATGGAAGCCTACCCCGCACAAGAGATTGGAGAAGTTCTAGAACGAATACGGTCTCTCCAGCGTTGCGGCGCGGAGCTGCGAGTGAGACGCGACGAGCTCAATGACCTGTTACGGTCCCTGGAGGAACATGAGGACGAGCACACGACGAGCGGGCTGGCGGACCGAGCGGACCAGTGTCAGGACCGACTGGACGCGCTCGACCTCATACTGCGCGTGCAGGCCGACAGGGTCAGGCGAACATCGCGTGCATCACATACTCAATTACGGTATCGTGGTCTCTTATAGTAATAATGTCGTCTCTTCGTAGATACGAGAGCTCGGTTTCGATGTGGACGTGTCGAGTGAGGTGGGCGGGGCCGGCGGGACCGACGAGCACGTCAGTAAAAAGCCGCGACTGGAAGCCGAGCGAGCGGGCGTCGACTTCCAGGCCGGTTACCGCGCCTTCAATAACTGGGCAGCTGAAACAGAAAATGCCTTGCTGATGGTATGTGAGCGAGAGTGTGGAAATGCCGTCAATGAAGCTGTGTCTGGCATGTTTGTTTGTGGTTACAGTGTATGGAACAGCTCCAAACGGCGAGCGGAACGGAAACGGCGACAGGAGAGGCGCGGAGCTTACTGCAACGAGTCACGAGGGAGAGCGAGGAACGACGAGCGGACTTGAGCAACGTGGAGGAAATACAGAGGAGACTAGCCGCCGACCAGGAACTAGCGGGTACCTTCACACAACACATACTACGAGGACAAACACACACACGAACACACACACGCATCTTATCTCCCTGAGTAATATTTCATAATTGGTATCATTTCAGAGGAAGCCAAATTACACGCACAAAGCATAGAAGAGGTCAAGAAGCGATGGGAGGGAATACAAAGAATGCTCCTCGACATACGGAACACCTTGAACCTCTTGGAAGATAAGGACAATCTTTATAAAAATATAAACGCTTTCGAATCCGATCTGCAGGACATACACGCGTGGAAAGACAGAATGCTCAAGGAGACGGCGACCAACAACCAACTGATTCATTTACGAAACAAAATACGAACACTCAAACAACTCGAAATAAAACTCAAAGAGTTAAACGCGCAGTCGATCATTTTACTGACGAAAGCTTTTTCAAAGACACACAAGGACGAGGTGGAGGCGGACACGAAACGAATCAACGAAGCGTTCGAAGAACTGTTCCTGCATCTGTGCAAAAAGGAAGTGGAAATAAAAGTGGCTCTGAACAAGAAGCTGTCCCCGATACAAACAGAAGACGAATACAAGGCGGTGCAGAGGAAGATTCAGGAGATGGAGTCTCAGATAATAACAGAACACGCGATCATCTCCACCAGGGACGACATGACACAGAAACTGGAGGAGCTGAGGCACATGAGGAGACAGTTCGACGAGCTGCAGGCCTCGTACGACACGGTCGTTAAGGAGAAACGGGAGAAGTTCGAACAGGGCAGTCTGGAGGAGCTGAACATGAGGAGCAGCGTCGAGAACCTGGTGCTGAGGTTCGACGACTGTAAGACCATACTGGAGCAAAAGATTGACAAGATGGAGAAAGGTAACAACCATACATAATATACTATACTAGAAATAGATGCGCCACTGTGGGTTTCAGTTAGGAAACTACTATGTACCGTGTACGCTAGATGTCGCTGCATTTACTAACTAGGACGTGCTACCACTAGATGGCGCTCAATGTTATTCGAATTTAATAGGGAAAATGCAAATTAAAATTTTAACTATGCAAATTTAAATTAAAATAAGAATAAATAATGTGCATATGTTCAAAAATCCAACTTCTGGTGTTTTGCCTCTATTTACATTATTTTCTTAGCACACTTAAAAAATAAGTAAAATAAAAGCAGAACATATATTCAAATATATTTTTTTCTTCTTGTGAGTATTATAATAAAAATTAAAAATGCCTTATTCTATGACTGTAATAAGTTTCTTTTGGGTCTTACATTTTCCCTTCAATTTCAGAATTCGAGCTTTTAAACAGCCTTAACTCTTTCGAAAAGTTTTGTGTTCGAGTTTAACTGAAATAAATAAAGTATTTGTTCTAGTCTATATAAAAAATTAAACAATAGATAGCATGTTTTATAAATATTAATATAGTTAGTTATGTTTAATTATGTATGCATAATGCAGTAGTATCTCTAATGACGGGACTAATAGTTGTCATAATCAATTACTCACGGAACATACACTTGTAGAGCATCACTGACGAAGTCTGTGTTCACAGGCATCTCTCTGCTGGGACGTCTCGAGGACGAACAGAAGGCTGTGGACTCGTGGCTGGAGGGAGTGCGTCGGTTCATTGAGGAACACAGAGACGTGCCGCTGGGGGAGATACACATGCTGGAGGAGCTGCTGGACCGGAGCAACGTGAGAGAGGGCTGCGAGGGGTTTATTGGGATGTGTTGTCCGTCTCTATACATATACATGTCGTTTGCAGAAATTCCTTGAAGAAAAATCTGAATATGCGGCCAGAGTGGATGACATCGAACAAATGAAGCGGAGCGTGCTCGAAGATTGCGAGGAGGCTGTAGCGAAGACTCTGAAAGCCGACACGATGAGAAAACGATTCGATTCACTGACCGAGGAGTCCCTGAAGATGAACGAGGAGCTGCGGCGAGCGCTCGAGAAGACGGAGAGACTGTTCCGACGGATCGACGACCTGGAGACGTGGCTGGGACGACTCCGAGACGACATGCCGCGGGACGACGAGTGCGGCATCGAGGACTCCGCGCAGCTGTACCAGATGAAGATGCGCTTCCAGACGCTCAAGGAGCGCTGCGATGACAAGACGGACGAGTTCCGCGACCTCAACGAGGACGGTGGGTCACACTCACACACACACACACACACACACACACACCGCCAGGCACGGCTCTTAAACGTGATCGGTTGCAGGGAACGAGATGCTGCTGAACGCGGGCGCACCGGCCGTGGCGAGGCGCCTCACGCAGCTCAACGCACGCTGGACGGCCGACACGCACGCCGTCTACGAACGATACAAGTACGTACGGAGAACCGGCGTCCTGTGACCCCCCCCCCCCCCTACAACCCACACTATGAACGTGGTGACCGTCACTGTTCGCAGGGTGCTGGCGGAGGCGTGGCTGGAGGCCGGGGAGCTGCGGGCCTGGCTGTCCGCGCAGGCCGCCTGGCTGGACGGACTGCAGCGGCGACTCAGACCGGACACCTCGCGAGCCGCGCGCGCGGACGCTGAGGACATCTCCGATGAACTATACGTGAGTCAACACCTCATACTACTGAATAATACACGACTTGTATTATATTTCCATATACTAAGTCAATCAATTTTGACTTACTGTATCAGCTGTTGGGGTGGCGCTTCTAAAACCTCCATGCTAATTTTAGAAAGGGTCAAACGTTCCGTCCTAAAAGTACTCTTGCGGAGGCCGTATAGATATCCAACTGATCTCGTTTATAAAGAAAGTACACAGTGTTAGTAAATTATTTATCCAAAAAATAACACTGTCAGTTCATAAAGCCATTGTCAACTCTTATGAATATTCTAATATGTTGAAGCGTCGTATTTTTAAAGTACCAGTATCAACCGTTAACTCATCCTTTGCACGACGTTTCAATCCTTTTATTTGCCACTTTGTATATAATAAAGTAACTAGCTTATGTGACATAAAACATTGCACTTTAAATGAATCTAAAAAGGTTCTCCATAATTGGCTAATTTCATTGTTTTATGAAAATACAGAAAAAAATTCTTATTGTACAAAAGTGATCTCAGATTCATGATAATTATATTTATATCTTGTATTTTTATTATATATGTGTGTCTGTATATGTATATACAGGGTGACTGGTGAATTACTATCAATATTTAAGGAGCATACTCGGTACATGATTCTCATTCGAATTATGTAAAAAAAATAGGTACTTAATTTTTGACCAAATTTCCGTATAAATAAATAAAGTGTGGACACGTTCCAAGTATTCCAAGTGTGGACGCGTGCGGCGGCGTGCTGATACAACACCACGCCGCCGCCGCGTGTGTGTGAGTGTATGTGTATACCTAATCTGTAGGGTGTTCATACGATGCGTAATTAATTACACAACTTTTGGTTAACCTTACTTAGAAGTTTATTAATATTTATGTTATATTAATTTTTATTTTGTCATATATGATCGTCAAATATCACGTCCTCAAATATCGATAGTAATTCACCAGTCACCCTGTATATGTGCGTGTGTGTATGTATATATGTATGTGTATGTATGTGTATATATATATATATATATATATATATAATTCTTCTGTGAGTGTGTATGACATTGAACTTCTCTCAAACGACTGGACCGATTTTGATGAAATTTTTTGTGTGTGTTCAAGGGGATCTGGGAATGGTTTAGAATCACAAGTTTGTCCGCTTTACAATGTTTTTTAGATTAATTTTTAATTTATTAGAAGTTGTTCATACAAACGTTTTTTTTTTATATTAGATTTGACAACTAACTAATATGTCAATCATTGTGTCGCACTTCAAAACACGGAGATTTATGGCTTTAATTGGTAAACTCCAAAAATATAAATAAAAAAACGTAACAGATATTTCTTGATTGTAGGGCGATACGAAGTTCGACGGATCAACTAGTATCCTTATACAGGGTGACTGGTGAATTACTATCGATACTTGAGGACGTGATATTTGACGATCATATATGACAAAATAAAAATTAGTATAACATAAATATTAATAAACTTCTAAGTAAAGTTAACCAAAAGTTATGTAATTAATTACGCATCGTGTGAACACCCTACAGATTAGGTATACACACACTTACACACACGCGTGCGGCGGCGTGGTGTTGTATCAGCACGCCGCCGCACGCGTCCACACTTGGAATACTTGGAACGTGTCCACACTTTATTTATTTATACGGAAATTTGGTCAAAAATTAAGTACCTATTTTTTTTACATAATTCAAATGAGAATCATGTACCGAGTATTCTCCTTAAATATTGATAGTAATTCACCAGTCACCCTGTATACCAAATGTCCTTATATACTAATTTTCCTTATAAACCAATATTCCTTACATACCAAATGTCCTTATATACTATTTTTCCTTTTATACCAAATGTCCTTATATACCAAATGTCCTCATATACCAATTTTCCTTACGTACCAAATGTTATTGTTTACTAATTTTCATCACTTCAGTTATCAATTTAGCAAAATATTGTTATGTTTATAATTGTGTTCCCTGTTAACATTGAGTTATTGCTCGTAATAAAAAAAATTCATTTTTTTCATTTGTTTTCATTAAAATTGTTCTAAGTTAATCGATAATATTGTCTATTGTGACTATTGTAATATACTAATATAAATTGGTCTATAACAATTCAGGATCTCGAGAACTACATCGCTAACCGCGACGAGGCGCGAGTCAGCCGCATAGAAGCCGTCGCCAGGCAACTAGCAGACGCACACATCATGCCGCAGTGGATACGGAACGAGACCGACACGCTGGCCCGGCGCTGGGACGAGCTGCGGGGACAGGTGAGGGGGGGGGGTGCTCTGAATGTAGGTGCAGAATATAGGTGTACAAATAGATTTTAATATAAGTTCCAGGTACATTCTACCATAAGGCATGCAAATATTAGGTTTAAATTATAAATAAAAATTAAGGATTCAATTAAAATTAGAAATTACATTAACCATGCAATTATAATTATAAATTCAGATTAAGTGTCTTACAGAGGAACATTAGGTTTAAAGAAAATTTTAAAAACTATACCTACAATTAAAATTACAAATAATAAACAGTAGTGATATTAAACAAGATCAGTGAAATCTTCTAATATATGGGTTCTTAATCGTTTTTTAAATATATTTAGAGATTTTGAATTGACAAAACTTAGAGGCAAATTCATAATTCAATAAAATAATAAAGTCAAATCAACAATACTGGTACAATTGAAATTATAAATTAAACTTAACTACGTAATTAAAATTAACTATACAATTTTATTATTTTTCCTATGATTTGTGATACAATGATAGATAGATAGATGATTATTTAAGTTATATATCTTATACATTTTTTATTCAGCAATTTCTTACAAAATTATGTCTTATCCAATAGAAAATAGTTTACTGAGTTATAGCACTTGTTAACTAGAAAAGAAAACAAAGGTTTTTTAAATTTTATATAAGTTAAATCTTTTATCTCATTAAGGGATTTTGTTATATATAGTAGGGTCCATGGCCAATATGTTCCTCTTTAATAAAGCAGTTTTGTAGCTGCCTGTACATAAAAGATTCTGATATTGAGACCTTAGATTTATAGCGCGATTTCTCGTATCTCTTAATGAAGGAAAAAGGTGTCTATTTGATTTCACAAACATTGCAATTTCGAATATATATAAACAAGGAAATGTTAAAAGCTTATATTTCCTAAAAATCGGTATACAGCTGTCCGTGACCTTCAAGTTGAAGATAGGTCGAAGGCATTGTTTTTGACCCTTAAAAACACTTTCCTTTTGACAACAGTTACCCCAGTATATAATGCCAAATATTAAAAAAGAAACAACTAGACCATGGTATGCAATTAGAATGGTATTAACATTAACTTTTTTTAGCCAAATTATGTAAAGCGTATGCTGAGACGTTAAGTTTTTTACAAATCTTTTCTGCTTGAGGTTTCCATGTTAGTTGACTATCTATCAATATACCAAGAAATTTAGCAACATTAACCTGTTCAATCTTTTGATTATATTATAGTTTATGTTTAATTCTTAAACTTGCGATTTTTGATAAAAATGCATTATCTGAGTTTTTTGTAAATTTATAATTAAATTATTTTTGGTTAGCCTATTAATTATTGTTGTTATTGCACTATTTATTTGACTTTCATGAGCGACCATTGTAACCTGGTCTATGGTGTGACAGGCCGCCGAGCGGTCGGCCGAGCTGGAGGCGGCGGCGAGGGAGGCGGCGCGCTGTGAGGTGGCGCTGGACACGCTGCGGCAGTGGCTGGGCTCCGTCCGGGACCAGGGACACGTGCCGGTAAGTGACGCGGGGGGGAGGAGGGACGGGCAGGGGCGGGGAGGACGGACGGATCTCAGGGGGTGACTTTATCGTTCCAGACCTCCACGGAGTTTGCAGAACGACGCGCGTCGCTGAGGGAGGTGCGCGTTCAAGAAGAAGCTCACCGGACGGCCGGACGACGGGAGGCGGCCGACCGGCTGAGAGACCAGCTCGAGCTGGCCGAGGTGGGTTTGTGGCTGTGGAGGAGAGGGCGGGGAGGGAAGGACATGTCCTTCCCTCCCCGCAAACATACATGAAACATGTTTCATAGTTGACGAGTGGTTGTCCACAGCGCGAGCTGGCGGCTCTAGAGCGGCGCGTGTCGGACGAGGGCGCTGTGAGCCGGCCGCCCGGGGACCTGGCCGCTCGTCTCCGTCGCGCCACGGAGACCCTGGAGGACGTGCAGCGGGCCTCCGCAGGCCTGGCGCTCCACACACACGACCCCGATGAGGTCCGCACTCAGCTGCGAGCCTGTCTGGTGAGACCTCCATGTTGTCTATGGCCGTCTGAGACTATTAGTTTTCTATCCAATGTATGATATGAATGGATTGTAACCAATTTTCAATTAATTTGACAAAGATTACAGTATAATGTTATATTATAGTGACGCTAATAGTAAACGTTTGAATATACTTTCGACAATTCAATAGTTTTGTCACACACTATTGTCACGCTGTATCAAGATTCCTACGAATTTTTTTGTTTAATTGGCAACACTCACGTGCGTCTGAGTAAATAAATGTGGACAATTCACGTCAATTGAAACTTGAGTTGTGTTAAATTGTGTTCAAACATAAAGATAAAGAAGGGAAAGCTAAATACTGCATTATAAAAGTGACGGACGATACTTGTTTATTTTATTTTGGAAAATCCATTCACAGTATTATTGAAACAGCTCAAAACGATTTAAATACCCTAAACGAATGGTTACAGTACAATTTACTTACATTAAACGTCTCAAAAACCTCATATATGATTTTTTCGGCCAAAAATAAATCTATTCCTTCACATAATTAATTGATACTTAACAATCAAACTATTAAACAGTCGAATAATGATAAATACTTAGGATTAATTTTAGATAAAAATTTAACGTGGAAACCTCATATAGATTCCATACATTTACTGGAGCTTTACGTAAATCTGCACGTTGTATTCCTCCAAGAGTACGATACATTATTTAAAATACTTTATTAAAACCAGTATTAGAATACCTTATAGAAATATGGGGCAACGCGGCTAAAACACATCTAAAAAATTTGCAGATCTCTCAAAATAAACTTATCAAGGTCTTATTTCATATGGATTATCATACACCTACTAAAGATTTATATAAAACAACAAAAATTTTATCTATTAAACAAATGTATAAATTATGCATACTTATTCGAAAAATATTAACTAACCTTACTCATTCTCAAATTACATTTAAAACCAAAACCCATACTTACCACACAAGGAACAGGTATCTCCTAGAAACACCCAAAACTCGAACCAAGTACGGTTTTAAAACTATTACATTTGAATGAGCACAGCTGTATAACTCTTTACCTCTAAGTATTGTCAATTCAAAATCTCTAAATATATTTAAAAAACGATTAAGAACCCATATATTAGAAGATTTCACTGATCTTGTTTAGTATCACTACTGTTTATTATTTGTAATTGTAGTTATAGTTTTTAAAATGTCCATTGTAAGCGAACTCTGTTCTTTTTGGAAATAAACTTCTTTAAACCTTACGAGAGCAGCGTTGACAACAGTCATAATACATTGACGGCCATGACATACACCTCATTGTATTCAACTACAGTACAGTTATCTGAGTAGCGTTAGTACAGTATCGGTGACGTCACAATAGCGCGTTCAATAAAAGGTCTCGACGACCACCGACCGGCTGACTGTTGTTTATTGTACTGTATTAAATGGACTCGTGCTGGTCGGTGGTCGCTTTGTCACTGTCGCTCTCAGCCTACAAATGGCTCGTAAGACAAGGATTACTATCATACAGTATGTAATATGGGACACAGATTCAGGTTCAACTAATGATTTAATCTTATGTAGAGGTTCTACCGCACCCTGAGCGAGATCAAGTCGGAGGTGGAGTCGATCATTAAGACGGGCCGGAAGACTGTGGAGGAGGGCGGGGCGGACCGGCAGCGGGCGCTGTCCGCAGAGATCGACGCGCTCAAGGAACTCTACAACCGACTGGGCGCGCACGTGACGGACGCCAAGGGTCGGCTGGAGGGGGCGCTGCTCGCCGCCCGGGAGATACAGAGCGACCTCGCGTCCCTCGGCGTGTGGCTGAGGAGCGCCAAGGTCGCGGGCCGCCACAAGCTCGAGCTGGAGATGTCGCGCATGGCCGCCACACGAGACAAGCTGCAGGCCAACTACGAGCAGCTGGCCCGGGGCTGCGACCCCGCGCGCCTGGCCGGCCTGCGCGCGCAGCTGGACGACGTGAACCAGCAGTGGGAGCGGCTGAGACGACGCGCGGACCACGGGACCGAGCGAGAGGAGGAGGAGGTCAGTATACGGTCACCTGTACGAGTCGCACCTGTTGTTGATGACTGCGCTTCGGTCGACCGTTCCATCTTTTCCGGTTGTTGTTGAATTCCTTTCATTGTGTTTATATTCATTTTTCCGCTTTGTTTGGTGACCACTGTTTATATTCGAGCACGTAGTCGCTTCCCACCGGTGGACCGTGTTGGTCGTGTGCAGTGTGATGTTCCACTATTACCCTGTAAAAACACTAAACGTGATATCGGCCTTTGTTGTTGTAAATAACTATGAATGTGTAACCCTTTGAGTTATGCTGTCGGTGTCGGTGTACAGTGTGACTTCTCAAAGAGCGCTTGTCGTATCACTGCATAAGGCGTAGCCTTGACACTTGTGGCTTGAGGAATCACGGAATCATGCTTTTCATCCGACGCTTTGGGTCATTCAATCATCGGGACGGACTCGCCACTAACACGAACATAACAGACTCGTCTTAATACAACACACACAGTAACAAAACAGTACAGGTCGGTTTGTGGTTACAGGCCGCCTCGGCTACCGAGGCTGACGGTACCGTCCTAGTAGAGTACGAAAACGTAACCGACACGATCAAAAGACGCCTCGAGAGTCCCGTTAACTCACACGAAACAGAGAAACCCGAGCAAAAGAGGTCCAGGATACCGCTACCTCTGAAGAGCCCCTCCCCCATCAAGAAGGAGGTGCAGGAGGGCGGCACCAGGAGCAGGGCCTCCTCGACGGAGAGACGGGGGAGGAGTCCCAGCGGCTGTAGGACGAACAGCGCCAGCACCATGTCCGCTGACTCCATCGAGGACGCCGCGTCACTGGCGCCCACCCCTCCCGCCGGCTCCGCCCCCGCCACTCCCAGCGCGATCAGGAAAGACAGCAGCACATTCAATCTTCTCAAGGACAGCGACCTATTCACACAAATATCTAAAAACAAAATCGTCGCAAAGAGTCCTTCACCGTCTGAGGTGTTGGAGACGCACTCCTGTCACGTGGTGGAGGTGAAGGAGCATGAGATCGTGAAGTCGACCGTCGGACTCGTGTGGCCTCCGGAGGACGTGGACACAGTGGAGACCGTGGTGGAGTTCATACCGCAGACAGTGGACACGGTGGAGATCATAGAGGACACGGAGGAGGAGGAGGGGGAGGGGGAGGGGGAGGAGGAGACACACTCCGCCGGCCAGTTCGGACACGAACCGAGGACATTCGTGGTGGAGGTGAAGACACTGGAACACAGGATGAAGCCTACCATCGGGATATTGAAGAGGAGAGGAGACCACCGAGAGAAGGAGGCCAAGGTGGTGAGGGTGGAGGAGGAGGGAGCGGACGAGACCCTGGGAGAGGAGGAGGAGGAGACGGTGGACCCCAGGGGAGGGGAGCTGGACTCAGGCGGTCAGAACGGTATCATGGACGACGAGCTTAACGAGTATCACATACTGGACGACCACCGCGACCGACCGACAGGGACTGAGGACGGACAGGAGGGAGACCAGGGGGAGGCGGCTAGCGAGGGTATATATACTGAAGTGGAGGAAGGACAGGTATCGTGTCGTTGAATGATATTAAAAGTTTCAGGAGTAGACCTTTCATTAATAAATCGGTTCTCATGCCGAAAATTATACATTTTTTTACTTAAAAGACTCGAATGGACAAAAAAATAATAGCAAAATGTTCGTGCCCGTCTGTAGGCGCGGGTGAGCGAGCCGCTGTCGTCCTCGACCCCTGTGAAGAGACACGAAGACAACCGAGCGCACGTGGTGGGGGCCGAGCACAAGGAGCAGAGAGTGGACGAACACAAGCAGGTTTATACTATTTATATTAGTTAGTTGTCAAATCTAATGTCAAAAAAAAAACGTTTGTATCAACAACTACTAATAAATTAAAAATTAATTTAAAAAACATTGTCCAGCGGACAAACTTGTGAATCTAATCCATTCCCAGATCCCCTTGAACACACAAAAAATTTCATCAAAATCGGTCCAGTCGTTTGAGAGAAGTTCAGTGACATACATACTCACAGAAGAATTATATATATAAAGATGTGTATTAACACACTACCAAAGGTTATGTAGGAATAAAAGCTCAATTGCGTTTCTCTGTGAAAGAAACAACATTTAAAGCTATTAACTTATTCCTAATTTATTATTATATAATATTAATAATTATTTCACCACGAGTTCTTAAAATGTAATCCTAATAGTGACAGCAGCGACCCTCATGACATATAAGCTGCGTTCAAAAACTAAAACTAAATGAAGATTAATATATGATCTTCATTTACATATATATGTAATATGTTGTTAATTGAAACAAAAAACTGTAATTGTTGCTCTGTAAAGAGAAATTTATTTTTGAAAGTTTGATACAATATTAATATACAAAACACAATTTACGACTACCTATATATCTAGCACAAATTAACATTATATGTATTATTAACTAACCTGTAAAGAGAAACAACATTAAAAGCTATTGCTTCAATTTCTATTTTAAACAATCGTTATTCCTTTTCAAATATCTTGTTAAACTTAAACGTACAAAACCAGAGAGCCTTTTTCTACAGATTAAAATATATAATGAATGCAGAGTAAAAAGTAGTGCTACCATAGATAATAAATTATAGTAAGTGTAATTATTAAATTAAATGAAGAATAAAAGAGCTTCATTTACATATATAAAGATAAAATATTATTATGTCACACAGACGACCGCCAACCAGTCTTCCGTCGAGGAGATATCGGCGATAGAAGAGGAGAAAGGGGAGGGAACGGAACAGGAGCTGGAGGAGGACGGGGACGACGAGGAGGACGCGGGGAGGTTAGAGGAGGCCGGGGAGAAGATGATGCGGCGGCTGGAGGTCGTGTTGTTGACACTGGCAGCCGTGCCCGCCGAGAGGGACCCCGCCAAGAGACTAGAGGTACCACACAGACCAGCCGCGGACTACGCGCTGTGACCCGGGACAGGGACACTTGTACAAGGCCCGACGTTTACAGATTCTGAAGAACCAAGTTGGTGGTGTGGCACCGGACGCGGCGGCGCTCATCTCCCGCGGGGACAGCCTCGTGTACCGTCTGCACGGCACCCGGCCCGCGCTGGCTCGGCGGCTGCAGGAGGTGGTGCAGGACCCGCTGCGGGCGCGGTGGAGCGCGCTCAGGGCGGAGGCCGAGCACCGGCGGAGGGAGGCGCTGCGGGCCGAGGACGACCTGCGCGAGCTCGGGGCGAGGCTGGAGGCCGTGAGGCGGGCCGGCGGGGGCCCGGCCGCCGCGCACGACGCGAGGCGGCTAAGGGACCTGTGTCGAGACCTGCGGGACCGCCGAGTCGCCTTCCCCGAGCGAGCCGCCGCGGACGCCCTGGCCGAGTACGACGCCGCGCGCGAACAGCGGCGGGACTCGGACGACCAGCGACACAGTCTGGAGGTACGAGACACACACCCGCACGGAGCTGCACGAGCTGACAGGCCGCTGAGGACTGGTACAGTGAGGAATGTGTTGTAGGAGCGGTCGGAGCTGGTGACGCGCTGCAACCTGGAGCGAGAGGCTGTGTCGAGGACCCTGGGGGCACTGAGGGGGGCGCCGCTCGGGGGAGGAGACTATGACGACTTCCCGCTACAAGAGGACGCTCTGAACGTAAGTTACACGATACGCACGAACACTAGAAACAGAGAGAATAAGATGAAACTAATATATATATATATATATATATATATATATATATATGTATATATATAGTATATATAAGAAAAAGGAAAAAAAACAAATTTAAAACAAAGGTCAATTAGAATCAGAAGATAGAGACACAGAGAAAAAGTTAAATATACCTCCCGTCATTCTGGACTGAGGGTTTTATAAAGGGAGTTTGTACTCTAATGTGGTTAATAACTGGGTTAGAAAAGAAACGTCTTTGTAGCTTTAAAGTCGTATTTAATAATAATAGAAGATTTTAACATATGTAGCATAATGAAAGCTGGGGCCAATGGGTGGTCTACCATATTTGGATGTATACATGAGATGTTTTATAAAGAAGACTTTACACTAGACTTAATTCTATAATATAGCATACATACTATATTTATTACACTTCACCTCCGGGGGTGAAAGAAAAAAAAATGGGCTTACACATTTTTTTTATACTACTTAACAAAAAGTTTTCTTCTATTCTTATGTACTATGTCTATTCTATTATCTTTAATTATTTTAACATTTAATCCCATATCTTCTAATACAGTAGACGGTCCATTGAACAGTTCATCTAATTTTCCACTTGTTTCTGATTTTACTAAAATTAAATCATCTTAATTGTAAACAACAGGATTAACATACTTATCATATTTAGTTTTTCTATTATATTTGCTACGTAACAAATTATTTCGGGCATCTTTATAAGCAACTTGCAACCTATAATTAAGTTCACTAACATAACTTTCTGGATTATACCTAGGTTCTACTGTATTACATAATCGATTAGGGATATTACATTGTCTACTAAATACAAGTTCTAACGTTTGGTATTTTATTTCAGTATGGACAGTAGTATTATAACTAAAAGTCCAGTATGGTAACCAATAAGATTGCTTGTTTTTGTCGCAATAGATTCGTAAAAATGCGCCTAAATTTTTATGAGCATTCTCTAACGAACCTATTGACTGATGATGGTACCTATGCTGTTGATGTAATATTATCTATGTTTAATAATTTACATACCTGTTTCATGGTGGCAGAAGTAAACTCAGTTCCTCGGTCAGTTGCTATTACTTTAGGGATGACGAATCTTAAAATAAAATTAACAACTAACGCCCTAGCGACACTAATGGAATCCTTATTTTTAAGTGGATAACTTATCCATCTATAAACTTGCTTAACTCACACTGAATGGTTAATATGCATTTTCATATAATCTTCGTTTTATATATTTTATTTTAATTTTATATACATTTTCATCATAATCTTTAGGAAGAGGGCCTACTATATCCATATACATACATATATCTTTTCGAATGCTTATGACGCAGTTGTTGTTATCGTCATAGGCTCTTTTATGTATTTACAATGTTTATATTTTTGGCATTTAGAACATTTTCTAATGAAATCTCTTACATCAGTTTCGAGATTTGGCCAATAAAATCGTCTCTTGATATTATTGATCATTCTACGTACACCAGCATTGCCTCTTGTAGGTAGTAGATGATTTTTCTTCATCATTCTCAATCCTAGTTACATTCTTTAATATATGAATGCATGGTCCGGACCAATATGCAGTCGACTTCATCTCATCTCTTAAATCTTTTATAAAATTTTCATTACTTTTATCACTTATTATATGTATATATCTCTTCGATACTAAGCTGTTTACAAAAATCACTCAACATGGTCACAAATTCGACTCGCAAAAATTGCGCCTTAAAGCTGAGGTTAATGTATAACATTTGTCTACTCGGACAATAAGAAAAACATTTATAATATTTACTAAGACTACTTCCCTTTCATGATTTATCTAACTCTATCAAATTCATTTCAACCGAATCACAAGTCTTTCTTAATAACTCCACAACTCGAGGGTGATCAGTCCTTTCGTCTCCAGAGTTAATAACAAAGGGTGTATCCTTCTCTCTATCTTCTTGCATTTCTTTCTTTGTCTTTCTAGTTAATACTGCCGTAACTTGCTCATTCATGCCTTTTAAATCGTTTGATGTAATATTGATTCCTGACAAAGCATCAGCTCCTACGTTTTCTTTACCTTTAATACTCTTTCGCGCAAACCACTACATCACCTTTCAAACCTGATTCTACAGCTACATAGTGAATCGACTCACTTCGCGCAGGGATTAATAAATAATCCGAAGTATAATCTGGTGTTTCATAAATGGACATTAGGCATTGTTTTCCATTTGAGTTAAGACTCAAAGTATTAGAATTCAACAATATATCATAACCATAATTAGATAAAAAATCTAATCCAATAATGTCTTCTACTTTTAAAGATAAATTCCTAAAAATATAAAATTTATGACGAAATGATTCATCACGTTTAGTTTTAAGTGTTAAATATACGTGACCATGAGATTTCACGCAACCTCCTATTCCATTAACTTCAATATTACTTTTATAAATTGTAGTACTTTTCGCGTTTTATAATTGACAAAGAAGCACCAGTATCTAATAAAAAATAATATTCATGTTTATTTAATTCAAAAATTACTATTTTATGCTTATTATTCAATGTAAAAATGTAATCTTTAAATCCGAAATAACTGATTTGTTTCCTGTTCTATTTTGACTTTATTTATATTTTCATATATCTCAATATGTTTATTCACTACATCCGACTTTTCACTACACTTAATATTTTCCACAATTAAATTACTTCTTAACACAAGTTTTTCGCATTCGTTTAATTTATTTTCTATTATATGTATTTCCAGTAAACTTTTTCTTACTTGTCTTTATTAAGTATTTTTTATTTCAGTTAAGGTATTATATATTGTACATAACTGATCTGTCATACTTAATTCTAATAATTATAAAAGAAAACATTTATTACAAAATATCCCAACCAATTATTTTATATTAATTATACACTTAACAATATCGCCACGCAACATGATCTGTGCGGAATGTTACATCTTTCCTTTTTGGGCGGCGAGTATCATATTCGTGAGTGTCTGAGCACTGCTTTAATGAAATTAATTGATATGATAACTAGGGATTTTATTATTATAATTACATTACACTACATTAACATATTAAAATGTATATATTATTATACTACATTAACATATTAAAATTATAATTAAGATTTGTTTGTTTAAAACAAAGTTCTTTTTATACTAATTTACCACTTCTATGACACGAGTAGCGTCTTTAATTATACAATGAATCGTACGCACCTTATTTATTCTTCACCTTCATTGGTAGATTGTTGACTGCGTCCGCGCCGGTACACACTCGCAGCTCGTTGTAGCGCAAACGAATTTACTTCTTTTCGGCTCCATGTTTTATTTCATCGCTTGTAAATCTTGTAAACTCCGATGATGGTGGCCAGAAATATAACGAACACTACTATTCCCATGAGAATATTTGTTGTTCCGATGCTCGTTTTGAGTTGTTCGATAGAAGCTTGGTTTTAAAATAATATTGTTATATTATAATGAAAGCTGAGCAGAAAACGGAAACTACTGGCAGGGTCGCCATCTAATGTGGTTAATTACTGGGCTTGAAAAGAAACGTTTTTGTAGCTTTAAGTCGTATTTTAATAATATAAGAAGATTTACAATGGGTGGTCCACCATATTTGGATGTATACATGAGATGTTTTATAAAGGAGACTTTACACTAGACTTAATTCTATAATATAGCATACACACTATATTTATTACACTTCAGTACTCGAGTTTAAAAAAAAATTACATGATACATTTGGCTGGTAAAAAAAATATATATAACTTGCTTGTTACTTAGATTAAAATCAGGTTAACTGGTACCCAGAAGAGACGGACAATGAACATTCAAAAATCATTGAGGTCGCGACAATGTACCAACTTTTACGATGTGAACACATCCGCAGGAGATAAAGAGCTCCATCGATGACATCGAGAGATCACTGGCGGAGATAGAGAGGCGCGGGGTGAGCGGGGAGCAGGCGGCCAGGGTCACGGACAAGCTGAGGAACGAACTGACGAGGCTCAGGGACGACTACCAGGAGAGGCGGGACAGGTGGGGGACGGGGACCAGGGGAGGGAGGGGGGTAGAGGGAGGAGGAGACTGTAGCCGCGTGTGTCACAGGTGGCAGGCGTGTGCGGGGACCTGGAGCAGGCTGTACGGGGCCTTGGAGGAGGGGGGGAGGCGGCTGGACCACCTGCTGGAGGAGGTGGACGCTGTCGAGGAGCAGGGGGCCACGTGCGACCCGCACTCGCTGACGAGCTGGCAGGAACAGGTGAGGGGGGGGTGTCTGACGTCACCGGCGCGTGACCTGCGACTAACGTGTGTGTGTGTGTGTGTGTGTGTACAGCTGGAGGAGTGTACGCGGGGAGCGGAGGAGCTGAGGTCGTTGGGCGCGACCGTGACGGCGGCGTGTGGCGGCGCGCTCGGGGAGAAGGTCCGCGGACAGATACAGGAACACGAGAGACGACGAGCGCTGGCCGAGGACAGGCTGCGCGCGCTGAGGACGACCAGCCCAACCAGTCCGATCGGGGGGAGGGAGCGGGCGCGGGCTCGGCGGCCGGAGACCAGCGCCACCCTGGCGCGGGTCCGCGAGCTGCTGCTGACGACCAGCGCGCACCCCGCGGACCGCGCCAGCCTCGCCGTCAGACACAGCCTGGTCAAGGTGAGGCCGTCACACCGTCTGCCAACTACACGACGACCAATGTTATGACCTGTTATCCTTCACCCTGACGCTCCCCCCCCCCATCCGTGTGTGTCGTCCGCCCCACAGCCCGTGTGTTAGTCTCCCCGTCCTGATACAATATAAAGTGTCGGGACGAGACTCCGGACACACGGGCAGACAGAGGATGACATTACGAGTCAAATAACTTGTCAACAACCCGCCCTCTCTCTCTCCCCCTTATTTCATGTCCTAGGTGGTGTTCTTATCGCACACGCTATAAGACGTATTTCATATATTCGTAACGTGACTCTGTCTTAACATATATTTTTATACATGATAATCTTAAGCCAGGTGTACACCCGCAGCCTGTCGATTATTCCATAATTATTCATAGTATTTATTGTTATCGAACTTATTATATTTAGTCACGCCCCTCGTCCCGTGTCCCGCTGTGTGTCGTGTGTACTCACCTGTAGCAGTCTTCGACCAAAATACTCTGAGTGTTGTTGATAGTCCCGAGTCAGTTTTTCTGTCAGTTTAATTTCAACAGTCGTGTGAGGAGCGCGCCCGGGAGCCGTTTCCTCCTCATGTCTGTGCTGGTGAGTGTTCCAGCTCGACTCATGATGGACTGAACGTTTATTATTTAAAGGATGTGTGACCGTTTCTTGTCTATATTCGTCCTCATGGAGTCCGCTGTGAAGATATTTTTAATCCGCATGTCTCCGTTCACATAGTTCAGTTATAAAAATAAATTATTATAAAAGCTCGTCGGTTCGTTCCTCTCGATGCAGTCATATCGAAGTTTATTAAATATTTTTTCTTTATTTCATTTCATCGTAAACTCTGGAAGTGAAGTTTTTCGCGTCGCCTTATTAAAGTTTGCTCCAAATTTAGTTTCTCGGCGGAGTAAAGTTAAAGTTATCATTATAGAATGGCCCAGATCCAGATCCACTTAAAATATTGTTTTAATGATCGTATCAACACACTGTGTTGTAGGAACCCTTCCTGGTAGTAGGTGTAGTGATCGTGTCGATATATTATATACATACATATATGTACTAGAAGACCTGGCGAACTTCGTATCGCCCTATAATCAAAAAATATCTGTTACGTTTTTTTATTTATATTTTTGGAGTTTACCTATTAAAGTCATAAATCTCCGTGTTTTGAAGTGCGACAGAATGATTGACATATTAGTTGGTTGTCAAATCTCATGTCAAAAAAACGTTTGTATCAACAACTACTAATAAATTAAAAATTAATTTAAAAAACATTGTCCAGCGGACAAACTTGTGAATCTAAACCATTCCCAGATCCCCTTGAACACAAACAAACAATTTCATCAAAATCGGTCCAGTCGTTTGAGAAAAGTTCAGTGACATTCACAATCACAGAAGAATTATATTATATTATATATATGTATGTATGTATGTTTCGTGTGTCGTACAGGCTCGGGAGGAGGAGGTGGCGCGCGCTCTGACCACCGCCCGCGGGGAAGAGAGGCTTGAACTGGAACAGGTACTACTACTGCAATAATTAATTAGATACCACGTAACATACACTTACTACGTTCATACAGAATAGAACAATACATAGCGTTACATACTAGAACAATACACTACATGCACTACATGCCAGGGATATGTTGTAGTAAAGGACGAAATGAGGGACGGTGACGTGTGGCTTCAGGTTAGTGACGACTACAGATGTACTGTGAGGGGCGCGCTCGACAGACATACATGTGACACGGCTAAGATATCACCCAACAAGATATCTACAACAAACATTATGAAATATTAAACTTATTCTGCCGCCTCTACCACTAGTAGGAACGGTAGAGTGAATGAGATCTAACAGTTTCGCGAGTATTCATTTAAATGAAATAATATTATTAGGATTAAAACGTTGGAGTTAGTTGGCGAGTGTAGTGTGATTATTACGGAGCTTAAGTAATGTTAAAAATTGGTTTGCTTTTTAAATTATATATTTTTTATTTTGTCCCAATCACAGTAATGGTTTCTTTGGTTGAGTTATTCTGTGTCACCAACATTATGATTGTCGTGACGCAGGCGCGCGCGAGTCTGTCGGCTCACGGGCAGTATGTGTCCCACAAGCTGGCCTCGCTCAGGAAGTACAGCAGCAGGCTGGACGACGCGCTCACGTGGGCACGGAGCGTGCGGGACGGGGGCGCCGGGGGGGACGCGGCCGGGCTGACGGTGAGTGGGGGGGAGGAGAGGGAGACAGAGAGAGGGAGACGGAGAGAGCTGACGGACGACTGTTGTAGGAGGCGGTGAGGGACAAGGAGGCGGAGATAGGGGAGGTGCTGGAGAACTACAACAACATAGAGAGGGAGTGTCACGCGGCCAGACACAGTGTGTGCCCGGAGATACGGGACAGGGTGACGGCGCTCAGGGAGCTGTGGGCCGAGCTGAGGGGGGAGGCCGGCGGGGACAAGGGTGAGTGGGGCGGGGGGGTTGATTAATAAACATATAGTTAGTAACGATTGTAGTGTGGACCTGTAGTGTGCCGATGAATGTGAGGAACATACACTAAACACTCCCCTGGCCCAACACTAGAGGTGGGGACCTCACGCACGAGAATTATTTGTAAAATAAAAACATTTAGTATTCATAAAGTACATAAGCTTAACGTATTATTCTTAATTTTTATTTATAATTTGCTATAGTTTTATTGAAAAACTTTTATAGGAGTACAATGAGATCAGTTTAACAAGTAACCATTCATTAATAACGCACTTATTATGTATAGACGCGTTCAGTGTGGTCACTACAACGTTAACTTATATCTATATATATAAAAGAAAGTCGTGTTAGTGACTCCACTTATAACTCAAGAACGGCTGAACCGATTTCGCTGAAAATTGGCGCGGAGGTAGTTTAGAGCCAGGAAATTGCAATAGGATACTTTTTATCCCGTTCAACAGCGTTCCCGTGGGACTTGACATGAAACGTCAGTCACTATAAAACGTGGAATAACGAAATACAATTGACAGCTATGCAATTGACGTATAATGACAGATATGTAATTTAGTATTTGCGGGATAAATTTAGAAAATCATTGTTTTTCACATGGGCAGTTACAGTTTGTGTGTGTTGGGAAACCATCCGCTTTATTTGTGTTAACGTTAGACCAAAAAACAAAAAATGTGGTTTACAAAGGAGCACTTCAATGAAACGGATAATTATACTTTGGATACTTTCGATTCACTTTCATTTACTAAGTAAATGAATTTCAACTAAATAACACTTCATTTTTGTAATCGAAATGAATTCATTACTGTTGTGAAATGAAATAAAAATTTCCTTTTCAAATATAAAACAAAAAAAAAAATTTCATCTTTTAATCACCAAACGAAATGTTACATAAAACAAAGCCTTCTGGAGGCGAAACGGAGTTCGCCAGGTTTACTAGTTTGTTATAAAGGATCCTCGCGTGTTGTGTGGTCGCTGGCCGCTTTCTCTATTCTAGTTCTGATTGTTCAAGTGTCAGTAATCTCGTTATTTATAGTAGATGAACCTATCTCAGCATATCTGTCATCACAGGCGGAGTCTGTACTCTCAACCTGTATGTAATGTCTCATCTTGTTCTCCGTGTCTTTACACACCGCTAAGGTCGCTTGCGCCTTTTTTTAATATGTAACAACTCATCCATTGTCCTAAGTGCGACAAGCCACAATCACACTCGAGTTTATATACACCTGCTTGTTGTAAAGGAATACTACTCTTAATCGGTCTCAACAGTAGGCCAGTTTTTTTTGTGTTTTTATGACTATACTATTTTCAAATACGTCGGCCTTCAATCAGTAGTTCCCTTCACTTGTAGTGGGGTGGCAGGTTGTCATTGTTGTGTTGTTTATTTTTTATTTTTATTTTATTTATTTGGGACAACCAACATTTGTACATATATGAAAATATATTTTATACAATTTAATAAACTTAATCTATGTACAAATCACACCGTTATCCACTACTTACTTTAACAATATAAATAAAAGAGATATTACAATACAATCTTACTAACTATAATAACTATGGTATAAGAGATATTGTAATGAATAATTAAAAAATAATAATAACAATATTAAATATATATATCGGATTTATTACAAATTCGTTGTTTTAAAAGAGAGGGACGCCAGCCTCGTTGACGTTACAAATGTTCACTTCTTCTAGTACGGTCCATGATATTTTAAAATGAAACTTCAATTGTTCTTAATGCTCCTGTATTTCTCAAAGATTCTTCATAATAACATACTTCAATGATACACACTCACTGAACTCTGAATTATCAATTCTCAATTCTCAAATCTGCCGTCATCCAGACGTCATATTTATAACAAGATTCAAACATAGTTCTATTCTCCTTTGATTTCGTTTTACTTTTAACAATAATCATAAATACTAATGAGGTTTAATAAGAATTGATGTCAGCCTCAAATTATTTTCAAGTCTCATCCGTTATTAAAGCTGGTAGCGCCGATATATACATAACAAATATAAATACACATACATACCCACATAATAAATATATAGTTTGATTTTATTGTTACTTTTAACTATTATTATTATTTACTTACTCGGTAATGGCTTTAATTCTTTTTTTATACACACCTATTGTTAACCCAAAAATGTCAGCATTATAAAATTCAGCATTGTACGTTTGGGTCATTTGGTACAGTGGTGCTCGCTTGCCAGCATTAGTTCGACATTTTTTCGATTTAAATAATCCAGGTGTTACTGTATTACGCAATGAAACTCGATTGGGTACCAAGAAATATATGTAGCCTAACAATTGAGGACAATTTAAATTAGAATTACAAATATTATATAAGGACATTGTACTCAACAGTTTTCTTCTCGATGCAAAACTCTTTAATTTATATTTATCGTGCAACTTAGAGTATGACAAATAAGAATGTGAAAATTTGTAATGTAATGAGAACAAATACCGACGTTGCACATTTTCTATCTGATTAACATATTTATTGTAAATGGGGTTCCAGATTTGTAATGCATATTCAAGTTGTGGTCTGATTAAACTGGTATACAGATATATGAGCGTAGACGGCTTTTTAAAATCTTTAGTTGATCTTATCAAAATAAACGTAGTTGACTGGAGGCTTCATTTATTAAGTTAAATTTAAATTACCTAAACCGTCTTCCTCCGCTCATGTAACTTGTTAAAAGGTTTTTTTATTTTTATTGAATCACTCGTACCTCATCTGTGTCTAATAAGTAATAACATAGATGACGTTATTTAATATATTCGGTGTGTAAACAGTGTTCTCGTGTGATCAGTTGTATTGTAGGAGTAAAGTCGAACACGCTCTCACCGACATCGGCTCACAAAGAACGAGCCATTTACTAAAAACACACAAATGACAAACAACACCACACAAAGAGGCTTTCTGGGTCGAGCGATGACTGCTCACGGGCGGCTCACAGGGCGCAGAGTAATGTAACCTACATACAGCCTGCCAGCCAGCCTGTACTGAACCATACTACGGACTCGGTGACCGGACGGCTTTAAATATTATTTAATTAAACTATTCCAGCCTCGTCTTATCTCGGAAGTGTCTGTTTTAAAGGCGGTAGTCGTTGTAAAATACGAGCCCGGCCCGGTCTCAATATGAGTCGTCATAAACATGACTCGAGCCTCGTTATATACACACGGCGACCTCCGACTCGTGTTAAACATTAGTTCACTCTCCTCACTGTCGTAGACGCTCTACGCGCTACGGTCTACATGCTACGGTCTACGCTGGCTACACCGCTACGAGCTATTACATGCTACGAGATTATTGCTTATTTTCGGTATCATTCTTTAAATGTGGGACTAGTGTGTGTGTGTGTGTGCTGTTACCTAAAAAAATACTTCTCTCATTATATATTTTAATCGTCGACGTATAAATGTTACATTTTCTCTCAATATTCCATCACTAGTGTGCGTGTGTTTCACTAATGTGTAGTATATATCGTCGGGACGGAATGTTTATTTCTGTGTTATATATATTAATATTAAATCCCAGTTCAACATCCGCGGTATGTGTGTCAGAGTGTGTCGCGTGTAGTTCTCTCACTCGCTGTACATTATGTATATATTTTAATTTAATCTCTTATTATATTGTATGAGGTCGTCAAACAACTCTCTGTGAAAGTATTCTCCATTTGTATATTAACTTGTATAATTATCTCAGTCTGGTCCGTCACTGGTCTTCCTGTTCCTTCATCTCTCTATATCAACCTCATCCCTCGCCTCACTCTTCTTGTATATCTGTTATATGAGTCAACACTCACCCGTCCGTCACTACTGATGATTGTTTCCTCTTAATATATTATAATAAAGTTTTTCCTACATGTCATTCGTTCTCTTTTCGATGTTCCAGTCTATTTTGCGATAACTTTATACAAAATGGACACCAACTATTGATACTATTCAACTAAATATATGTAAAAAAGGAAGTTTAAGCTTCCGTTTGTTCTGAGATGGTGAACACAAGTCAATTTAAATGTTATATTTGAACTACTGTATGTATGGCCTGTGAGTGTGTGTTCAGTGTTGTGTGTATCTCCTAAACCTCTCATATATAACATGACATCAACGAGTCCGGCTCACTCCGACACATCTTCAACGATCCCTTCATGTTCACATCAGGAAGGAGACCGAGTGTGTGTGTGTGTGATGAGATGACAAGTGTCGAGGACTTTATTACGAAGAAATATACACACACAAAGGACGAATGAACCAAGGGGAAAAGTAGTGTTAATTAAATAATTAAGTTGACAACCAACAATATAATGATGACAATGTGACCGACTTCACCGTGTCACAAGAGACGCGAGCGAGGTTCATGTAGGTAGTGTGACGGTGAGGAGACGGACAGACACACGAACAACTATTATAAAGAGATGAGGAAAAAACGGTCACTACGATACATTGGATCAACGTTTTGTTTCCTATCAATCGACATCTCTATAGAGTAGTTATATTTATTATAATACGTATATTCACATTAAACATGTACCCATATGACACGCGGTCACTGTGACTGGTTCAAATATTTCTGTTATCTTGAATATCAACATCATTTAAATGATATCTCAGTATAGTTTTAGTCGAGATCGTTTCGTCTCGGTCTGTAATGTCTCTTGTGTTGTTGAGTCGTGTAGAGCGTCACTTAGCACCCTCTGGTTATACTATATACAAGTACACCAACATGTACATGTATTAGCCAAGGAAGAACAACAACTACGGCTTAGATTTATATCTGACAAAATGTACTGCATACATAAAAATATAAATAATAATTAAAATAATATATCGGCTTCGACGTAAAAAATATTACTAAGGTTGTGTTGTTGACTTGATTGTAATACATATATCTATATCATATTATGTAAAGCTCTCGACGACAACAAGAGTCACAGCTATTGGTAGAACATTCGGCAACAAACTATTATAGATGACATGTGTGACAACATACACCAGGCGTACAGGCACTGGACGTGATGCGTGATGATGATATGATAATGGAGGGGGGGAGGGGGGTCGTGTGACGTCACGGGTATTACACCTATACAGGACCCGGGGGACACGACGAGGAGTGTGGCGGAGAGTTGAGAGACAACTTGTACTCTATAACAAACTGTATAAGAATACAGTTGAGAGAGTTATGTCAGTCTAATACATTCATCTAAGGTACGTTAGATTTCAAACAGAGTTCGTGCCAATTCAATTTCTGCGAGAGAAAAAACTCAATAAGTTATTAAATAAATCTACCCCATTCGGATCGTCACTAACTATACTACGAGTGAACGGTCGCATTCAGAAAGTTTGTTACTCCGAGTTATAACACCCGGTGTACACTGTTGACTGTACACATACAGGAGTCCCGGGGCTGTTTGACTCATGGTGGTCGTTGGTGTGGCGGGCATCGCTTTAAAGTAATCTGAAGTAAATATAGGAAGGACAACAAATGACATCTTCCGAGCATCCGTTAAAGAAAACATCCGCTTTAATACCGAGCGTGAATGAAACGCCCGCCGCATTGAAAGTGCGCGCCAGGAAAACACCGACAGAGACAGATATACACCGTACAGGGGAGAGGGAGGGAGACGGATGCGAAGGGTGAAAATTTCCCTCTCGTTTGGTGAGAGCCGAGCGGCGTCAGTGTTCAGTAGGAACAGACCAGCCGTGGTGAGTGGACGTGTGGCGGCTCGTGAGCAGCACATGGAGCACGTGTGTGAGGAGACACGAGCTGGAGGCATGTGTGACGTGTGGTGGTGCTCTTAACATATAGTAACTTAAACTTTATAAAGGTACGTGCCCTCCCTCACTCACTCACCGTCACACTACACTTTTCTTACTTAGTCTCACATTCGTTTGTTTTGGTTGATTTTTATGCAGCTGGCCGAGAGTTTAATATACTTGATGTGTCTTATTATAACACAAGTATAAGTAAAAGAAAATACGAATATTTCAATATTATGTAAATCAACTACCGAAACAGTTATGAATCGTGTGAGACGACCGCACTGTAAACAAACTGACGGTACATGAGACTTCATAATTTGTAATGTTTGAGAGTCATCTGAGTGTACTACACACACACACACATACACACATTCATACATGTGTTTTATTAACACACAACTCTACTAAAGTTTTGCTAATCCCAGTAAGGTAAATATTGTTAAAGAATTGAACCGACTTTTAATAACATACTGAACACGTTGTTGTGTATGCTTTAAAGAGACCTTTAAACTATCTTTGAATATTTACTCCAAGATATATAAACTAATTGTTCATCTCCCTACAATATATTTCTTCAAACCGTTCTGAATCCAATCAGCTGAGCGGCTCAGCTCGTTGTTCAAGTTCCCTCGTGGGTCGAGTCTTAAATAACAACAATCCCGTAACGAATGAATCGTAAACTTTGTTTGTTTTATTTTGTTTGAATTTATTGAGGAATTTAAAACGAGTCCGTTCGCCAAATTTCTTGTCGATTAAGTTTATGTTCTTTTGGAATTTCTCTTTAAAATAAGTCTTTTGTGTTGTATTTATTAATAAAGTGAATAATATTTCCATGTTCGTTATACATATGTTCGATCGTTTTCCATTCCATTCTGTCACTGGTCAGTCACCAGTTAATCACCAGTTCGTCATCAATGATTGTGGTTTACATGTACCATGTTAAATGTATTGTAAGTTAGAACCCCGACCTGAACGTATTAGGTAGTATTCAGGTGTAGTAAGTGTGTCGCCTCAACCCTTCCAACCATTATCTGATTATTTATAGCTTTCCCTTCTTAAACGGAAGGTCTGTCTCCCCCTTTGGGTTGTGCGCCTTTATTTCTGTAATAACTTACAAAACGCGTCTCAGAACACGAACACTGCCTTCGAGCTTGGTTGCTACTGGGTTGTTATACTATCTAACTATCATACATTATAAAATGAAAAACTTGGAAAATCAGGCCTAGATATATCAATTAAATTATTTTAATATTTTTTATCAGGTCATCGTGATTAAAAGTATTTTTTATACATAGAAACTAACTCTCTCTCAAACTAACTCTCGTTTTAATAGACAAAACTCTGAGTCTCGTGAATGTTCTTGTCCTCACCTTATATTGCGGTTTCATAGTTCATTCCTGTATCCATATTATTCTAATTGTATATTTTCATTTGTTGCTCCCTTCATTCCTTCCACTAAAAATTAAGAAATGAACACAAAAGTGAAAAAAAAAATTGAAAAGTTTTAAATTATGTTTGTCTCCCACACATATGTTGTTATTTTTGTTATCTCTATTCATCAACAATATTTCTTTATAGTATACAGGGTGACTGGTGAATTACTATCAATATTTGAGGACGTGATATTTGACGATCATATATGACAAAATAAAAATTAATATAACATAAATATTAATAAACTTCCAAGTAAAGTTAACCAAAAGTTATGTAATTAATTACGCATCGTATGAACACCCTGCAGATTAGGTATACACACACACTCACACACGCGTGCTGATACAACACTACGCCGCCGCACGCGTCCACGCTTGGAACACTTGGAACGTGTCAACACTTTATTTATTTATACGGAAATTTGGTCAAAAATTAAGTACCTATTTTTTTTACATAATTCGAATGAGAATCATGTACCGAGTATGCTCCTTAAATATTGATAGTAATTCACCAGTCACCCTGTATATTGTATCTATATGAACATTTTATTCCAAACGCAAGCGAATAAAATATTCTTATGGTTTTTAAAAGGCTCCGAGGGAAGCGGCAGCGTTTGGTTATTTATAGTGAACGGTTTCTGCGAGTTCAGTTTAATGTTTGAAACACAAACAAATACAGGAGCTGTAGATATGTTCCACCGTAGCTCCGATCACAATAATAGATATTCATTTTAACTTCGTGAGGTGAGGGTCGACTGATTAACATTCGTTAATTCTGTTCTCTCATATATATTTGTATATTTATATTAATTACTGTATCACATGTAACTCATTAATGTCTGTATGTAATCATCGTCATGGCATCTTTGAAGTCTCCGGAGAGCCGAAGTGTTCAACTTGAACAAATGAACTATCGATTAGTGTTATTATCACGTCTACAATATTAATATAGTTAGTCTTATAGGTACATGCGTCTGTAACATTCACTAAAAATTTGCAAACTTTGTACAAAATACAGTTCTACTATTCACTCTTAATACCACATGTATATAATTTTTTATTAAGTCAGTGAATATTTCGTATGTTTGATTCGATATTGATTTATGATTTACCTTAAAGGAGATGTATTTATGTTTAGAAGTTTGCGGTATAATTATATTTACACACAGTTCTACCCTTAACACGTTATACAATCTAAATATGTTTACCGAAAGATATTTAATTTGTTTGTGGCTCCTGGGTGACGTGAAAGACTCCGCGGTAATATTAGACTCAAAAAGATCCAAGTCATGCATTGATACCGGCAGACTACACACGACACGACTGAGAGATGTTTTTATCAAAGATATGAACATGAAAGAACTTAGTGCTGACGATCTAATAAAAGAAAACTCCTCACATTATAATACCACCCTGCCCGGCCGCCGTCCTACAGTGTGTACGGTCGGCGTGTGTCCGTCTGTCCCTGTGTCGTGGTTGTAATTAGCGGCGGGCCGTGACCTGTCACCCGCAATGCGGCTCCTCTCACCACTCCTAAATCACCATCGACCTCTACATTGTTATACATCGGTCACATTACACAACCATCACACATACAAAATAGATTTTATTAATACGTAGCCTTAATCATAACACATTATTATGTTAGCACGTTATGAAAAACGAAACGATTTCATTGAAAAAGTTTCACTCGCCTTAATACATGACTGTCTTAAATTGAATATGTTAAGCTGAAAAAGAGATTCGTTTCAAATTAACATTAAGTACATGGCCATATCATGGTTTACAAGATATACGGTGCCTCAATTTAATTAAAATTAAAGACGAATATGTAAACGAAAATATTTTAACTAGTCTAGATAGTAAAACTGCAGAGCTGCTCAAACTAAATCGTCTCTCGAGGCGACTCAAGAACTTTGTAAAAAGTCAATGAACTCTTTATTATATAGTTCGTTTATTTAAAGTTATATTACCGTATTACATTGTAGTCCGTTTCATAAAGTAGATATACATACGTAAAGGGGAGGTCGTCGTACGCGGTTCATGGAGCTTCCTTCAGACCTGTCCCGGGACGACTGAAAACTCCACAACAGTCTCTCTACAGAAGTATTTCTTTTCAGTTTTTGGTATTACTATATACCAATGTCGCTCAACAGAACAGTCAAGGCCAATACGGTGGAGTGAACGACTCGAACTCGCTGCCAGGGTAGCATTGTTATTCTCACTCATTCTTGGAAATACAATATTTAAGAGTTTCACAACCGCTTTCCTTTTACTATTATTATATTCCAAAAACGTCATTTTCTTTTTATAAGTAGTTGATGTATTGTATGTGTATGTAGTAGTGTTCTTTATTCTGTACTCACAGCACGTATCACATATGTCGGAGCCCCTCACACATTCGTTGAGAACACCTTCCCCTGTACTCGTCGCGCCGTCTTTAATATTAGTTAAGAATCAGTTATCATACTCGTCGGTACTTTAACCTGAGAACTCTTCAATACTAACACAAATCGTTACATATTGTTTGTTAATGTTTAAGTTGATACCGATGTTAGATTGAATATAGCTACATGTCTCTTTGTCAACTCTATAATCGTGTTGTTCCGAGCCGTCCTCTCAAGTGCCGACTCCACTGGGTCGCAATGAGGGTAACTTTGACCACGATTCGCAGGAGGATTGTTCCACCAAATATTTATTATAAATGACAATGTTCTGAATCTGATGCATACGAGGCGGTCTGTCGCGGATAGTTCTCAGTATAATGGTCGAAGCGGTACAACCACGATGGCGTTGTGAACTTTGAAAATTGCAGAGCGGAATGACTAGTAGCCGTGTGAGCGAGTGAGTCTACCGCACATCTAAATATTCAGAACATTAAGTAAATTGCTTGTGACCCTTTTATTTTATTTCCTCTTACGTATGGTGATTGTTAAATTACTGACATACCTTGTGAATTGCAAAACATTAAAGCGTTACAACTCCGTTCATCGCATATAATATATATTTATATTTTGTACGTCGTTTGCTTCCCTGCGTTTCGACTGACAATATTTTCATTCAGGATTCCATCAATTTGTCAAGCGCAGGAACACCAAGCACTCGTTGACTGTCGACTGATGTTTGTGTCGCTGACAACGACGACAAATAAATAAAATAAATAAATACGGGGAGCGGGTGTTGTGGACGGATCGGACTGAGGGGAAAGGGGGGGGAATGTGGTATCGGTTGAAAAAAAAAACATAGGTCAGGGTTTAAGTGAACTTTGTATATTGTTCGTGATACACTAACGGCTCTATTCGGTTCCATGTAATTTGTTTCACATAATTCTAATTACATTTGAAACTGTTTCATTTTATTGTTTAATACTCATTGGATAACACAAACTTGCATTCATATAATTAAATTTGTAATTTCATTTGCATTTTGGACGCGAATTTCAACTACATGCAACACGTTACTGTTTATTATGATTATGAACAAAATAATTCTTCGTAATATTATAAACAGAATGTTTCTGTTCTGATGAGTAGTGTGTGTTAGAAAGCTCCTTTGTGTTACGATCATCACAAAGGTTCCATGAGTTCTCATATAGCCGTGCGAGGTATCTTATATTCAGAAGTTAGGTTGCTTTCAACATATCTTTAATTTTCAATAAGTTTTTCCTATATACCACTAGTTTCAATACAAGTATGTCTGTGTCTAGTATATATTAATATAAGCTGGTGGTCGTCTGATCCGGATTATCCTCACCTGATGACTCCTCCCTCTCTTATATAAACGATCCAAATACTGATCTATGTTTCTTATTGACATTTCTCAAGTTATTTCGGCGCGTGTTTCTCCAGTCCTGTTTCTCTCTCCAAGAACATTCCACGTAGTTAATGTTTATCATAATAAGATCTGTTCTCGATCTTTGTCATAAAGGAGTGAAGATGAGTCTCTGATGATAAAAAAATATGATTTCTATTCTTAATGGGTGATGTGAAAAGAAATCTTGAAGCTAAATATTGTCCTTAACTGTGAGAGTCACAAGTAACAACTAATACTTCATTATAAAAACATACAGTCTTACAATCACGATTACAATTAAATGGAACATCCGATAACAAATTCCTTTAATAAAATTTATTTCATATATTAAATTTAACTTATTAAATGTATATTAAAACGTGTGTTGTATATGTATATGTTTGTATAACAACCCTTTAATTCTCAAAGCCAGTTAACGCTCCTTAATATTCGCCAGAACAGAACAGCCAGAACATTCTCTTTCCATGTGTATCTTAAGGGAATCATCTTTTAAAATCTTGTCACGATTCCTTTTTGCTCAAAACAAATTGGGATTTTGAAAAAAAAAAAAGTATTGATTTTTTTTATGTATTTTAAAACTTTATTATTAATTATATTGATTTTTAATGCAAAAAAACTTGAAAAACAATTTTTTTAATTAATTATAAACAATTAAAAATTGATAAAATTCAAGAAAAAATCACGTGACTGTAAACGCGCCATGATTGGTCACCATACTTGTGACGTCATAATGTTAAAGCAATTTCATAATAGTACAGAGTTTATGGCTATTATCTTTGACTTGATAAAAATATCTCAAATTTATTGGTGAAAAACGATTTGAAAAGTTCATTTCCACTAACTATGTGTGATAAAGGATTTATAAAAGCAAAATCGGATAATATTCCTGATGTTGATATATTTATGATAACTAATTTTATAAAAAAATATATTCGGTTTAATTCTGTTGAAGTTCGAGGTGCTAAGGCATCAAGGTAAGTCTGTTAAAAAATACTATTCTAAATGAAAATAAGTATTTATTATCTATTAAATATAATTAATAATTATTTCATTAATCATAAGAATTAATAAAATGTTATTAAAACATTATAAAAAACCAAAATAACATATACTTTAAAAATTTAAATGTAGTCTGATACAGAACCTAGAATGTTATAAAATTATAAAAATATCTATTAATTGAATTCCAATTATTAGACAAACATACATATAGATTTACTATTTAATCGCTTTGAATTATCAATTAAAAAATTTTTATGCTACGATTCTAAAGGTAATGATTTGTAGCCCAGGTAAAAAAAAATAATTACTGAACTAGACTTATTCGATTTATACACTTAGATAAATAATAATTAATAACAATATTATTATGAATACTTACATCGAAATGTTCTTCACAACAAAAAAAAAAAAATTTGTTTTTGAATAATCTCGGTGCACTGCTTGAAACCATTTCTTTCGACGTTTTTCGTCTTGTGGAACATTTAAAAACATTTTTTGAGGAGTTGTTTTTGTAGTATTTGTACATAATGGTACAAAACAAGAGCGATAATAACTTTTGAGTTTTGACATTTTTGATTATTTAACAATGCCAACAGAATTTACTAGATAAAAACTCAAAACTCTGTACTAATTATTATATCTCTGTATGCTACAATGAGCAAAAACTAACATTGTGACGTCATACGCGCTCGGGTTTATTCGCGAGCTGTCGGCGGATCTTCGGTACTGAATTTAAAATTTAATTTTTATTTTGAAATAACTTTTTAATTATTGCAAAAAACATAAAATAAAAATCGTTTTATTATAAAACTTATATATGATCCTTCCATTTATCACAAAAAAAAAAAAAAATTCAAAAACCCAATTCTAAATAATTCATTAAATTATTAAAATGAAGGTAATCTTTATACAAAACGTATCAACATTAAGTAATTCATTAAAAATGACACATTTGAAAATAAATGATTATCATTAACACAGCGTACCTCTTAACATTTAAAGGTATAATAACAGTTTTAAACTACGACATTACTTCTACAAGTTATTGTATAATTTTCTTATAATGAATGTATAGTTCAGTGAGGTTGTACGGTCAGCTTCTGTCAGCTAATAACTGTATAAGTATTGGAAGGTTATTGTTCATACTAATCTATCACGTGTTTCTGTCTCTGTTGGCTCATCTTCATCGTTTTCGTTCTGTACTGTATGACCCCACTGAGTGTATGTGAGTGTAGTAAGATCGTTCTACATGTCGTCCAGGTACATCTTAATCTGTGAACGCGTCTCTTGTTATTAAATTCCTCTCCTGCCTATCGTCTTCATCACTCCTCACCCGCCGCCTCTTTAACGCTAATACTCCGTCGGTTGACTTGTGTATGTTATAGCTCTATTGTCATTTATTATCCTTAATATATACTAATCCTTGTATTTGATTATTTTGACAACTATGTATATGGACTCGTTGCTATCTCTAGTCTTGTTCTCAAGGTACTGATGATTCAACTAGTGTATTTACTGTTGTTGTAAGTTTGCTGTGACGTCACTCACCGTAAAAGCATCCAAATTAACTTCTTCCATGGAATTATATCGTATAAAAGCGAGTGACGTCAGCTCATGGCTGATTGCTATTACGAACCCCTAATATCGCTTCGAAATTCGCCTCACAATACATGAATAATGACGAAGGAAATTAGTTCTTAATGTAAGGAGATAAGGTTCAGTTGTATTCATTGAGGGAATCGAGTACCTTATATCGTAACGGGGATTTTAAAGTAATTGTGAAAAAATGAAATGCATTAAGGAAGGTGTGATGAAATGAAATGGAACCTGAGATAGGATCGTGGAGACGATACCTCTTATACTGTGACTTGACTTCTGATATAACGGAGGGGAGACTCATATAGATGTGAACGAACAGAATTAACATGGACATATGGAGTATTGGTCCGTATTAAAAGATTTTGTTTACTTCGTTAGTGACATGAACAGACGGACGGACGGACGGACGTACACAAACAATATCAAGAATCACACAACTACTGATTACACTACGATAAAAAGAGGGGCCATGTCTACACTTTATTGCTACTTGAGGGAAATAATAAACAATATAATAACAAAATTAATTAATTTAATTTTTATATAAAAAAGGTCGTTTGATGTTTTAGCTTCACAGTTTTTCTGACTGACTATATATCACATATATATCTGTATATCCTCCAAACCGACTTCAATATTTTTGTTATATTTTGTTATTAACCAAGTCATCAGTCAGTCCTTCTGTTAGTTTTTTCATTTCCGTGTCTCTTCTGTTAAGTCCGTCATCAAGTTCGGTCCCGGTGGTCTTTTTGCCGCTATTAGTGCGTGACGTCACAACATGGCGGAACAATGGCCTCCCATAACTTGTGTAAATGTCAAATTTCCCGCGGCATTACGGGCTCGGGAACCTTTTAACTTGCTCATTGTTATATTGACGCTTCGCCTTTAGTCATGTACATACATCAACAATAATATTCGTTTATATATAGGTTATGTTCGTTTTAGTTAATTTAGTAATTATTTCAACATAAACAAACAAACACTTTTTATGGCTTCTTCAAAAAAAAAAAAAGTAAAATCTTGATTACATTTTAAACTTCATATATCTTTTTAATAAATATTGATACAGTGCTTATTATTAACTATTTTGAATGATAAATGCCTTATTTTTAAAGAAAAGTTATTTAATCCACTCCGGGTCCCAACAATTAGTCATTTCTAAATCAAATAGTATTTAGCAGTATTAAAAATATTTTCCAAATTGTAAAAAAAATATCAAACTAGTACATACATGTTAATATATGGTTCATGAATTGTGATTCAACATACTAATATTATTTGTATCAGTTCTCCCGCCAGTAGCCTGAGCGTATTTCTGTTCTCTATTGATATATATAATGAGTTTGCTGTATTTTTAAACAGCTGGCGTCGCATGTTCAGACACTTTGACATAAATGGCTTAAAGAATATTACTTTGTATGGAAACTGGAAAAATATTCAGATTTATCAAATGAAAAGTTACTTATTGTGATGCTTGAAACTCTGTACAGGTACATTAAAGTTATAATTACTATTTTATTTTCATTAAACTGTATTCGTTACGTAGTGATTGTTGTTTAAATGGTTTTCAATTCTGTTCTCTTCAATCATACAGTGTTCGTCGTCGCATGTCGTCCTCAGTGTGAGTGTTGTAATGCTATGAGTGGTGATGTCCTAGCACAGCGCCCGGTTCAGTCGGAGGTCGTAATTTGCATTAGAAGCGGTTTGAACACTTAGCGCAGATCTGGTTCACATTATGTTAAAACTGTTTGTGCTGGAACAATACGACCCCTCCACAAACACACTGTACTGAAACACTTCATCTGAATGACAGACATTAACTTTAATCCTGTGTTAGTGTTTGATTATTTTATTTATTACTTACAGATATTATTATACCAATGACCGGGTTACATATCATATTCCAGGTCCGCATACAAACCTACATACTAGTTATTTCTCAGTTCTCATTAAATGTTCTGCGTCAATACATAAATGTGAGTCTATTTATGAATAAGAAACTTTCAACTCCCTGTGTGACGTGCGACGTAGCAAACTTGTTGAAGTCCTGATAGGTCTTAAGTGATGTTATAATATAACGAGGCGGGGCCTTTCTTCGTAACCGTCAGCGTGATTGTGACATCGAGTCGTTGTAATGTTTGTGTTATGTTCTCGTTCATATTTACCCGTGATCATTTCTACCAGACTGTACCGGATACACGTCCCACTACATCATATGTAGAAGTAGTCCTATCATCCACCTCATCTTATAATCTATAATAGTTTTTTACTACTCACATAAGTAAACTATGTAATATGACTGTCACGATGAATTATTTTTTATTTGATCTCTTTTGGGAACATTTACGACATGAGTAGTCATTGATAACATTGATAACTGGATTGTATATAGACGCGTTCGTGTAATAAGTTTGTTTAATAATACAAATAAGAATTAAAGGACACCAGACACCAGAGTGTTCATATAACGAGGAGGGCCTGTACTCATTGTGTGTTTAGTTGTACGTCAATAATTAAACCATTGTTTGAACCTAAATTGTACCCCTTGGGGATACGAGAATGTGTTCCCAAATTTAGTTGGAATATTTGGAAGTTGTCGCTATTGTTGAATGTATCATAGCCCGATACACTGATAGAAGGTTGTTTCATCATATTTATTGAGATATGAAGTTCATGCGAGAGTCTAATAAAATATTTTTTCATGTAACATGTATTTTGTACGATGTGCGCCAACATCAGTGAGGTTTATTCTAAATTTTTTGGTTTGATCTGGGCAGAGTCAATAAAGAGAAGCGCCGTTTTCGGTTCTGAGGTCCGGTTAGTACTTAGTGACTCCAAATTTGGACTGCCTTTATAGTTCTTGCAGGAATAATCGAGAGGAATCACAATGAAACTTGTGTTCGATAACTGGTCCAAGTTTCCAGATGGGGAGGATGAGTGTTGAATGTCAAATGTTAGTAGAACATTGTTAATGGCTTTGAAGAGTTTTGAATTTTGATTGACATTTATTTATCTATTTATTTGGTAATCCAACAGTTTTTATAAATAAGTTTCTATATTAATTATTATATAACATACAATTAAAACCAAAATAGGATAACACAGTTAACTTAAGCATATTAATAACTAGAAGACGGTAAAACTTATAGTATAAAAGTAATATAAAGGTAAAACTGTTTACGACTGGGAATCCAATAGGTGCGTGTTTGCATGATTGTGTGTGTGTGTGTATGTGTGTGTGGGGATGTGTGTGTATGTATGTTTGTTGTTATGAATTTTTAGCTTTTTTAATTATAACTTCTTTAAAATCTAGTTTTGACATGCTGAACAGATCAATTTCTGAGTATTTTGAATTATATGTGTGGACCATGCGATTAAAGACAGAGTTGTGTGCATAGACTTTAGTGTTTAGCTCAGGCGTGTGGGATAGTGCTGTATAACGTGTGCGGCGATTAGGAACTCTTAAATACAAAACGCTCAATAAATCGGTGCAATCTATATCTCCCGTAATTATTCCATGTAGCATATACATACATATCATAATGTCGTCGTCTCGTTTCTAATGTTTCAATATTATATTGTTTACATATATCAACATAATCGTTAAATTCTTTAAAGTCCTTAAAGCAAAGAAATTTTATGAACTTTTTTTGTATTCTTTCCAGTTTTTCTTTGTAAGTTATATAATTGGCAGACCATATACTACAACCGTATTCTAAAATACATCGTACATAAGTAAAATATAAAATTTTTATGCATTCAATACTATTAAAAGTTTGACATATTCGTTTTATATAGCCTAATTGCTTATATGCCTTATCAGTAATGAGTCTAAATTGTCTGCATCGTCTATAATTAAATTCCAGGGATTTATTCTTTATTGTAACATCAACCATGAATGTAAGGTGCGTCTACATGCGGGTATTCTTCCTTGTCGCAGTAAGACTGATACTTTGTAAACACTTACATATCTATTGAATACACCCCGTCCCAATATGAGCCAAGTGTCATAGATCCTCCGCACACAGTGTCTCCAGCACCATGAATATCTGTACATGAACCGTGACCACCAGACACCTGGTGTAACCAATGTACCCATACATATGACGATATACACAAATAACTGGACGTATTTTGTACATTTTATTTTTTTTATCGTTTTCTCCAGTTTTTTTGGATGTTCATTGATAGTATTGATAAAGCATAAAAACTATTAATTTATTTTGAAAAAAAAAAATTTCATAATTTGTTCTGATAATTTTCCATTTCTCCCGCATTTAAGCTCGGATTCAGTGTGACGGCGACACATAATTCCAACGTTTTTACCAATTATTTCAACGTTCTCAACCCGTAGTCCATTAAGTGCTCCCAAAACCCAAAGGCCGTAAGTTGTCAGTGAGCAGGCGTTAAATCGATGCCACGGAATCATTGAGCAGTGAGTGTGTGGAGCCAGCGACCTGGATACAACCTGCCACCAGTTATTATTAACTGAAACACACGCCCTTCACCTGTTATATACATAATACATATACATATATGTATGTTGGAACGAATTATAAGACATGGGCATGTATCACAAAAATGTTTCATAAAATATTTCCTTCGTGTTGTCGAAACAATACGAACATTAATAAAAGTTTCACACTTGTATATAACTATGTTAGATGTTCGTGTGATGGCTGGTGTAAGGTTCAATGTGTTCTGGTGATTGATGGCACTTAAAAAATAAACAACTTGACCCTAGTTTGATACTAGTTGTACAGAGTTACATGTAATAACTGAGCAGTAACAACTACTGGCAGCTACATTTACTGAGTCGTTATATTTATGGATAGATGTTGTCGACTGTGAAGAATTAAACATATAGTGTTTTAAAATTGTAACCTAATAACGGAGGAGTCACGTGAAAAGCTAATAACACAAAACATTTGATGTTATTACAATGAGCTTCTTGATCAATCATTTAAAACAAGTTCCCTGTATTGAACCAACCCGTCCAACACAGTATAACGACTAGTCAGAAGCCACTCGGTACTTCTTACGATTCTTCTTATCCAGTTATTCCACGAAATAAACTTGTATTTATAAAACTTTTCCTATTTTCACCTCTCCTCCTGAACGGCATCTTAAAATACGACTCTCGTTATAAAATAGTACTTATGTCCTGAACCGTAATGGTTAAAATGTAACGCAGACTCGGCTACAGCATCGTATTGTTTATAGCGACAATGCCAATCCTAGTATACAAAGAAATATTCTCTTTAACGACATCCCTATAAGGATTACAATCGTTTGTCATAGTAACTGTCAAAACTTTAATACCGAGAGCCGTACAGTACGTGACTCCAGTCGCTCGTCTGTCCGATACACGTTTTATATAAGGGTGTATCCTCAATAATATTAATATCATATAATGTGAATGAGTTTTAGTCGAAGTTCATTAATATTTTCATGGTTTTGTTGTAGTGAATGTTAAATCCGTACGTTTTAATTACCACTATTAACTCATATAATAATTACTCGGTACAAGTCTTGCGTCTAATTTGCCGATGCAACGTTTTGATGCTTCGTTGGCGTTGAATGGACCGCGGCCGCAGACTTGGATGTTAAAACTATAAAATAAACATGAACTACTCTGTGAACTTACTACATTAATATTATTATTATTTTAGTTCTGATAACAAATTATCGCTGGCCTTTGTTTTAGTTCACACAAAATAAAAATAAGATTACTTATAGTAACAACAATTCAATGTTGTTCAAATGTCGGTATCCCCGGTTGTAAACGGTTTGATATCTGTTAGAACTTTGTTCCATCATCCATGTTCATCCATAATATGATCCTATTGTTTCCTAACACCGCGGTATCTTGTAATATTATTAATGTAATACAATGCTTATAATCCGGCGTCGCTCGCTTTTCGTTCATGACGATGTAGTGATCATCACTTGTATTTTGTTTAAATGGCCATTCATTAATAATATAAGCTACATGTCGGCTTGTGTTATGAGAAATATCTTATTAACATAAGATTCACATCACTCAGTCGTTTATGTAATGAATGTATGTTTCTTTATCATTTAATATAATTCTGTTCATCTGTTTAGTATGAGCACAGACATATTGTATCCTTAAAGTCAGTGTTACATCGATAGTTGTCTTTATAGTGGAATTGTAGGTGCTTCAGGTATTGTTTTAATGAGGACCGGAGACTGATGCAGCCAGGGTTACCTTTAGACGGGATCGAGTCATGTTTAGACCACACGCAGTCATAAACAACACGTCACAGTTTAATAAATGTTAATTATCAAACATTATAAATGTACATGTAATACTAATACAGTTAGTTTTCCTCACCGGTACTTATTTCAGTATGAACATGTTTCACTGAACCTTTTGTTTTAAAAGCGATCACCTCGCGTCTCCCAGGCGTGCTGTGACTACACTTTAAATATATTTTCAATACATTCCTATAACTCCTTTGTTATATTATGCTGTGTGCTTGGAAATAGAATTTATTATCTATATCGAAGTTTTAATGTTTAATATGTATGTACTTCTTCCAAATTAACAACTAGTTTCTAATTAGCATCGATCATTTTTAAGATTTAATTATCATCCAAACACTTTCATTATAATGTGAAATAAAAAGATTATTCTTAGAGTGCTTAAAGGATAATATATAGTCAATATGTTTATAATATAAGTATCAATGTAGTCATCTGGTTCATTAGCGGTCCATGTTCTACATACAAGTACAGAACAACTAACAATATTATATAAATATAATGTGTATTAACACACTACCAAAGGTTATGTAGAAATAAAACTCAATTGCGTTCCTCTGTGAAAGAATTTTTTTTATTATAATAATCATAACTTACAAAACACTGGAGTCCCATAAAAGTAATTATTATAAATATTACAAACCTGTGAAAGAAACAACATTTAAAGCTATTCACTTATTCCTAATTTATTATTATATAATATTAATAATTAAATGAAGATTAATACATATATGACTTTCATTTACATATATTTATATCTTTTGGAGCCGGTCAGTGTTTATTTCGTATTTCTCCATTGTTTTCAATATTTTCCTCCCATGTCTTTGAAAGCCCTTCAGTGTTATATCATGATTCTCATCATCTAATCTCTGTATGTCTGTCTGTTGTTCCAGAGCGCGGCGTGCGGGTGGGCTCGCGGCGAGGCTCGTCGCTGGACTCGCCCGCAGCGCTGCTCGCCACCTTCGACAACACAACGCTACAGGTAACACACACCACACACATGTTAGAGTTCCTTGCGGACTATTAATTTATAGTCCATTGTAGTGTAAGTGCGGGCGGTCGCTCGATGTATTTGATCCTAGTCGTTCAAGATCGCCGCTAATCATTGAGTTCGTTCCCGGAGCTCAACATCGAGCTCAACACCCCATTAATATATTACAGTCGGTTAACTTCGGCGAATGTAATTTTATTGCACGGTTTTTATGGAAGTATTCGTGTTCAACGACCTTGATCGTTTAATGTGTTGGATATAATGAGTTTTACTATAAAGTATATCAATATTTCATTAATTTAGAATAATCATACTTTCATATCTTTTCTTAAAACAAATTATAAACATCGTAGTTAAAAGTTTATGTTAGTTTAGTTATTAAAATATAATCATTACTAACTGGTCGTCACACTTTCGAAGTTAAGCTACGTTCTGAAAAACAATGTAACGTGTTAATTACGGACATGTACGAATTTATACTAACTGGCAATAAATTTAATGATAATACATGTTTTTATAATTTTTACGTCTTTTAACATTTCAAAATCATTGCAACTTATAAAATTAAAAAAATTAATTAATTCGTCATAATCTTATCAACCGAGTTTCTGAAAGGAAAGAGAAAATAATATCCGAGAATAAAAATCCATTCCGGCTTCTGCTCCAGAATCTTAACTAACGTTAACACAATAGAGGTTTGAACCCCGCGCGCCGCCCGGCACCATACATACAATGACATACGGTTCAGGAATATTTGTGGAACATCCACATGGATTTTTTTTTTCCACATGGATTTTTTTTTATGAAAAAAAATTTACAGCTCTAAATTAGCCAGTTAATATATACAATATATATAGTTACGATTGTCGAACAATATTTACATTGAGACGTGAAAAATCGGGTTAATAAACGGAGATCAAAAGTGTTGCGAGGTGGCCGGCGGCGGCGAGGCAGGCTGCAGCGAATCAATATGTTTTAATCTGAATTTCGTCTGGAGGGTTCAACCTTCGTCCCGGAAACGACCAAAACTCATCCCCACGATAACTATAGAACCGGACTTCGATTGGAAACACACAGCAGTCGAATACATTTAGAGACACGGCGTTTTATTTGAGTGTAGAGAAACCGGGGTTTGTTTTTGAGTCACAATGTTACCAGAGATTAATTTGTACATTCACACGCGTGTTGTGGAACCGGCACAGTCTACACGTACCTACTCGTATATTGTCATTAAATATTTTCACATACAACGTTTATTCAGGGTAATAAACGTAACAAAAGAGACACCTTAGTTTACCATTTGTGGTGGAAATTGGGTTTTTGAAAAAAAAAAAAGTATTGAATTTTTTTATGTATTTTAAAACTTTATTATTAATTATATTGGATTTTTAATGCAAAAAACTTGAAATATATTTTTTAAATTAATTATAAACAATTAAAAATTGATAAAATTCAAAAATATATCACGTGACTGTAAACGCGCCATGATTGGTCAGCATACTTGTGACGTCATAATGTTAAAGCAATTTCATAATAGTACAGTGTTTATGGCTATTATCTTTAACTTGATAAAAATATCTCAAATTTATTAGTGAAAAACGATTTGAAAAGTTTATTTCGACTATGTGTGATAAAGGATTTATAAAAGCAAAATCGGATAATATTCCTGATGTTAATATATTTTTATGATAACTAATTTTTTAAAAAGTGCGGTTTAATTTTGCTGAAGTTCGAGGTGCTAAGACATCAAGGTAAGTCTGTCAAAAAATACTATTCTAAATGAAAATTAGTATTTATTCTCTATTAAATATAATTAATAATTATTTCATTAAATCATTATTAATAAAATGTTATTATAACATTATAAAAAAAACAAAATAACATATATGTACTTTAAAAATTTAAATGTAGTCTGATACAGAACCTAGAATGTTATAAAATTATGAAAATATCTATTAATTGAAGTCCAATTATTAGACAAACATATATATAAATTTACTATTTAATCGCTTTGAATTATCAATTAAAATTTTTTAATGCTACGATTCTAAAGGTTATGATTTGGAGCCCAGGTAAAAAAATTAATTATTGAACTATACTTATTCGATTTATACACTTAGATAAATAATAATTAATAACAATACTATTATGAAAACTTACAACGAAATGATCTTCACAACAAAAAAAAATGATTTTGTTTTTGAATAATCTCGATGCACTGCTTGAAACCATTTCTTTCGACGTTTTTCGTCTTGTGGAACATTTAAAAACATTTTTTCAGGAGTTGTTTTTGTAGTCTTTGTACATAATGGTACAAAACTTTTGATTATTTAACAATGCCAACAGAATTTACTAGATAAAAACTCAAAACACTGTACTAATTATTATATCTCTGTATGCTACAATGAGCAAAAACTAACATTGTGACGTCACACGCGCTCGGGTTTATTCACGAGCTGTCGGCTTGTCTTCGGTACTGAATTTAAAATTTAATTTTTATTTTGAAATAACTTTTTAAATATTGCAAAAAAAAATAAAATAAAAATAGTTTTGTTATTAAACTTATATATGATCTTTCCATTTATCACAAAAAAAAAAATAATTCAAAAACCCAATTGCGAATAAAAACTTATTTTTTATGAATAACATTATCACTCCTTGATTTAAAATATTGTATGTACATAGTTTTGTGTACAATGTTTATTAAATTGTTACCACAAACTATTTAAGAACTATCAAAGAGCTTGGACTCTCATTACTAAACTTATCTAAGGAACACGAGACTAACTTAGACGATGATCTTAATGATAAAACCTGGCTGATCTTATTTATATATAATTGGTATAGTTTTCGTTTCCTCGTGCAGTATAGCATAGTATGTGTCAGAGTGTTTGTATATCATAGTCCTGACCGTCACCACCGTCGCTCCCCGGTCCCGGTCAGTTCGCGAGTACATCGTATTGTTCCCCGTCTTATTGGAAACAGATACATGACTACACACACCTCGACCTGTATTGTCATCGTTCACAACCCGTGTAACAGTTAAAATACGTCCAGAGGGATTTTTTCTGTAATTATTTTAGCATATCAATATTATGATCTCGAGATAGTATATCCTTCACGTTTCTTAAGACTGCCTCTGTAGAACAAACTGTGAAGTTAATTTGTTTTCAATAATTAACGTGTTATGTGAAGTATGATATCCAATTGCTTATTTCAATTAACAGTTAGAGATAAACAAATATACGTTTCGTTGAACCATCCTTGTATGTACATATATAATAATCGATCACATGATCGTCCTGTGAATGATATTAAAGTAAGTCGTGTGATGTCCCGCTGTGAGACTAGTTCTATTCAATACTAACAACGTTATTACTACAATCACTGTTAAAAGAATATATCTTAAACCGTTTGTGTTTGTTTTGTTAAGGCTTCTTTAATAAATAATAAGATTTAGTGGACTTTATCTTGAGTGATGTCAGCTGTCGGATAATGTTGAGTTTATTAAAAATATTAATCAATTTCCTTATAATCCTCGGTACTTGTGGTGTACTTTATATGTATATGATAGATGTATGTGTATATTATGTGTGTTTCTTTCGCCGGTTCTTCTCAGGTCAGGGTATTTTGTTTTCCTAACCGGTGGTAGTGTGTCAAGTGACCATCAATAAGAAAGTGTAATGCTTCTATATTGAATTAAGTTATTTGAGTTTGGGTTTGTGTGTGGTGTAGATCCGTGACTGGTTGTCTGTGGAGGCGGACATGCTGCGAGCTCAGCCCGTGGCGGTCGGCGACCTCGACGACATCATCAGCCAGCTGGACAAGCAGAAGGTGAGCACAAACACGTATATACACACACACGGACACACACACATACACACACACAAACACATTGACCCTAAATCTCTACTCGAGGCTCGTGGACTCCTTGTTCATCTAGGTTACAGTAAACGATAGACATTTTGTCATAGACCTAAAAGGGTCCGCACTGACGGTTACCAAAATATAACCGCGAGATATAAAAATAAAATCATCATAAATATTGTTTAGTGGCCGCTGTCAGAATCGATCGCGGGCCTGAGATGAATTTAAATAAGGTCGGGGATGTTGAAAACAATCACTAAGAATATACAGAGGCACGAGCTAGGACCGACCACGCTAGAGAGTTGGACGTTCACACGATACAGACATGAATCTGTTGTTTTAATGTTTCTAAACAACATTATATACGTAATTTCATTTATATAAAAAACACAATGATCTTTTAACTCAAACAATTTTGTAAAAAAACACTAAACTGTAACATTAACAGTTTATGCGACTCAAATAAAAATGACGTCAATTTAAAGTTGTTCATTGCGTAACTGATTATTAGGTCAGCACTTTTCCCTATATTTAAACTACATCAACTAGTACTACACATTCGTATTATTAGTATCTGCAGTCTCTGTTCATCTGTGAGTCACGCGGACCACTCGCGACACTCGCCTCCATGAGACCGATTCAATGACATCTCTAATCAACACTAACGTTATGTTCAATGATGAACTCAGACCACCACTACTATAATACATTCATTATAAACTCTGTTACCTCTCATTAGAGTCTTATTTGACACTACACTGACAAATGATGTTGAGACTTATTAACCCCCATGGTATTAGACGGAGTTTACAAAAACAAACTTTATGATTCATTACATAAAATACAATTTAGTTTGTCGTCGTCTTTGGTCTGCTACATGTCCTCATGATGTGAACCTTCTCTGAGGCTTGTGTAATGAGAGTGATGACTGTAGTCCAGGCAGCAGGCGGATACAAACAAACACATTTATATCTCGTATGTATTAAGGTAATGTGATAGTGACTGACTTCTGACACGTTGTTTACAAATATTTTTTAACGTCAAAACAGCAAACTGTGCTTAAAATAAAAATATTAATGAGGTTGTTCAGAGAATACATAAAAGTGTTTGCTGAGGTTCCAACTCATTGCTGAGGTTTCAGGTCGTAATCGCCTTAGGGCGGGTGGGACACTGAGCCTACATTTTTATATATTACTAGGATTTCACCGCGGCTTTGTTTGCGTTAGGTATTATCATAGATACCTTCGAGCAACAGCCTGTCATGTTGAATTAAGGAAGTTGAATCAGCTGTATGATAATTCACATTTTTTTAAGAAAAATATGTTCCTGTTAAATCTGATTTTCATTTTTGATTCTTATTTTACAGTCTAAACTCTAAAATATGAAACTTAAGAATTCAAACTCAAAATACATTAACAATACGTCTCCTATGTCATTATAATAATCTATATGTCAAGTGACTATTATCATGTATTCAATACAACAGTCTAGTATATTATCGTGATCGTCTCCTGCTTCATATTCTAACTCTTCTTTTATATCATAACGTCAACTTCCTTCCTAATCTCTTTTCATTGTTTCATTTAAGCCCATTGTTGTCGTTATCTCATTATCTTTAAAACATCATACAAAAGTTTTATTTTTATTTTTGTCATAATATAATAAACATATACGTCTATGTTGCTAAGAATTAGTCCGTCCAACTCTTTTATCATTATTATTGCAGCTGATGTGTTTCCATTATTAAATCCTCGACTTATTTTATTTCTTAGTTACTTTTAATGTAACATATAGTAACATTACCACCTCACCTCCTCCAGCCGGCTCTGTGTCCGTCATACAAATGAACTCTCTAAGTAAGGAACGCTTGGTTTTATGTCCCAAGGTTCACACAATACGCATGCGCCAGGTTCAGTGATGCCAAGTGTCGATAGTTTTTATTGACTAGTTACAGTACAGGGAGCGTCTGCAAGCACACTAAGAATTTTTCCTAATCAATTAAATAAACAAGTAAATCATACCGTTTCTATTGATATATAAATAATAACACGTCGTTTCCCTGTGCCAGTTACAAGGGAGGAAGTTTCTCCTGTACGCTCCTGTATACCATTAAAATCGTCATAAAAGTATATGTGGCCATATGAGGCAGATAACGTGTTACTTCTAATAAAAGTAAGGAATACACTTAGACTAAATTAGACTTCATTTTCCTGTAGTTCAAGTAAAGTTTTATTATTTAAATTGTTTTCGGTTCTCGCAAACACAGTCACATGCATTTGAACCGCAAAATAAATGATTGATGATTGAATCCATCAAAACTGAAAAAAATATAATAGAATTACCAAAGAAAGCTTAATTGTTTGGTAACCATTTAGGGGACTTTACTTCTTGCTACAGTTCTCATGGCCTCTGTACAGTATGGCCAGAATAAAATATTTAAACTGGACTAACGACTTGTGGTGACAGAAATCCTTTGAAGTCTGTGTTCCACATACAATCATGATCTGTCTTTTTCAAAAGAACTCAATCCCTCACGAGTTGACAGTGGAAAATCGATCAAACCGTTTGATTACCGTTGACGAAACATAGATCCTGCTCTATGTTACTCATACTAAATTACAGTCGAAGACAATAAGCAGACCTTCTGACACACGACCAAGAGATGTTCACGGTTTCAAAACTCCGCTACAAATAGCAAAGTTGTAAGAGATAATGTAATCTTATATATCTTAATATTGTCTATACGGTGGTGTTGTTTCTTTAATAATGCTCATAAATGTAGGACTTGTATTTCCTACGATCCTGGTCGATTTTATTGACAATGGCAGGAAGCAAAGACCATTTATATTTTTCTTCGATTACCTGTCCCAAAAATAAATTAATAAAATACCTTTACATCGACTTCTGTCCATCCCTAATGCTCCCTCCCCACGAGCATGCGCGGTCCCCTCCACCGTTGAGGAGGGCTGGGGGAGGAGGGGCGGCTCGTTGCCAGGCAACCGCCAGCTAGCAGCGTACTAATAGTACACCAGATCGTAAAACATTTCGGCAGACGGCTGTGAGATGGAGACACGAGCTCACGACCGTATGTAGAGCGACACAATACTGAACATTCAACGTGCAATCTACCAGATACAATGAAATACTACGATCTCTAGAACAACATAATTATTATTATTACTTCATCAACATTATATAAATAATTAATTCGTCTTTTGTAGGTACAGTTAAGAACGCATGACTGTCCACGAGTCCGGGTCTGTCGTTAGTTTAATGTTACAGCTTGTAGTAGCACATTTAACGCGAGCTAATTAGCGTTAATGACGTTTAAAATTTACTACTTAATTAATGCAATTTCCACATATATTTATTAAATGTGGTCGTGTATAGTTCTTCATGAGTTGCTCCCTTACTATCAAACCTCTCTCTATCTCTTTCTCTTATTACATATATATCCGTTCACTCTCTTCCTCAATGTGTCTGTATGTGTCACTCTCATTGTCTTTCATATTATAACTCACCGCGTCAGAAAGCTAATCTTGTACTTCGTTCTTTATAAGCGGAGATCCCACCATTATATATTTGTGATACAACAATAATAAAAACAATACATTTGCATTGAAAATAACGATGTGTTATTACATAATATAATGATACAAGTTACTTCGTGATACGTCCTGGAGTACATGGAGTAGAGGTTGCCCATTCGTCTGATTTATTGAGACCTAATTTAATTTATGTTCTTAGTTTCCAACCGAGCTCCAACTCTGTCGAACTTCAAGATATATTTAAGAGGTCGTTTTGTTCTCCACTAAGGACATATAGAGTTTCGTTATTGAGCTCTTGAAGTTAAGGAAAGAACGCTCGCTATAGGGTAAGAGATGTACACACACACACACACATACTAACATAGAATACGTATATCGTATTTTAGGACTTTTATGATACGTTATATTATAATATTTTTTTTAGAAACTTTTCTTTGGTCTTCTAAAGAGTATTATATCTTTTAATTTAATATTGAAAGTATTCGTAGTACTCGTCTGAGCGCGTGATTTATTACAATTAATAAATTATTTCATCTCTGTTATCTGTTTCGATTATTTTATTATTGTATGTATATTAAGCGTGTGTTTGTACGTCAGGGCGTGCTGCGGGAACTAGAACAGAAGAAGCCTCAGTTGGACGAGCTGCTGCATACAGCGGAGAGTCTGAAGGGCACCGAGAACAGACAACAGCTACATGGAAAAGGTACGTCCGATACTTGCAACTACTATAAGAGAGACCTTCAGACTTCTGGACGTTCCTGTTCTAGGACTCTTTTTACGTTCTTTCATAAAATTGTTTTCCCTTTTAAAACACATAAATAAGGCACTTTACATTTTTCGAGTGAGTCTGTAAATTCACCCTCTCATGAATCAGTGGAGCAAACGATCTGCTCCTACAACACAATATAGACCTTTTGTATTAACTGTTAGGGTTCACAACAGGAGAGCCTCCCTCGGCCTGTTCACATGTAAGTAGCTATGCCTCTCTTTTCTCACCTGACAATAAAAGAAAATTATTTTGTTTTATGGACGTATTATTTTGTACGAATAAATTTTTGACTTCGAGATTAATTTTTTTCTTAGAAAAAAAAAACAAAACGTATCTTAATACCTTCATCGGTTTTCTATCTATCTATCAACGTGAAAATATCTTAAAATATAAACAAGTATAATATTCATTAACCAGAAAAGTCCGATCTATTCCGTTCGATGTAAAAACAGCCTCGACCACAAATCACTCAAAGATATCAGGGAACATTAGTCTCTCTAAACGATCTGTGAATTAATTGTGACCATTTGACTGAATCCCGAGATACTCTTGTTATGTTCTATTATCGCCTGAACGGGATTTATCTCCCTTAAATACTTTACTGGGAATGTAATTACACGATGAGGTTAGTGTTTGTTAAGTTCAATGAAGTAATTGAGTTGAATCGAGCCTCTGTACACTCACGAGGCGATAACTACAGGTGAAGGAAACATGATTGTTTAACAGTGTAAGAATAACAACAGTGTGTGATACAAACACCACCATATATATGTTTGGCTAGTAGTTCTGTTATTAGTGAGTGGGACATGTTAGGTACATGATGACGTCATATTAACATATACAATACATACTTGCTGATTAATATAGGTCATAAGACGAGGCGAGTATCTAAGGACCGCGTCCCTTCCATTCAGTGTGTCTTTACGACCGACCCGACCTTACATTTCTCCGTCGAAGGTCCACTCTGACCGTCCTAAGTAATTACTCCACTAATGAGCTAGTATCTAACACGATGGAATTTATACGATATTCGAACAAGTTGCGTTACATAGTGGAAACTACTTTTACCAACATACTTGATAATACTACAACTACACTCTCACTTTCTTATATTTATTACGATACTGTGTTTAATTATAATTGTAATGATAATTGTAACCAAAATTATAAAGTTATTTTTTATTATTATTAAAATACTAGATTTGCCCGCGACTTTGTCCGCGTTAATTTCGGCATTAATAATATGTAAAAGAAAGCCCACAATTGGGGCAATACCCAACAACTACAAAACAACATATGTAACAATAAAATGTTATAAAAATTAAGAATTACGTTAACATGAATAGTTCGGCAGTATTTACTACAGAAACTGTTGTCTATGGATATTGTCTATCATAACTCTTTTTTTTTAACGAAAGGAATGCTTATTGGCTGTTGATCGTGCCTACATATGTAGACCGGTAAAAGGTACATAGCGATAATGTCGTTTTGGCTAGGAGTTGAGTTCTCGAGTAAGTAAATATGGTTTTTCGCTTATGAGAAAATTATATGAGAAAAAGTTGAACATTTTCCGGGATTTAAAGTAGCCTATATGTTATTCCTGGACGTCAGCTTCCTGTATACAAAATTTTATCAAAATCGGTTCAGCCGTTTGAGCGTGAAGAAGTAACAAACATACACACACACTTTCGCAATTATAATATTAGTAGGATTTAATTAATGAGTAATGATATTTTGTTATATGATTATTTTCTAAAGATTGGTATATACAAAAGATATTTTTAAGCGAATAATTTGAAAAAAATATTTATTTAAAATGGGTAAGGTTAGGGTTTGTTTTCATGTATTTAACATTTTTTCTCTTTAGCGACTTCTATTATGAGGTTAATCAGGTTACAAAGAAATTCCTTTTTATTTTTTAATACATCCACAACTCCACAACTATTCAGCTTTAGACTAAAAAAAAATTATTAACTCGTCCAAATGGACCAATTAGGCACTAAGTCTAGTTATAATACAAAACACGATAGAATTTGTCAGTAAAAGAGTGTCTCTAATGTCTTTTAATAAGTACATTGACAGTTATATATTTATTTCAATAATCTTCTATCTTCTATATATATAAAAATGGATTGCTGTTCCTCGCTAAAACTCGAGAACGGCTGAACCGATTTGGCTAATTTTAGTCTTGAAATACTCCTGGAAGTCCAGGGAAGGTTTAAAAGGTGAGAAAAATTGGAATAATTGCCGGGAAAATCCTAAAAACAGCCCATTTCTATTTCCCATACAAACGATTTTTTGACATAAGACTTGACAACTAACCAATATTTTAATCATTCTGTTCGATTGAAACAGTAGAAATTGAATGAATACCAGTACCGGGTTATTGAAGACGGAATACAGTTTGCCCGGTCAGCTATACCTATATTACTAATGACGAAATTAACGCGGACGAAGTCGCGGGCAAAAACTAGTAATCTTCTATCTTCTATATATATAAAAATGGATTGCTGTTCCTTAGTCTCGCTAAAACTCGAGAACAGCTGAACGGATTTATCTTATCTTAGTCTTGAAATGTTTGTGGAGGTTCAGGGAAGGTATAAAAGCTGAAAAAAATTGATTCATTACTTGGAAAACCATAAAAACAGCCCTTTTCTATTTCTCATACAAACGTTTTTTTTGACATTAGAGTTGACAACTAACTAATATGTCAATCATTCTGTCGCACTTCAAAACACGGAGATTTATTTCTTACAGGTAAACTCCAAAAATATAAATAAAAATACGTAATAGATATTTCCTGATTATAGGGCGATACGGAGTTCGCCAGGTCTTCTAGTGTAATATATATACGATGGTAGTGCAGGTAATTCTCTGAATATGTTCCTTGCATATGTTCTACATGGTACATATTAAACACAGCCCTCTCTCTTGTTGAAACCTAAGTCCTAACTAAACCCATCGTTATATTCTGTTATCTCGTTCCGTAATTCAATACATCTGTATCAGCTCCTCGCGAGTGCTTCACACTCATCTTAAACTATATCTTCGGACTCAACTACACTGTCTTGTGTAATATTTCGAGTTTCATTCGGCGTTCAGTCATCAACCTTCAAATGAGATGAACATTTTCTATAACGTGTGAGATGTGATGTCTGTTTGAATACTTAATGTATGTAGAGGTAACATTATTGTTATTAACTAGTCCGTGTGTCGTATACCAGTAACATATATATATATATATATATATATATACAGTAACAGCAGCCTCGCCTCCTCAGCCTGGCCCTCGGTCCAACACGAGGACACTTGAAGTAGTGCGGTGAGGACTGGTGATAGTTAAACGATGATTTTACACGCTCACCTCAACGTAGAAGACGATTAGAAAGATAATATGTTTAACTAGACTGTTAATCATTACGTCATAGTGGGATGCAAGAACAAGTTAGCTTATATATACAGCAGAGTTCCTACAACCACCGATAACCTACTAACTAGTGTGAACCTCCAACACCCTGGTCACGTTGCTTCATCAAGATATTGTTTATTTCAATATATCTGTGTCAGTCTGTCGGTCTGTGTCCTGTAACACACTCTGACTTGTATCATACTACTTATATATATAGTTTTAGTCCTTACATAATTCTTTATGTATTTTTGAGACTTTTACATGAGTTAAGTTCATTTAAATAGATTTTATTTCAATTCATTTATAGATTAGTAATTGATATCCTAACAAAGCTATTTACCACTGAATATATCGAGATTAAAACAAAAATTTAATCCAGATAATACCTTGTATATAATATTATGAATTGTTCTATATCCGAAACATATAAAGTTCATTGACCCTCTAAGTTCTGAATCCTCCAAACATTACCATTCGATATATATACGAGTGCCTTTAGTTAAGTTTCTCACTAATTACTGTTGTCTTCGCAAAATTGAATCCTTTCCCTCGAGACGCCATCTTGAAATATATTTAATAGAAACGAACAGATGTGTTCCTTAACACAATGAGAATAAGGTTCATAATAACTAGAGCCGGTGGACGCGAGGAGGAACGAAATGAACAGTGTGTGGTGACGACGATTGGGAAATATTAATTAAAAATAATATAAGAAAACAAAAACATTTGACATTATAATAATGTTATTAAATTAATACAAGTACTTGTCATTCCTTAATTTGATTAAATGTTTTAATACATACTGATCGGTAATCTTGCTTTTGTATTTGCTCCTATAATATTGATATTTTTCTGTGCTTTTTAAGAGACGAACACTTTATGTTCAATATTAGTGTTTTCCGTACGATCAGTTACATCAAGTTCCATTATAATCGTTCCATCATCCTCTAAGATCCGCGTCTAATAATATATGGAGGAATTTGTAACACACAGCCTCCCCGTGAATGGAACTTGGCAGACGATAAATTTGAAAGTCACCTCGACTAACGTAGAGGGGTCGTGCGTAGCGCGCCGCTACGGGCTACGGAGGGTCGGCGAGATAAGAGACGCGTAGCCTGCTACGAGACAGACTAGTGAGGCCGCCCGGGCGGTGCTGAGAACAAAATATTTATAGGAGGACATAACACGTATATTAAAATTAGGTGTTCCAAGTCAAATAATTATAATCATATTATATAAATTGTTTTTTCCATTGGACTGTTAGCTGGAGTGCGAAAATTATGTACATTATAATATAAACTGCTTGTTAATATTAATATTTTATATAAAAGTGTACTGTTATGTATGTACATACAACCGTTGCCCCCGTCTCTTGTTCCCTGGTCCGTTCCTTCGTCTCCGTATGTATCGCCCATCCTCGCGTGTGTTACATCACTGTATCTGTTCAATCTCTTCATCTAATACATCTTTATAATGATCCAAGTCCCTGTACATCACTGTATGTACACACTGTCACCTCTCGGACACGGGACACTATCAGTTGTTTCTCCTACATGTACTTCATGAATGAATATTTCTCATCTACTACATCTACTACACTGTGACGTCATTCTCGGCCAGCTGTAGTACAGACTGTAGTTTCATTTGTATTTTAACTATGATTGAATTTATGATATTCAAGAGTGTGTAGTGTGGTGGTTGTTGTCGCAACAGATCTGTTGTTTCATGATGTATGACTGTCGTAGCGTGTTAGTGTGTGTGTGTGTGTGTGTGTGCGTGTGTGCGTGTGTGTGTGTGTAGTGATAAGGGCAGGTGGGGTCGTTATCGCTGATCGTTAAGGGGAGAGGGAGTGGCTCGCCGGCTGCCGGCTGCTCGTGGCTCAGTGGCCGTCCGCCCGCGCCCACGGACGCACGCTCCATACATATCATACTATAAGTGTTAACGTATGTTCTGTGCCGCTCTGTGCTGTTCTGTGACCTTCTGTGCTGTGTCTGTGCCTGCCTCGAGTCTTTTAGTTTTCTTATAAATCATCCTCAACCCGTGCCGTTTCCCAAAGATCGTTTTAGTTCCTATATTTGTTGATTGTTTCGTGTTCCTTGGCTCATGTCAGTGTTTCCTCACTTCCTGATCGACACTCACTGGATTTTATATAAAAAGAAAAAAATCAATCATTTAATTGATTATGAAACAAAATTTCGTTAATAATAGAAATCGGAGTAAAAATTAAATTCAAACGAAATGATTCTAATATAAGTTATACTACATGTGTATGTTCCTGTACTCACGACGTAATATTAAATAGTGTTTAACATAACTGTATATTTCCATCGATAGTATTATAGATCAACAGCCGTGTGTTAATGTGCGGGGGTTAATATAATCCGGTTCAAAATTTCCCTTAAATAAGTTATCGCGTGTCGGCCGACTGAGGGTTACCTTCTCACCTTAGCTTTGATTTAAAAATATATATTCACATTATATACAACACAACACAGTATATATACAGTTACACACGACATACCCGTACCTACATACATTAATATTTCGATTGATATTTGACTTTCCATCATTTAGATAAAATTAAGAGATTTAGAAATTAATTATATAATCGGATTTTAGTTCCATTACTATAATAATGCTTGTATTCACTAATTCTATGATCTCCATTCAGTATATTATATGTTGTTAGTATATCCACTGTTTGTATAGTTCATGATATATATAAATATATATATATATATATATATATATATATATATATGTATATATATATTATAATGATAAGGATCACTTCACACGAGACACGTTACTTACATTAGAAGGATTGACACGACACATGGACGACCGGACTGACATTACGACGAATATATGTATAATATTTATATATCTAGTTCTTGAAAATAATATATACAAGAATAATAAATATAGGCTCGTGTTATTTTTTCTATCGCAGTTAATTTATTAAAGTTGTTCCACTTCATAAGTATATTAATATTAAAACACGTTATAACAAGTCGAGTGGTCGAAGAGGTCTTACTATATTTCCTATCGGTTTTCTCTGACCCAGTGATGGGAAGGTGTCGATAGATTGAAATAAGAAAGGTAGAAATAGTAAGACTTTAATAATCTTACACTGAACAAACTGGCGAACAATTAGAAATTTAACTTCGTTTACAGATACGAATTACTGAATAAAATGAAATTAAAAATAATAAATTGAAAATACATTAATATCGTGTTAGGTTCATAAGGAATTGATTAAAAAATAAGTGCACGTTAAGAAAGTTTAAAATACAATGGACCGATGAAATAATAATCGTTGTCGATGTTCTCTAGTCTGGAAGCAGGCCAGCGGAGTTCGTTCAATAAACACGAGTACAGACACTATCTGAGGTTACCGGCTCCTATGAATACTACATCTGATTATATTAATGAAATCAACTACCCGCTGTACCACACTTATATACTTATCACCATCTCTAGAGAGAGAGAGAGAGAGACTATACCTGTCTCCTTCACATGTATAGTTAGATGTAGTAGATTAAAATAATAATCACAATACATAGTGTCGATCGAATTCAATATTTATGAACGCTATATTTACTCGGTCTGTTTTGGAAATCAGTTCAAGCCAATAAAATAAATAGACACAGGAAAGCAGATGTCTTGTAACGTAAATAACAGATCCGCGGACCACGGCCGGGCCGGGCCGGGCTGGGCTATACGATCATTATATATGTTTTATTTATAATATAATATATGTCAATGTTACTTGTACACTATATCACTGCTCATTGAATCATGCCTCTCATCTCTGTATCGTATAACGAAGACTCGATTGATTTCAATACTGTTCGTAACGATCAACGATTTTATCAGAGAGTTTTCATCCACTCGCGCCTCTCTTATAGACAATAATAATAAATGCAAGACTCGAGTAATCAATATTCAATTGTAAAGTTTACATAAAGTTGTGAGGGCCATAGTTTGTACAAGTAATAGGTTCCTAGACGGACGGAGACTCGTGGGACGAGACTCACAAAGAATGGTCGCGTGACGACTGAATACAAACGGGGCGAGGACTACTACAGACAGACATACAGCGTGTGATGTGGACATTAATAACACGTGACAAACATACACTCATATATATGACGAGGATTCATAAAACATTTCATTAAGGAGTTACTCCTCAGAACAAAAACTTAAAGAAGCAGAAAATTTTATAATAATTGAGTTGCTATTTTATGTTGAAAAATAAAAACGTATATACAGCATTTTCTTTGACTATAAGTGCAACTTGATGGTAATTTTAACATTTGACCTGACGCCCTTAGTTATTTAAATGATTTAGACTATTCTCCACGTAGTCCTGAACTGAAACATTAGAGTAAACTTAGTTGTAGATCAAAGCCCGCGACTGTTTGTGAAAACCTTCACGTAACAACACAATAAAATATTTACAACAGACGAGCATCAGCCCTCTTTGAATGTTACTCTCTGCTTGAATTATGATACCAACGAACTTACTGACTCTGAGAGTACGACGAAATAGGTTCATACTCCACCACACATACTATAAATATGAAATGTTATAATTAATTTTAAACTATATATTATTTAACGTCACTCAGTGTTTTATATATACGTCGTAGTAGCGTGTGTTCTGTTGTCTGTGAGGCGTGACGCGCCTTCAATGGAAACTGTTTGTACCGGTGTAGTGTAGTGTAGTGACGGCAGGGAAATACGTTCTACACACGCGGAGGATAGAACTGTAACGATAGATAAACATACTTTATTATTATGTATAGTCGCTTTCATATGACACCACAGGTAGAACAATTGTAATGGATTATAGGGACAAAATAACACATGTAAATTATATATTAAAATATATTTTTATCATATACTTTATGTATCGTCATTTACATTCTGGTCATATATTTTTAAAGTTTTAATTTCTTTCTGGTTATGTGTTATAATAGTTTTGTTCTGCTGACGGTACCTCTTCCGTTTCTAACGCATCTTTCAAAGGCTCTATAATTTTGAGTAACAATTGGTATGTGGGCTCCCTCGCCTAGCTGTTGTAAGCTGGAGAAGCTTTCACATTTCGTCTCCGCCGGAGGTTTTATTAAAACTCATATTAAAATTATTATGCAAAGGAATCTCTTGTGTGTTGCTGAAATATACATATATGAGAGTGTCTGGTTATGTTTTTCATTCTGATCGACTAAAGAAATGTAGGAAGGACAAATTTTAGGAACAAGAAATAATGCTGACTTAAGAGGCAGTCAAGATTGTGGTAGAGATACAAGAGATGTGTACTCGTTGTTAAACTTAAAGCCAGCGGCCGGCCGGAGTGAGTAGTGACCGCTCTTAAGAAACACGCACCGGTACCTTGAATATTAAAGTATTTTATTTACCCGGCTCTCCTCGTTATTATTAAAAGAATAAAGAAAAAACATAGGTCCGTAGGCCATGTTTAATATGGAAATAAAAAACTTCTACTTCTGTTTTTACTTCATATATTTTTTGGATACTTGTCATAAGTGGCCTTGTTGTATGTAGACGTTGTTCCGTTGTAAGAAAAAGCTTTTCATGATAAATCATAAATGACAACGTCAAAGCGTACTAACATTAAAAGTAGTCGTTTTAACGCTTATGTCACTTCCTCATAATATCTTTTATAGCGGAGGTGCACCATTTTTATCGGTGTGTCTATTGTTAGCCTGATAGCTCATAAACTATTATTAACCTGCACTATATACTCTGCGCGGATATAACTCGTATAAGATCCATATTCAAACAAACGTTGATCTCAAGCAGATATCAGAGCGGACTTCAAACGATCCAAATTAAAGTTTTCTTCCTCCTTATTTCCTCAGTTCATATAACAAGAGTGTCGTCGAGGTACATGATCAAATTTAGTCTCTTCGTGTTCAGGCGAGGACGCCTTCAATACTATGAATGTAGATGTAAGAACTGTTCTTATTGAAATATTTAATATTCAGTATGTTTGTGTGTCTGTGTGTGTGTGTGTGTGTCGCTCCCGCGTGGGGTCGGCTCCTCCGCTCCACAGCCAGACACAGGGACAGGTTCATCCTGGATGTGGGCCAACTATTTAACCCCGTCTTACCTGGTCGATGTACCGCCGACTGCATCGAGCGACTGATCGAACACTCACTACTATTATTACACTCTACAGTTATACAATATCTAATAATATATATAAATTAATTAAATTCTATATACATATACCACAAGTCCATAATTTTATTCGACCACAATAAACATTGATGAATCGATTGCTTCCTCTCCAGTCTTACGGTCGGAAACAGTCGCGTAAAGTTATCGGTATAGACTGAAATACATCACAATAGCTTCATTGTACAATTTCTATACATAGCTCATAACCAGGCTTCGTTCCGCAAATAAATAGATTATTCCAGGCGCTTCGGGAGATTTAACGAAGTGTACGTTATAAAAAACACCAAAATGATCCATATATGAAATGGAATAAGTTTGAGATTGGTCTATCAAATAGCAAAGAAAACACAAAAGTTGGAAATCAAACAAAACGTCCAAAAACTCAAATTGAACCTTACATTAATGTGGTAGAAGTAAAATTGGAATGTATTTTTCTTTCGGTCAACCGTACTGGAAGAACTCCGTTAGTGAATACAAACCTTATTGTTTCATATTTATAGTCGTGTTTTCATTACGAGCAGAAAACATTACAATGAAAATAAGTTCAAAGTTTATGAATATTACATTATCCGCAATGTAATGTGAAGCTTTAGTACATTGTCTGAGAATTCCATTTAGATTGTATTCGCAATTATCATAATTGGAACTAAAATCTACACGCCCGTAAAATATATCCAGTTAGAAGTTAGTCGTCTGTTTCTACCAGCATCTTTGTTTTTATCGACATCCGGTTAAGAGCAGCATCAGGAACAAAGAAACACATCTACAAAGTATATTTTTCCTTTTTAAGTTGAAAATATATCGTAAATAATATTTAAAGAATTCTCAATTTTTTTATAAATTTTTCTCGAGGCAGGCTGACAGGCGAGCGGGTATCGGTCACTGTGTGAGATGAACTGAGCTAAGTTGATATTCTTCTTATACCTTGCAGCCCACGTCTATACGGTTGTGATTATTTTCCTAAACTTTATAACACATTATGAATGTGTCGTATTTAAGGCACTTTTGATATACATACATACGTGCTTTTGGTGTAGTCAGTTTTAAAGTAGTGTTTACAAACATTTTGATGTCGTTTTTGTAGAGAAAATGTCTCAAATACCGCAGCAGGGTTTTGTGCCTGAGAAAATTCAGGAATTCAATCGCAGGGCGTCGCAGGACGTCACAGATTCATCAAAAAGGATTCCTCAAGAAGCGACGCCTAAGAAGGAAACGAACAATGTCGATAAAAGCAACCACAAGCTAGAGGAGAAGTCCAAGACTGATACGACTGCATCTCGTCAAAATCAAGAAAGCAAAAACCCATTTTCTCCTCATTTCTATAGAAACAACAGAGCCCAAGGACATTTCGAAATGGGTCCTCGAGGGTTGGATTACTCCCCTCATAGGATGGGTCTCGAATTTTCCAATCGTTTGCGAGACTATGGACCACAACGATCAACATCCATCCACGGACACGAGCTGACAGACGGGCCCATCTTAACGAAGCCCGAATATTTGGGACATCGGAATTATTTCGGGAGTCAGATCGTGCCAGGCGGTATAAACCATCCGGATGTAGTATTCCGCCAAGACCACTACGGTCAGGTCGGCTTCTCTCCTCCAAGAGCTTCGAGGTTTTCGTCTCAGGAGTATTTAAATGCTCCAGGCAACTACGGCAGATGGCCAGATTACAGAGCTGAGTACCGTCAGCGAAGGAGGTCTCAGCAAGATCTACATTCCATGGGACACAGCCCAGAGTCAGGTATTATATGTACATCGTACACGTACTCATGTATTATTCTGAACTTAGGACTATCAAACGTTTTTAAGACTTTCTATCGTCTACACGTAATTTTAGACACAATTTTAGTCTCCAAACACCTTGTCCATATTACATTAATATTTTAGTAGTATAGAAGTTTACTTGTTTTTAATGAAAATATCAATCTTCAAAAAAGATAATATTTCTTTTTTTTAACATTATTTGCGTCGTTTACCTTTTGAGTAGGTAAGGTAAGAGTTACCTAACTGGTCTTCCTTATATCCTGGGGCGTCTCGTCTCTGGAGTATTTTAAAACACCCGCCGGCGATGAAAAGAAAAGCTATTAAACACTGGATTAACATTTTAATCCACTTTTTCTAAATTATAAAACAGAACTAAACGTCTTTTAGTAATATTAATAAATGGTACATTAAACAACGAACTGGATAATTCAAGTAAAAATGTATATAGAAATATTTCACAAGAAAATCACGGTTGAATAACAATATAATAATTGAGGGAATCGGGATTTGTAAAAGAAATTGTAAAAAATATAGTGAGAACAAGTGGACTGGCGGAAGAGTAAATCCTAGAAGCACTGAACTGTGATAGTTTAACTGAAACAAGTGTTAAGAGATGATTTAAATGAAATAGCAACGAGTTTAAACGACTTCCACGTTGAATATATTTAACATCGCCTACATCAACATGTACTTAACTCATTACAGCGTAATGAGCGTCCAAATTTACGAATGACTATTTAATATTCACAATTTTGATTACTCAAGTATTGCGAGATGTTAATTTTAAAATCATTAAAGTTTATATTGTAACATGCTCACTGAAATAAATCATGAATTATGTACACACATACATATTGTTAATTATTATATGTCATACGTCAGAAATAAGTGGCGCGGCGTTACGATCAAAACGTTTTACGCTATTTTCACATTACACGATTTCGCTCGTGCGGGAAAAAATCGCCCGGGCAATTTTTCTTGATCGACTATTGAAGAGTACGAGACCTTTCACATTGCACGATTTGAACACGGGCACGTTTTGTAATCGTGTTGCAGCCGTCCAGTGCCACTAGAACCGCACGGCTACCGTATCGCCCTCTAGCCTAGTGGCCTATGTGACCAAATGCACGCTTTCACACTAGACGGTCTTTAGTCGTACGGGAATTGTAGAACACTCTTCAGTTTCCCATGTAACTCATCAAAGGAGCGAACTGACATACGAAAGTAGTTGAAAAACTTTTGGTCAGAACTCGTTTCTAAGATCTTCAAATAATGTGTGGAACATCCCGACTTCGTCTCGTCTCTGATCAATTGGGTGAATCCAGTGAAGGCGATTGCGCCTTTGTCTTTTCCGACGCCGATACAGTATCCATAACGCAATAACTTGTTTGCGATCCATAGTTTTCATCCAGACCAGACCAAATGTTCCAATGAACTGATAAAAATGTACGATTTTTATCGTTCAATGTGAAAGTAGCAAAACCACGATTAAAAATCGGGCAATTTTTTCCCGCACGAGCAAAATCGTGTAATGTGAAAGTAGGGTTACGGGTTTGTGAATAGGAACAACTGGAGGCGAGGCATTATATTTTTTGTTGTTTCAGAATATAAGAATATCACTATAAATTTTATTAGAGCGTTTATTTTATGTTTCAAACGTTTTGAGAGACGGACCTCAACACGTGACTGAATCTTCGATAGACGACTGTTATTTGCGAAGTTCTGAAACTAATGATAACAATACGTGTTCTTGCCACGTTTAATATAAATACATTAATGTACGCCGCTAACTCACGACAGTGAAGTCATCTCTGGCGAGTTGTGATTTCATTTACGAATTTTATAATCAAATCGGAGGGTGCTCGTCAGCGGGCGGGCTGGTTATATAAATTTACATCCAACTCCTATTATTATTATTGATAAAGACGGTAACGTTTTCTTAGAACCAGTTTGTCGGAATCGACTTGAAGATTTCGTTTGCTGAAGTTTCGCGAGCAATTAGTGAAATTCAACAATATTTAGCTGAAGAATAAATTCGTTTTGTTCTCGAAGAAAGAAGCCTTTGATTTCTTTATGGAACGTTTTAATTCATTTGCATTAAATGTCGGAAACATCATTGACGTTCGTCTTATCGTTTAATTAAAAAGACTTATTGCTTCACAAAGTCTTCTCCGGTTATATAATCTTTATACGTCAAATAGAAAACTATGTATACGGGTGCTTTGATTTTATTAAATTATTCCATCTATGTATATTTTTATTTCGTTGATAGACGTGTTAGTTAGTGTATTAAACAGTAAGTCGTCAAGCGTCATAATATTGTTCTGAAGTAGTCTCTAAAAAGCCGCCGACAACCAAACTCAGTGACAACAGGCTCCAGTCGACGGAACTTATAATTGGTTCAGAGTGTGGAGAGTTGACACATAGGAACGAAAGTCGACACAACTGATGACATGAATTAGGCATGTCGTCTGAAAGTTACAAAATAAGATGCAATTAAAAACACTACTATATATCATGTGTGTAGTACAACATCACTCTATACTCTTGTGTGTCTGTTCTCGTTCACGTGATCTGTTATCACTTATCAGTTAAGGGCTCCGGTACACTTGTCGATACATCACATTAGTTTTCACTATTAGTAATTCTTATTAACACTAACCACTGTCTCATAATAATACCATCGTATAGTATTTTTCTTTTAATATAACTGCTACACTATATTGTTTACCTGGGCCCGGCTATCAGCTGTGAGGTCATTGACCCAGCTGTATCGATTTCATTCATGCGTGCCCCGTCCTAGGCTCGTCGCTCACTACCGATCTTTCTATTAAGATTTACTTTATATATTATATAATTATAAAACATTCAACTTATTATATTATAGAAAACACTATTATAAATTCTATCAATAGTCACGTGATAGATCATAAATTTGTATTTTTGTAAGTATTTTATATTCATCGGTTGTCTACACGCGTCCTCGTAAAAGTTTAAAGTTAGTTGAAATCACGTAATTGTATTAAACGAGTGATAATAATGACATAGATTGTGTAATGTGTCGATAGTAATATATTCACCGCTCGCTAGTAGTTACAAGTACTGAAGGGTGCTCCAGTAGACGAGGTCTTCACTGGTGAGGAGGGCGGGGTCGGCCTCCGAGGACACTCGTCTTATGATGTATAATTAAAGATCAATATTCATTATTTAATAAAGAACTCTATAACGAATTTTGTACATACTTCTGTTCACTTTACCTATGTAAAGACTTTTTTAAATAATTTCTTCTTTTTGTAAGTTCTGATCGTCTTATGTTAATAAGTAATTCTGTTGTTGTATGTTAGATCACAATATATTTTTCAATGATTTTCAATGTAACATTTGACTACATCAATAGTTATACTTTTATACACTACTATATGTACCAACATATACTATAAAGGGTGACTGGTGAATTACTATCAATATTTAAGGAGCATACTCGGTACATGATTCTCATTCGAATTATGTAAAAAAAATAGGTACTTAATTTTTGACCAAATTTCCGTATAAATAAATAAAGTGTGGACACGTTCCAAGTGTTCCAAGTGTGGACGCGTGCGGCAGCGTGCTGATACAACAACACGCCGCCGCGCGCGAGTGTGTGAGTGTGTGTGTATACCTAATCTGTAGGGTGTTCATACGATGCGTAATTAATTACATAACTTTTGGTTAACTTTACTTAGAAGTTTATTAATATTTATGTTATATTAATTTTTATTTTGTCATATATGATCGTCAAATATCACGTCCTCAAATATCGATAGTAATTCACCAGTCACCCTGTATACACCTTATAAGGAAACATAGTGAACATTTAATAAGATGTTTTATATTAAGATACTCTATCTTCGTATATGTATGTGTCAGAGAGTCATAAGTCAATCCATGTCACAGTCGCTACGTTACTTCCTAAGTCTTAGCTTTTACTTGCAAATGATTTGTAAGAAAAATAGCTTGTGGTTTACTTTAAATGTGATTTATATTTCATATTCCTCGATGCTTTATAACAACTTTAAGTATATTTTCTTTAAAAATACAAGCGGGAACTGTTTTCCATTAAAAGCATAATTGAAACGAGTAAGTGCTCGCCGTACACCGTCTCACTCTGTGTATCTTGATGGACCAACTCGATCCACTTTTCATTCTAATATTTTCACAATGAAATGTGTGTATATACATATATATGTACTAGTAAGTGAACACGGCGGGACTTGTATATTTCTTCGGTCAAATATATGTTAATGAAGATCTGCTCATATATATCTGTACATTTATATAATCATATATTATCCATCACCTAATTTCTTTTAAACTGAACCAGATCTTTTTAAAAAGGTACAATAGATTTTTTCTTAATATTTTGACAAAGTATATAGAGGTTAAACAGTTCAGAGACGGTTTTCTAGAACAAGTTGCTTCATATTATAAAATGAAAATATAAAAAATGAAAAGAAATAATTAAGATAAAAGTTTCAGCTTACATTAATGTAAAAGAGTTTAAATCAGAAGAGACCAAACGAACCTCAGTCATTACGTTAATCAGCTAAGTATAAATGTAACTCTGAATTAGAACCAGTACTTGTTAAGGTATAAGGCTTCTATATCAAACCTAATTCAGGTTTATCTACAACTGACTCTTCCCACAGGAACCCTGACATTATAAATTACATTTTATTGCTGTAACAAAACCGTTTCTTACACTAACGCCTTGTCTTCTAATGAGTCTGTTTTAAAATTATATAAGTTATTACAACATTATGTTGCCATTTAAACCTAATTGAAATTGCTTTTGTAATGTGTCCTTTGTGGTTTAATATTTAATATAAAAGTGAACACTTACAACGTTTTATAATCACTTCAGGTAGACTCTTACACTCGCGTCTCATGGATAACTTACTTTTTATTTCCAGCTACCTGTTCCCATTGAGTTCCCAT